CTAACCCGGTAGTTCACAGGTATACGTAAGGTCTAACCCAGTATTGCACAGGTATACCTAAGTTCTAACCCAGCATAGCACAGGTATACCTAAGTTCTAACCCAGCATAGCACAGGTATACATCAGAAGTCGCATTCCTGCGTGAAATGACTTTCAATTCGACGAAAAAACAATTAATGGACATATTGCTCTCTTGCACGAAGTGAAAGTTGTTTATCTTTAGCAGTGTGCTACTGTGTACAGTCAGGTACCAGGTTGCCAGGCAACTGATTACAAGCCTTCATCTAAATGCTTCATCATGCTCAGACTTATCAGAGGGACGGATGCGAGCAAAAATATATAACAAACTTTACGGAGAAGAACTCTTTTATTTCGTGAGTGCGACGTTTCGTTACAGATTTTTGTACCTTGGTCAAGCAAGAATGTACACATGAAGTGGAGGCGAAGTATATATATTGAGTGTGCCAAAGAAATAACATAATTAACATAACTGGCTAGGCAGTAAGCTCAGTAAGGGACTTAATTCCTTCTGTCTCAGTAAAGTCTACGTCAGAAGGTAACCACGTGAGGATTTAAAACAGTGTTTCCATTAATGGAAAAAATCCTAAACAGTGTCATTTGAAAAACTTCAATTTAGAATCTCATTACAAATAAACTTAGCATATATTATATTTAAGAGATGTGAAATTGAACGAAATTGTTTAAATTTGAACAACCGTTCAATTAAATTATCCTAAGATTATAAGTTGAACGTCACAGAACGTTATGAAAGCTCTGTCACTTCACTCGGATCTTCACGAGTTGAATCACTACAGAGTGTGCTGATTGTCCTGTTCGAATTTAGTGTGCGAGTGAGTTTTGTTTTACGTCGCGTTTAGCAATATTCCATCAATATCACGGCAGAGGACACCAGAAATGGGCTTCACACATTGTACCCATGCTGAGAATCGAACCCGGGTCATCGGCGTGACGAGCGGACGCTTTAACCACTGGGCTACCCCACCCAGCTGGTAAGTAACGATGCTTGACAAGGGCCGAAGTTTCATGCCTTAATTGTCTGACTACTGTTTCTCATGGATCAGGTGCATCGATGCACACAATCAACCACACACTGGCTGTACACAATACGCCACTTTTCCTGTTTTTGTATGACCAACAAAGTACTATATTGTGTAAAAATATAAAAAATAATATTTTGTGAAACAGCAGCTGTGGTATGTTCCAGCTGAGTTTGTAATTATGAAGACTTGACATTATCGTGGAACCCGAATATCAGTTGAATAGAAGCGACAAAATCCTTTCCACATCCATGAGAAATCTCGATTCTACAATTGTGACTATATCATGAGCATATATTTGTTTCAGCAGCATTACAGCTGTACGATGTTATTTGTAAACAAACTCGGGCCTGGACAAGACAATCCAGTGATTGTCACCATGCAATACGATGACAGAGCATGTGTTTATGAATCACTATGAAATAGTGATGATACCAGGTGTTCGCGAAAAGGTGAGCGTATCCTGCACCACTGGTGGCACCCGTCATAAACATATGCTAAGTCTAGTCAGTTGTTCACCTGAAATAGTTCGGGAACGTAGTCAAAATTGGGAATTACATCAGACATCATATTTATCACTGATGCATCAAATTTGAAAATTTCCTCCATGTGCCTACAATTAGACATCTTCAAAGCTTGACCGAGGCCTTGAATGGTGTAACCTTGATCAAACAACTTCTGAGCAAGAGTGGCTTGACGCTCCTTGATAAAAAGAGCAGCTCGATTGGACCTCAAAGGTGTGAAATGTAAACACCAAAGATTTTAAAGACATAGTTCGGATTAGACGGAGGTTCACGATCCACCCGCAGTTCATGAAGTATATACATTTCACTTACACTGCACACAACGCCTGGGAGTGTGTAATCTACACACAACGCTTGGTAACAGGGGAGGTGTAATCTACACACGACGCTTGGTAACAGGGGAAGTGTAATCTATACGCGACGCTTGGTAACAGGGGAGGTGTAATCTACACACAACGTTTGGTAACAGGGGAAGTGTAATCTATACGCGACGCTTGGTAACAGGGGAGCATGTAATCTACACACAACGTTTGGTAACAGGGGAAGTGTAATCGACACACAACGCTTGGTAACAGGGGAGCGTGTAATCTACACACGACACTCACTCTTGTGTTGAAGTGTTAAGCCCATTTCTGGTGTCCCCCGCTGTGATATTGCTGGAATATTGCTAAAAGCGGCGTAAAACTAAACTCAGTCAGTCAGTCTTGTGTTGAACAAATCATATCACCTTTTGTTTTTAGTTGGACCCTTGGTAAGGTCCGTTCCTTTGTTAAACTGTTAAAGGTCATGATCGCTCTTAGCTCTGTAAACCCGTGATGGTCCGGGTTAGAATGAACCTTCAGTAACCCATGCTTGTCGTAAGAGGCGACTAACGGGATCGGGTGGTTAGGCTCGCTGGCTTGGTTGACACATGCCATCGGTTCCCAGTTGTGCAGATCGATGTTCATGCTGTTGATCACTGGATTGTCTGGTCCAGACTCGATTATTTACAGACCGCCGCCATATAGCTGGAATATTGCTGAGTGCGGCGTAAAACTAAACTTACTCACTCACTCACTTAGCTCTGTAACTTCCATTACCTCTATCTCCTGGTTACCAAGCAACGTATCAACAGACGTCATTGTTGCCATGTGCGTCCCGGAAGTTGGAGGTCTTTCGCTCCGGAGTAAATGGGAAGGGAGACAACTTTTGAGAGAGTTGAGATATTTTCCTAAAACAACCCTCTCTTGTTACAGATGCCATATCACTATGTCACCTGAGTCCTTATCACTGCTGGTTTATATAATGATGTCATATTTTCGTCGCATATTTTTGGGGTTTTTTACATCCCCCACAGGCGGCGTACGTCGTTCCTCTTCTTCAGTTTGTAGAAGAACCCAATACTGAAAGGAATTTGTATCTCAGGACAGTCAAAACTTGGTATTCCTTTTTGCTGGGGGCTGGTGTGCGTGCGTGTTTGTGCGTGTGCGTGTGCGTGCGTGCGTGTGTGTGTGTCCTAATGGATAAGTGTGAAACCCATTTCTGGTATTCCCCGTCGTAATATTGCTGGATTATTGCTAACATAGGCGTAAAAAGCGAAACTCATTAACTCACTCTTTTTTAATGACTTAAATATTATTGAAAGCTAGTGAGTGAGTTTAGTTTTACGCCGCTTTAGCAATATTCCAGTAATATCACGGCGGGTTACACCAGAAATCGGCTTCACGCAGTGTACTCATGTGGGGAATCGAACCCGGGTCTTCGGCGTTACGAGCGAACACTTTAACCACTAGGCTACCCCATCGGCCCATTATTGAAAGTGATTGCAGGATAACTAACATATTCAGTCAACAATGATATCCTGATTTGATCAACTTAGGTTTTCAGGATTACAGATTACATTGGGTACAGTCATGCATAGTTGTGTTCAGTGACGTGTTGATTATTCACAATGACGGTGGTATATCATTACAAGCAGATAAATATCTCTCACATATCGTGATTTAGGTAATGTTATGGCACGGGAATATTGGCGGTGATATGATTTTATTTTTCTATACCCTTTTGTTTATTATCCCGACTTCAAACCACTGTGACGTGGTCTGTCAATGCCATTTGTTCACGCGACATGTCATTGAAGGACAGAGACCAGTCTAAGTAAACTTAGGCTCGGTATTATTTTGGACTGACCAATCAGAACACAGCTTACCAAATCGCGAAAGTTAACATTCTCACATACCGTTTGAAGCTTTACCTCAAAAACTCGAACGATTCCGAATGCTAGCACGATCGCTTCCGAGTGGTACACATGGAGGATGCAATGAGTAAACAGTCGCTGAAAATAGTGTTTTTGTCAATATCCCAAGGATGTCATGTTGCGGAAATATAAACTAATAGTAACCATGTCATTAGAAACCCCTAAGCGTGTATACTTCAGGTCAAATATCTGTGTTTTATTTTTGTGTTTTGTTTGTTGATCAGTGTCAGCGACCAGGGAAGAGAAAATATATAAAATATTTGTTAGTCCCGCCGAACCCTAACAAGTAGTCGTTGTCTGATTGGTTAAATCCGTTCGGTCGTCTCGTGTTTGATTGGACGGTCATAGGTCGCTCAAAGGTTAGCTGACGCGACCTTCTACTAGGGTTTGTTAGACTCAGTATAGCAGTCTAACGAATAATACTGAGCCTAAGTTTACTTAGACTGTGACAGAAGAGGGAACGCCATTGGTAGTATCATGAGTCATTCTGCAGTAACTATACGCTGCATTTGCCACGTGGTTTGGCTCAGGCTACAATTATTCTCCTTATTTCTTGTCATGTACATGTCACTCCACTACAATAAATATGACAATTAACAAAGAATAATAGACTCATCTCCTGATGCCTCGCCGCAAAATATCGGCCTGGATCCACAAATACGATTTGGCAGTCACCGGAAGTCGTGTCGAAATGAACATCACGGCCTTGAACTTGGGGTCAAATCTTGGGATCCCGAGTCGATACCATGTGGATATTGTGGACCAAAACATGTCAACAGAGTGCAATGGCAAATCTTTCATTTAAACTATCACAAATCACTCTGCCAAAATAGCACAGACGGAACAACCCATTTAAAAAGGGCACTCTTTCTCTTATTTTTGTTCCGGGCCATGGTAAAACTAAACGTAATTGCGGTGTGTTCCTAAGCCGGAAGTGATATCAGTAAACCGGGTGTACTTAACACTTTCAGATTAAGGTATATACAGTCGGGCCTTGCATTAAACCGGAACATCATGTACCTTATTAATTAACGTTGAGTCATCGGAGCAGCTGTAATCCAAATACCATGTGTCTCTCTCTTCTCACTAGGAAAGTTGTTGATATGTATTTTCCCAATCCGAATATACTTGTATCATGCTCGAAATGAATAATGGCATGCAGCTTTTTGGGCCTTCTAAAAGGGTGAAGTCGCGGTGGCTGGGCGGGTTAGGCGGCTGGCTTTGTGTGCTAGCGATTACGTGCTTGACTCTGAGGGTGTGGGTTCGAATCCCAGATGGGATTCAACCCAACAATAGGACTAGAATTTGTACTTTACTAAGAAAGTGTGATCCCAAATGTAACAAAAGTTACATTTGACCACTTTCTAAATGGCATTGTGTACTCAAAGGATCAGCTGTTATAATTCCGGTGAGGCATACACCCGCCAGACCATCGGTCCAGTTGAGCCTAAAATATACTATCCAAAAAAAGAAACGCATATACGTTTTGTATTTTTAGAAATCTTTAAAATACCTATTGTGTTTAAACAATCGTCAAAATATGTAGCAAAAGTGTTGATAACATGAGTTTACACTATTGCACAAGTAGAAAATCGACTCAAAATGTTGATTTTGATGAGATTTCTTGCAAGGATTAAAACGGCATCGCCACAAAGCAACAGAAATCACCTTCCAGTTGAAATTGTGCAGCAAAGAGCTTGCACTGTCTGGCTTTAAAAATCCAGATTACTTTCGGAAATTGTCCTTCGTTTTGACAGCGGTGTTAAACAACAAGCGAGGAAACAAACATTTTGTTTGTGTGAGATCAACAAAGGTAGCATTTAATCCGATATCGACAAATCATATTAATCAAAGTAATTAAATGTTAGCTTTTCATTATAAGCACAACAGCGCAGATGCACAATACGTGTAAGTAAGTCCTTGAAACCATCAAAGATTCAGAGCAAAGGGAAATCTCCCAAAGGTCTTTCTATGAGCAAGGACAAGTTGTTTGTCGCATCTAAGGCAAAGAAAGCGACGTTTCTTTTCTTTTCCACTATGAACTCCAACGTGCTCATGCGCCATACCATGTCAAAGTCTATTTATGTTCTACATCAGTTGGCGCCAATACTTTTCATCTTTTGTATTGTGAAAACCTTCAACATACCAACATGCGATGTTTCTTTTTCTTGTTTTAGTTTGTGTGTTGTGTTATAATTCTTTTTGTTGCGCATGTTCTATAAGACGCCCAACGCTCCGGCATTTAGTCACAATACGTCTCGACTACACTGAAGATGGCTGCCTCACTGGTCTGTTTCGTGGCCCTCTGTGCAACATATCCTGTGTCCATCAGCGGCATCTCGGACAAGAATCATGAACTGCCACCCACTTTGGTGCCCGACTTTGACAGCATATTCGGAGATACAGGTGAGTATTTGCCCTTTCGATAGTTTCATGCTAGTACCCTCTAGTGGATCGGAGGTGGTGGAGTAGCCTGATGGTTAAAGCGTCCGCTCGCCACGTCGAAGACCCGGGTTCCATTCCCCATATGGGTACAAGGTTTGAATCCAATTTCTGGCGTCCCCCGCCGTGATATTGCTGGAACATTGCTAATAGCGGCGTCAAATCACACTCACCCACTCACCCTAGTGGATCTGGCACTCACAGTCAAAGACCGGCGTTTGGGCAGTGACCATTACGACCAGTGTGGTTGTGGTGCTTGTGAATAGTACTATATACTACTGGAATAAAGTAACTGTGCATTTTTTTATGTTCTGCCATTTTTAATGCCAAAAGAAAATAACATGATTTGTTGTGTTTTCCTTGATCACTGTTTAACTGTTGACAGGGTTATACCGAAATATGATCTTACACTTGGCATCCTGACACGCCCTTGAAAGGATGTGGTGTCAAAAGTCAGTTCATTGTGCAGAAAGACACGTGCCAAGCGCAATTCGTGAGAACAAATTTCATGCAAAGTGCTTTCCTACATGTGTATTCAGGGTTATTTTTATAACATTTCAAATAACTTTTATCTCATGCAATTTTATGTTATGCACAGTTACCTTTTTCCGTTAGTATCATATGTTCTTTACTGTGTGACCCGTTGAGATGTTCCGAGATATACCGCAAGTGGTCAGCTCCACTTCCTACCAAGAATCACACTCACTCACTCACTCAAGATCTCATTTGTTATGTTACCCGTGAAGCTCCGGGGGGCGGTGGGGTAGCCTAGTGAGTAAAGCGTTGGCTCGTCACGCTGAAGACCCGGGTTCGAATCCCCACATGGGTACAATGTGTGAAGCCCATTTCTGGTGTCCCCCGCCGTGATGTTGCTAGAATAATGCTGAAAGCAGCGTAAAACCATACTCAGTCAGTCGTGAAGCTCCGGGTTACAAGTGATCTTCAGCAGCCCATGCTTGTCTCCCCGTGAAGCCCCGGGTTACAAGTGATCTTCAGCAGCCCATGCTTGTCTCCCCATGAAGCTCCGGGCTTATCTTCAAGTGATCTTCAGCTTCAGCAGCCCATGCTTGTCTCCCCGTGAAGTGAAGCTCCGGGTTACAAGTGATCTTCAGCAGCCCATGCTTGTCTCCCCGTGAAGCTCCGGGTTACAAGTGATCTTCAGCAGCCCATGCTTGTCTCCCCGTGAAGCTCCGGGTTACAAGTGATCTTCAGCAGCCCATGCTTGTCTCCCCGTGAAGCTCCGGGTTACAAGTGATCTTCAGAAGCCCATGCTTGTCTCCCCGTGAAGCTCCGGGTTACAAGTGATCTTCAGCAGCCCATGCTTGTCTCCCCGTGAAGCTCCGGGTTACAAGTGATCTTCAGAAGTCCATGCTTGTCTCCCCGTGAAGCCCCGGGCTACAAGTGATCTTCAGAAGCCCATGCTTGTCTCCCCGTGAAGCCCCGGGCTACAAGTGATCTTCAGAAGCCCATGCTTGTCTCCCCGTGAAGCTCCGGGTTACAAGTGATTTTCAACAGCCCATGCTTGTCTCCCCGTGAAGCTCCAGGTTACAAGTGATCTTCAGTAGCCGATGCTTGTCAGAAGAGGCAACAAACACGATCGGGTGTCAGGTTCGCTGATTTGGTTGACGCATGTCATCGTATCCTAATTGTGTACATTGATGCTCATGATGTTGACCACTGGATTGTCTAGTCCAGACTCGATTATTTACGTCATATAATTGATCCAGGCGAAGATGGCTTTACTGCTGAATTCCTTAATAAGGAGTGTAAACCACTAAAAAACCCATGGGTTTCCAAATAGTCTCCTCAGCAGTGTTATCTGCCAGTGAGGGACAAGATTGTAACGGCTATGGGTGCCTGGCAAGAGCATGGCGATGTCAAAGGTTAACCTTGGAATTTACTACTGGAATAAACATGTGCCTCAAAGTAAATGTCCTAACAACCTTTCACTGCATATTTTTATTACTAAAGAATTAATTTGATTCGTATATATGAAATTTCTAATTTTACTTATTTTCTGAAAATAAAATCTTCAACATGATGATGTCGGCATGAAATAAGTGTACAGCCCTATCCCAGCACAGATTGGTGTCAGGGGAGTAGGGAGGGGATCATTTTCACAGCCTGCCTGAAATGAATAAAACTTTTAACCCACTCAAAGGCTTGTTTCTATGGAAACGCACCTCTTCTGACCACCTGACTGACACAGTTGGAAATTCAAATCTGGATTTAATATATTTTCAAAATGTATGTTTTGTGGCTGTCTGCATACATATAGTATGACCAGAAATTATTGAGAATTTTAGGAATATGTTTAATTGGATTTCTAGTATAAACAACCTTGACCAGCTATCAAGTGCTTGGTTTCATTCAAGAGAGACAACTCCGTTAATCCTTTTTTTCATTAGTTTGTGAAGAGTTATCCCCCTTTGTTTACTTGCTAGCAGACTACATTTTCAGTGATCCTCAGTATGGGTGATTTAGAGAAGAGGAAGTTGATTTTAGATTATTATAATAAGGATCAGATCAGCTAACTGGTGCTTACAGCATAGAAATGTTAACTGGGACAATGTGATTTTCTCTGATGAAAGTTCTGTGTGGCTGTTTCCTAATACACTGAAATTCTGGACCAAACAAACTGAAAAACCTTTGTATCAGCGCCCAAAGTACAGTCCGAAATTTAACGTGTGGGGTGGCATATCTGTGTTAGGGACAACGCTCCTCTGTGTATTTGAAGGGAATATGAACAGTGAGCGGTACACAGATATTCTCGAGGAACATTTACTTTCATCTGCTCACGTGTTCTATGGAAATGTTTGGATTTTCCAGCAGGACAATGACCCAAAACATCGTTCAAAGCATTCACAGGCCTGGTTTCGGACCCAAAATATGACATTATTAGATTGGCCAAGCTATAGCCCTGACCTAAATCCAATAGAAAATGTTTGGGGACTTATGAAGGAAAGTGTCAATAAGAAAAATCTGACAAATATTGCTGAAATGAAAGAAGAGGTGGTCCGATATTGGGACAGCATGGACCACGACTTTCTAACGTCTTTGACCAGTAGTATGCCCCGCCGCATTGTAACCTGCATTGCTTGAATCTGGAGTTATGTTCTGCTAATATTCACATTTAATACGTGAGTAATGAGTGGAAAAAATAAAACATTACAATCTTTAAATTCTCAATTATTTCAGGTTGTACTGTGCACATTTTACAGCCTTCATAACATACTTCTTTACACTATGGCTTAATTTCATGATGAACCGGTAAGTCAACTTTCTGATATTTCATGGAATGTACTTGGATACTGCATTGCTTTACATCGAAAGACAGCTTTGACAAGACAAAGAGACCACACCCCATCTGTGTATAGGTTTGAACCCGGCCCTTTAAGGTCTTCTGGCATGATCTTGGAGAATACCTTTTGACGTTCTTTAAATTATGGATACAGGAATGGAGAACTATCAGTTACTCAAAAGCAAGGACGTTAAAACAATTCGTTAAAAACTGGCGCCCGATATCACTACCGTCAGTATTCTATAAGGTTGCCTCTCTGGCTATCTTAAAACGAATCAAGTCTGTTCTTGGCAACTGATAAATGAAGATCGAAAGGGCTTCATGCCTAGACGACATTACTAGGCCAATTTATGACTTGATTGATTACACCGATACATACCAGACTCCTGGACTGTCACTTCTTGAGACAGTAGAAAGGTCATAATAATAATTTATGACTTGATTGATTACACCGATACATACCAGATTCCTGGGCTGTCACTTCTTGACACAGCAGATTGGTCATAATAATAATTTATGACTTGATTGATTACACCGATACATACCAGATTCCTGGGCTGTCACTTCTTGACACAGTAGATTGGTCATAATTATAATTTATGACTTGATTGATTACACCGATACATACCAGATTCCGGGGCTGTCACTTCTTGACACAGTAGATTGGTCATAATAATAATTTACAGAGACTGTCCAACACCTTGTCAGTGGATGCCCTTCTTTGGCACAAACAGCATATCTTAAATGGCATGGCTCGTTGCTTTTACTACCGTCTCCGCCATGTCTGTGGCTTTGACTCCGAGGTCCATCCATGGTACGACCCTGAACATGTGCAGGGCGTCGTGGAAAATGATGCTTTCAAATTTCTGTGGAATAGGCCCATATACAGCCTCAGAAGAATTCCAGCCAACAAAACTGATCTTGTTCTTTTTGATAAAGCCAATGATTTTAATTATATCATTGAATTTTCTGTCCCTTTTGACAGCTGACAAGATTCAGGAAAAGCATGATAAATATGCGGACCTCGCCTTTGAAATGTCCCGCTTGCATCCCAAGTACGCTGTCGTCAGGCTCCCCATTGTTCTCTGTGCCCTTGGTTTGGTACCTCCTGATCTCTTGGCGTAGATCAAGAGAGTGCCCGGGTTCGCCACCGGGAGCACAGCCCTTTTGACACTCTGGGTAATGCAGAAGGCTGCAGTGTTGGGGAGCCTTCATATTCTCCGGAAAGTTCTTGGTGGGTTCGACTAGGCAGTGTTTCCTGGGAGAAGTCCCATTCGCTGTCTGGGCTGCGTGTAGAGGGGGCGAGGGCCCTGGGCTGCTGATGAGCCTTACCAGCCCGACTGTGCCAGGATCACCCGAACCCTTTCTGCTGCATTTTCATCTTTAATCTGTCAAACATAATAATAATTGGTCATTCATTGAAAAGACACTCACATTTTTCAAATTTGGAAATTCCATCAAAAGCTGTTAATGGCTTTGGCTCTTTAAACATCGACATCTATAGAGGTTGTCGTCAAGGAGATCCACTTTCTCCATATCTCTTCATACTTTGTGTTGACATTTTAGCAATAATGATACGAAATAATGCAAACATTAAAGGAATACAGGTAAACAATGTTGAATACCTACTCAATCAGTTTGCCGATGATACTACCTGTACTCTAGGTGGATCTGAACGTTGTCTGCAAACAGTTTTTAACGGGAACACCTGGTGTCAACAGTATTTGACAGTAATGCAGGAGCACATGCTCATGACACAGGCGAAATCTATAATCGACTGAACTTTTGGCAGATATTTTTATGGATATAGAAGGGTTTTGTCATATGTATGGTACAATGTCAGTGTCCTTTGAAACCTTATAAACCAGGGGGAAAAGTTACCTACTACATATCTTCTAATTTCAAGATTCCGAGATGACAACGAGACTGTCTGCTCTGGAAAGTGAGATGGGTAAGTATACACTACATGATCATTGATATCCAGGTATAACCAGGTGATAAGGACAATAAGTTGATTATATTTTGGCATATGATTAAAGGTGACCCTTGGTAGTTGACGGCAATTTTCAGAAAACATTGAAAACATAATAAAATTATTTGTGTAACTCTGTTAATTCATTTTGCTCAATCAACAGTGATCCTTATTTGCTGACCCATTTAATATTTTCTCAAAAAAGATATTTTGATGAACTCTACTGGTTTATCCCATTTTTTATTCTCATTCAGCGAATAATGATGAGATCACTAAAGACATCCTCCGACGACTGGCTGCGCTAGAAGCAAGGCAAGGTATGTACTCATTACTGCAAGACGTATAATTGTTCTTGCTAAATCTTTACCAGACTACACATCTAGACGTACCGCACGTCGACATTGTCCCGGCTGTAAATGACGGCTTTGTTTCTAGACTCAATTATTTACATAACTGGAATGATTCTGGATCAAATATTTCAAAACTTAAAAGAAAATCAATTTATATTTAAAGGAAAGGTACAGACTGGTATGTTCCCTTTTAACGCTGCATTCAGCAATATTCCAGCAGTATGTCCGAGGTCTGTAAATAATCGAGACTGGACCAGACAATCCAGTGATCAACAGCATGAGCATCGATCAACCAAGTCAGCGAGCCTGACCACTCGATCCCGCTAGTCGCCTCTAACGACAAGAAAGGATGCTGAAAACCCATTCTAACCCCATATCTTCACGGGTGGAGACAAGCATGGTCTGCTGAAGACTGACTGACTGACTGAGTTTGGTTTTACGCCGCTTTTAGCAATATTCAAGCAATATCACGGCGGGGGACACCAGAAATGGGCTTCACTCATTGTACCCATGTGGGGATTCGAACCAGGGTCTTAGGCGTGACGAGCCAACGCTTTAACCACTAGACTACCCCACCGCCCCCTGAATACAATTCTAACCCGGATCTTCACTCTGGAGACAAGCAACTGTTGTTAGACCAATTCGGATCTTCACGGGCACGCACTGGTTGTAGAGGCATTGCATATGATGATATTGTTTTGGTCCTTAATGTTTAGATGAGGAAGATAAAGTCCTCGAGGAGATGGAACGTGCATCAACAGCACGGACGAAACCTGTCACGGAACCTGTCCCAACAGATGCAGCAGCAGCAGCAGAACAGCCCCAAGAGGAGGAATCTCCGGGAGAGCCAGAGGTGGCGCAGACAGCACCGGAAGTGAAATCTAGAGGTGAGAGTGAATGAGTCTCCCCTGTCAGAAAGGAGGGGATGGGGTTGAAGATGTCGCTGATATGTCATTACAAACAACAGAGTGAGTGAGTTTAATATAGAACAAACTTTATGGATAACAACTTCTTTTTATTCGTGAGTGCGACGTTTCGATACAGATTCTTGTACCGTTGTCAAGCATGATTCAACGGTACAAGAATCTGTATCGAAACGTCGCACTCACGAATAAAAAGAAGTTGTTATCCATAAAGTTTGTTCTTTATTGTACTTCCCAACTTCTAAAATGCCACTCAAAGAAGTTGAGTGAGTTTAGTTTTACGCCGCTTTTAGCAATATTCCAGCAATATCACGGCGGGGGACACCAGAAAAGGGCTTCACACATTGTACCCATGTGGGGAATCGAACCGGGGTCTTCAGCGTGACGAGCGTTACCACTAGGCTACCCCACTGGCCCTGCTTTGTTTGGAACACTGTTTTCGCTTCATATTTTCAACAGTGGGGAATTTGGGGGAATTTGGCTGAACAGAAAACAAACTTGCGTCAGTGTTAGGATTTAAAGACAACAGTTGGGTAGCCGAGTGGATAAGTGTTCGCTCATGACGCCAATGACCCCGGTTCGATTCCCATTAGGGTTACAATGTATGAAGCGCATTCCCGATGTACCCCGTAATATTGCTGAAATACTGATAAAGGCAGTGTAAAACAATACTCACTAATGTTCAGATGATGTCCGAGAGGTCACTGAAATACCACCCAAGCAGACAACAAGCGAACAGAAAGCCAAAGCAGAAGTGCAGAGACCCGAAAAGGAAATTAAGAAAGCCTTTACCGCTGGTTGCGGTACCCCGCCACCACGGGAGGGTACAACTGTCACTCTAACCAAAGGTACCGCCGAGTACAAGTGTAAGCCACAACACCGTAACATTGGTGGGAAGAAGACTCGATCGCTGTGTGGAGTTATCTCCGGCCTGTGGTCGCCCGTCGACATCTTCTGCTCAAACTGTAAGTACAATTGAGTGAGTGAGTGAGTATGGTTTTACGCCACTTTTAGCAATAACCATAACCACCCACTTAACTAAATCATCTAACACGATGCCCTCAAAGCAGCATTAACTAAACTTGTCTTTTATAAAACTATTGACATGTCCACAGGTTCTCTCCTAAGGGTTCCCCACCCAAACGTGGACATGTTGGATTACCAATAATTATTGTGGGACAGAGAGCATGATTTGCCCTCACCTCAGTTAACTTTAGAGTGAACATTGTGTTTAGTGAAGCGCTGCGTAAGTTAGTGAGTTGGGGTTGAACAGTGTTCTAGGTACATCATGGCCTGTCATTTTGATGAAGGAAAGGCCGAAACGGACACAGGAATGGTACTTACAAACTTATAAACTAGGGGCGACTAGGGATTCAAACCCACGATCACAGGTTTCTTGTGCGTCCAAGGGAGGCAAACTTAGAAGACTAGGCCAAACCCCCAGAAGTGCAGTCTGAAAAAATTCAATCCATCACATATAAGGGACAAGGTCAAAAGTTTAATGTAAGATAAAACTAATCCCTGCTCCCGAAACATTAATTCTGAAAATGTTGAGTGTTGTAATTGTAATACTGACAAAGATACTGCAACAGAATGGCACATATTTTATCACTACTATTCCACAGGACTTGAAAAATATTCTGGAATGTTTAGACAAGAAAGACAAATGAGTATTGAAAACATCACTGGATCCAGATTTTGTGGTAAAAATAAGACGGGAATTATTGTTTATAAAAAATATGAATTAAACAAACATTGAGAAATAACGTAAGAGGTTTCTTTTATCCGGTTCTTAAGTAATGAAACTTTGTTTCAGTTACAACTTGCACCATGGTTATTAATAATCGCAGTGTGTACAAAGGCACCGTCTCCACCACGAAGTCTGGGTACACCTGTCAACGCTGGGATGAGCAGACACCACATACGCACTGGTTCATGACAAACCAGAGCTTCAAAAAAACCACTGGTGTTGGCCCGGAGACTCGCAGTGCGGCTTCCAACTACTGTCGGGACCCAGGCGTCATGGTGTCCGACAAGACTGTGTGGTGTTACACCACTGACCGGGGTGTACGCTCGGAGCCGTGTAATGTCCCGACGTGCCAGGTTTCTGAATAAAGTCTGAAATCGTCCTTCAGTCCACATGTGCTTGGTTTTTAAATAAAGTCTGAAATCGTCGTTCAATCCATATGTGCCAGGTTGTTAAAATATCTTAAATAGTTGTTCAATCCATCATAATAATGCTAATAATAATGCTAATTTTTGCGCCTAGAATCCAGCACGATGCTGCTCTCTGGCGTTACATTATTACCCTAACGGAATTGTACTTTCAAAGCTGCTACTAAGCGCTTTGCGCGACCGTATAGGTCTGTACATCCGCTTTCAGGTTCCCATTTTAAACAGCTGGGTGGACTGAGTGCAATGTGGACGAAGTGCCTTGCCCACGGACACAACACAGTATGGGACCCAGGTCACAAATTTGGGTGTCTCCACCGGGATTCGAACCCGGGCCTTTGGCGTGAGAGGCCAGCATGCTAACCACTACACCACTGTGCTCCATAGGTGCCAGATTCATAAACACACTCAATTCAGGTTCCTAAATAAAGTCTGAAATCGTCGTTCAATCCATTTTGCCACATTCATAAATAATGTCTGAAATTGTCGTTCAGCCCCTATTTGCCACATTCATAAATAATGTCTGAAATCGTCGTTCAATCTATGTTTGTCAGATTCATAAATAATGTCTGAAATCGTCGTTCAATCCATGTTTGTCAGATTCATAAATAATGTCTGAAATCGTCGTTCAATCCATATTTGCCACATTCATCAATAATGTCTGAAATTGTCGTTCAGCCCCTATTTGCCAGATTCATAAATAATGTCTGAAATCGTCGTTCAACCCATATTTGTCAGGTTGTTACATAAGATCTGAAATCGTCGTTCAGTCTACATGTGCATGGCTGTTGAATAAAGTCTGAAATCGTCGTTCGATCAACATTTGCCAGGTTTCTGAATAACGTCTGAATTTGTCATTCAGTCTACATGTGCCTGGCTGTTAAATGAAGTCTGAAATCGTCGTTCGATCCACATTTGCCAGGTTCCTAAATAAAGTCTGAAATCGTCATTCAGTCTACATGTGCCTGGCTGTTAAATGAAGTCTGAAATTGTCGTTTAATCCATATTTGCTAGGTTCCTAAATAAAGTCTGAAATCGTCATTCAGTCTACATGTGCCTGGCTGTTAAATGAAGTCTGAAATCGTCGTTCGATCCACATTTGCCAGGTTCCTAAATAAAGTCTGAAATCGTCATTCAGTCTACATGTGCCTGGCTGTTAAATGAAGTCTGAAATTGTCGTTTAATCCATATTTGCTAGGTTCCTAAATAAAGTCTGAAATCGTCATTCAGTCTACATGTGCCTGGCTGTTAAATGAAGTCTGAAATTGTCGTTTAATCCATATTTGCCAGGTTGTTAAATAAAGTCCTCAAATACTTCCTTCTTTCACAATACTCAGGTCATTCGTGACTCTTTGACTATCGTTAGGTCATCAAGTGAGTGAGTGAGTGAGTTAATATCTAACGTCACATCGGCAATATTTCAGCCATATCGTGACGAGAACATTTGATATTGAAATGAAATATATGTATATTATAAAACAAACCTGCCGACGAAGGACAGTAAAACAACTAGAATATCACAGATGTGTATGTAAAACTAGTAATTAAATCTAAAACGTTATAACTAGAGGGGACAACAATACAGTAAAAAAATGGACTATAAATCGCCAATAACTGAAAGTAGATCACCATACTAGGAACCATGGGGACTTACATTACTTTTGCTAGGTCATCAAGTAAGTGTCACATGTAATTATATACAGATCTAAATACCCAAGACCTATCTGTATCTCGGCATGGACGTTGGGATCTGTAGTACAAGATGAGTTTGACATGATTTTCGACTCCTTTAGTATTTTAATGCGATATTTTAGTACAGGTGATGGTGCTTTTATCAAGCACGTGATCAGCAACTGGATAGGAAGTCGTATAACTAATTCTTAGTTTCTGAAAATATATCATTTTGAACAATCAAACTCCATTTAAATTGAAAAGGAGATCCAGAGAGATGTTTCCCTTATATCTTTATATTTACAATGTATTTATTTATGCTACAAATAGGGCTGGACCGAAGGGAAAACAATATAGTTCAGGGACTGTCAAACAATTTACATTACATTACAGGATTATATAAAAATAAAATAAAATAAAATAAAATATAAACAACGAACACGATTACATTTTGTGAGAGTAGATGAAGTTGAGGAACGAGTCTGGACTGTCTGACAGTTCCTGAACGCCATTATCTTCCCTACTGTCTACCCCTCCCTGAATTCTAAAGACGTAAATGAAGCAAGTCTAGATTTCTACAGGTTATGAATCTCCCATCTCACTGGAGTGTCATTTCAATGTGAAAGGAAATATTTGTTTCTATCAAAATCCTATATATATTCAGATACTAAGCGTTCGTCTAGAACGAGTCCTGAAACAGGAATGATGTTGTTCAGTGTATAATTACAATGGATCTGAAAGTACTGATAACTTAAGAATTAATTAATAACGTAATCGTTGGCAAATTTTCCAACAAGGTTTTTTCCTTATGACTGACTGTCATTGACCACAGACTAAAACATACCCAAACCAAATATATATGGATGGGGTAAAAGTTGATCTCCCAGGCACACACACACACACTTATCTAATATATCGTATTTCTATAATCTGTTACTAAGTTTGTCATTCATTTATTCTTTTGATGAAATGGGTACATACACTTATTGATCCCCCTCTGAAGAACATTTATTGACCCAGATCACCTAATCCCGAACAACCATCCCGGCATAATCATGCAAGCAAGTCTACTTGTCCTTCCGATCGGTTGTATTCCTGGATGTCAAAGTATTCGTCTCTCTGTATGTCAACCTGTTCATGTCATGTATGTGTGTATGTCAGTCTGTCTGCCTTTTGTATGTCTTTGTCAGTATGTTTATATCACTGTATGCCTTCCTGTCCTTTGCCCTGTTATATCTGTCGTCAAGCTGTCAAGCGGGTGTTTGTGTGTCAAACTCTCTTTCTCCCTTGTACCGGTGCGGTGGCTGTCAGGGTGTTTCAGTCAGTCTATCTAACTCTTTATCAGAGTCACCATCTCATACAATCTGTATGTCAACCGGTCAATATCACTGTATATCTGCCAGTCTGTCCGTCTAATTGTATGCCCGTATATCTACGGTGGCTGATTAGGGCTCGCGTTATCGCTTTCTCGTCTCGTGCTATCGCTTTCTCGCCTCCGAATTTTAAGGCGAGAAAGCGATGGTCCTAATCAGCCACCATAGATTAGGGCCATCGCTTTCGAGCCTTAAAATTCGGAGGCGAGAAAGCGATATCACGAGACAAGAAAGCGATATCACAAGACGAGAAAGCGATAACGCGAGACGAGAAAGCGATAACGCGAGACGAGAGAGCGATAGCACGAGACGAGAGAGCGATAGCACGAGACGAGAAAGCGATATTATTGCGCGAGAAAGCGATAGAGCGAGAAAGCGATATTACCCACAATTCAGTCCTGTCTGCGCATGATCGACTACAAACGGGAGCTCAGTCGCCATTCGTACTTTCTGGATAATATTGAATGGTTTTCAGTAATGTTCTTGCCCATGAATGGCGTTGTATGACTTGACGTTTAGAGAGCATCTAATACAGATGTAGATTTTCCTTTGTCATGCAATTTGCACGTATGTAATAGTCATATCGTGTAATAACTGAAACGTTCATTTTGTGATGTGACTAGGGGAATTACATATTTCATGACATGACTGGATTCGAATTGTCTTAACCAACTTAACCACACCAACCAACTGAATTATTTCTTTGATGGGCATTTTAGAAGTTGAGTTGATGAAGAACACTGACAATTATTATGGATATACCGCTTCTTTTATTCCGTGGAGGCGACGTTTCGACATGGCTTCTAATGTCATTGTCAAGCAAGTGACACATTAGTAACAAATTGAGAGAATATATACATGAGTTGTTATTACAGTAGATAGGGAATGAGTTGTTTATACAATAAATGAGGTTCATGTACAACGCTTGTATAAGAGATTGAGTAGGTTGATTGGAAGCCAGTAGGGTGACATACAAGGACTGAATTTTAGAGCTTATACAACTGATAGGAAGCCAGGTGGATGTTTATACAATGGATGGGGTTGATGTACATAGTTCAATTGAAACAGATATTGTACACACGAAATATTATTGATTACTTTATCAAGTGATGGTAGGCATTGGGAATGTAGTATCCTTCATCTCTGTTGAGGGCTGGTCCTATCTTCTTGATGTGTACTGCTTCCAAAAGATTACGAATTTTGTAGTCTCACTGGTTCTTTTCTATGGTTTTATTTGAATTTGATATGTGTGACAAATGTGTCGGAAGTGTCAGATGAAAGGGAGGGACCTATGACAAACAAGGCAATGTGACGAGTATCTTTTCATGGAGATAGTATCCAGCACTAAGACAGTCAACCACATCCAAACCATCATCCTAAAATAAAATCACTGAGTGAGTGAGTGATTTGCAATATATGTCGCCTAAGAGCACTATTCATGTTTTAGGTTCATTGTTGATGGTTTTGTGACGCCATATTGTACGCCATCAGTTCAATTCCTACTTAATGGAATGGTGAGTTACACTTACATTTCAAACATATTGGAACTTGCGTTTCTTTTGCAGCTCAGTTTATTACATATACATCACATTCAGAGAGTTTGTAGTGTCACATTTTGAAGTATGTGACACTATAAATGAGCCGTATGTAGACAATTCTATAATAATTATCAGTTCTCGCTGCTTGGTTTTAGGTGAAGGAATTAAAAATGAGGTATGGGAACTTAACCACTTATGTTTATGTCACTTTATTGTATTTCAGGGTGATCAAAATACAGCTGTGTTTTTTTGAATTAATAAAGACGATGAAATTTATTAACTGAAGATCTTCACCTACATGAACCTAAATCTCTCCTACCCAAAGATAGAGGAGATGCACGTGACAGTAAAGCACCTTGGTACCTCAATGTAGTAACAGAACCATTCACAGTCAATGGTGTAATCTAAGCAAATAAAAGGATGCAGTCAAACGTTCGTCTAATCAAAACTGAAAATAGTACGCAGTTAAACGCTGGTCTAGCCATATATAGTGAACTTCTTCGGATGGCATTTAGAAGTTGGTGTGCTGAACAACGGGGAAAGTTATATGGATATACAACTTTTTTATTATAACGTAAGCCACATTTTGTCCGCCAATTTCAAACCTGTTCTGCCATCAAAATATCTGTCAAAAACCATCTATTCTCCCAAGTTTTCTTCTAACAAAAGTTAGATGATAGACATGTTATACCAACAACTGATTTTCTGCAATATATTGTTACACTCCGCCGCCATTTTGACTGTATGTAATAATTGATGTGTCTGATATGTACTCTTATACCACCATTGGTGGTCAATTGAGAATAAAAGTAAAGTAAAGGCTACAGCTGGACGTGGTCGCATAGGTTTTGAAAAGCTGATTGGTGACACGTGTATCCAATTAACCTTTCGTATCATTTTCATTTCCAGAGGAGGACTTAAACTCGTTCAATATATGGAACTACACCTGTATCATCTTGTTTATAACTTGGTCAACTCATGTCAAAACGATTCAAATCGAATGAGAGCAAAAGGTGACATTCACTGGGATGCAGACAAATAAACCCTCCTACACATCTACAGAACATTTATCATGTACACACTGGAGTGAGTGGCTCCCGTCCTTCTCTGTCCCCAACTAAGCTCCTTACAATATATTAAAAAAAGAGGCATAGGTGCAAAGACTAGTACCTACTACCTAGTAATTACTAGAAGAAACCAAATTACTCAATAACTACCAGACTGGGTCTGAAAACAAAATATTAAAACACCAAACAAAAAAACGCACCCTTAAATTCAGAATAAACCCTTTAAAACATCCCTTTCCAGCCACACATTACAGTGTAAACTCGATTATCCAGACTAACTCACAATGTCAAGGCCACACAGTGCACTTTTCACAACCAAAACGTAAATACCGTACCCTGGCTCCCCAGCCCTACTTTTTAACATTTAACCCCCTTTTCATCTATTTAGTAGACTCCTTATTAGCTTATCAGCAACAGTTTAACTGTTCTGCACAATAAGTCACAATATACTTTACACCACTTACTTAGTTGAACTTATACGCAATCAACTTCCCAACCTTCTTACGTCCAACTTCTCAACTCCCCATCTAAACTAAATTATTTTCAATATACAGGTGTTTATGATAAAGTGCTTTATTCCCCAAGTAATAATTTTATTACGTTTTTGTTAAACACACCTACCACGTCGGTCGATGAATTGTGGCACTGTCTCAAGTCGATAGTTGGGAGTTGGGGGACAGACAGACATATACGTATGTACACAAGCCATTCTTGTAGAAGTATGAGAGACTATGGCACATACATTTAGAACAATACCTTTTTCACATAATAGTAGAAATATATATGTGTGAAATACGCACACATAAGAAGACCAGATGAAAGGCACAGGGTGTATAATATTCCATCACTGATCCGATAAAGCCCGACGGGGAGTTGGTGTGGTTGGTCTGTTGTTTAACACCGCACTAGGCAATATAACAACTATATGGCGGCGGTCTGTAAGTAATCGAGTGTGAACCAGGCAATACAGTGATCAACATCCTGAGCATCGATCAACGCAGTTGGGTTACGATGACATTGTCAACCAAGTCAGCGAGCCTGACCACCCGATCCCGTTAGTCGCCTCTTACGACAAGCATAAGTTGCTGAAGACCAGTCTAACCCGGATCTTCACGGGTAACATGGGGAGTAGGCAAATGTGTAGCTTAGCCCAGTGAAAAACAGGGCTCAGAAAACAGGACTCATAAAATACCTAAAGGTATTTAAGAGAATTTATGGATGTCAACTGCTGTATTTGTGGAACTGGAACACGATGTTACGGAGTATATTCTTATCCTTCATCGGGTGAATGAAGAGACTAGAAACGAGGAAGCTAAAGACGTACATTTGAAACAACAGTGATTAGATAACAAGGGAAGCCAGTACTTAATTAGCGCTAAACTGGTAGGGTGGATGGACAAATGGAAGCCAGGGATTGTTAATCCCGGCATGAATAATGAGATAACAATGGTGGCATTTAACAAGGGAAATGACAATAAAGAAATGCAAGCCAGGAATTAATCCAGGTCTAATTAGTGATGTAACAATAAATTAAATGATTGTTATCCCTTTTACAGACTTTTTTAAGAGCGCTCATTTATTTCAACGAAAACACACTCGGTTTCTGGAGTTATTGTTGGATTATTGTTTGGACAAGTTAAAGGATTAATTAGAAAAATGCCACAGAATTTGAAAGCATGTTCATTTTGTTTCTATACGACTAAACCAAATGACAATAAAGCCTCCTGGTGGATTAAATCATAGGCAGGTTAGACGTCATGTACAGATAGGGCAGAATTATGTGGAATATCGCTTTCTCGCTCAATCGCTTTCTCGCTTTCTCGCTTTCTCGCTCTATCGCTTTCTCGCTTTCTCGCTTTCTCGCTCTATCGCTTTCTCGCTCTATCGCTTTCTCGCCTTGGTATATCGCTCTTTCGCTCTTTCGTTCTATCGCCCTATCGCTTTCTCGCTCTATCGCTTTCTGGCCTTGATATCTCGCTTTCTCGCTCTATCGCTTTCTCGCTTTATCACATGATGGTATCGCTTTCTCGTCTCGTGCTATCGCTTTCTCGTCTCGTGTTATCGCTTTCTCGTCTCGCGTTATCGCTTTCTCGTCTCGCGTTATTGCTTTCTCGTCTCGTGTTATCGCTTTCTCGTCTGGTGTTATCGCTTTCTCGTCTCGTGATATCGCTTTCTCTCTTTCTCGCCTCCGAATTTTAAGGCGAGAAAGCGATGGCCCTAATCAGCCACCATACTAATCAGCCACCATAAGAGTCCCTGTTGTTTAGGCATGGGGGTCAGTGACCTGTGACAATCCCTCTGTCACGGAGTTGTGCTCCTGAGATCAGGTGTTATTAGTGAGTGAGTGAGTGAGTTTAGTTTTACGCCGCTTTTATCAATATTCCGGCAATATCACGGAAGGGGATACCCGAAATGGATTTCGCACATTGTACCAATGTGGAGAATTGAATCCGAGTCTTCGGAGTGATGAGGGAACGCTTCAGCCATCAGTTTTATCCATAGCCGACAATATAAAAGACAGAAAAGACTTTACCCTGACAATGATCACTGATTAAACATACATCCTAAATCCACAAGCTAATTAGCAAAGCAGCTGTGTCATATTTGACAAAATGTCAACAAGCTGCATACACAGCTAATTAAGTCGAACAGGACCAATTACCACCAGACAGTGTTTTACCTCAACACTCCCCGAAGGAGGGGGAGGGGAAGCAGTGGGGTAGCCAAGAGGTCAAAGAGTTCACGGGTCACGCCGAAGCCCCGGGTCGATGTCCGTTTCTGGTGTCCCGTTCCGTAATATTGCTGGAATATTGTTAAAATTGACGTAAAACTAACCTCACTCAATCACTCACTACGTCCACATCGCTCCTGTCCCCCTCCCGAATAGAATGTGAAATTACAATCTGAACTCACTATAGCAGGCCTACCAAAGAAAACTTTCCCACTGTTCAGAAAAACGCAGAAATGCCCACATTAATCGTGGAAATAGCAACATAAATGTAATACCTCGCTACTGAAACAGTAAAAACGGCAACTTTAAATCGCTAACACTGCATCATAAAACGAGGAGCCCGCAACTTCGATTTTGCGCATGCGCACATGAAAGAGGAAGTCTCGACCGCATGTTGACATTTTCAGCTTGGACAAAAGTTACATTCTTTTTTAAGTATTTCTGTTGTGTTATTAAGCATTTATCATCATGATACTTGTTTGCACACTTGTTTAGTTTACTTTCCATTCGTATGAAACGATTGACAGCAATTATTTCGACATATTTAATACTTTTTCTACGCGAGGCGATTCACGGTTGCTCGGATATTGGGAAAAAGCCCAGATCGTAATGCGCATGCGCAGTAGAGGTCAAAGTTCGCTGATATAAAAATGTTGCAGTTTCATAGTTTTTCGTTGCCGTTTTTACTGTTTCAGTAGCGAGGTAATGTGTTTATGTTGCTATTTCCACGATTAATGTGGGCTTTTCTGCGTTTTTCTGCACAGTGGGAAAGTTTTCTTTGGTAGGCCTGTATAGGCACATTTTCAAAGAGGGACGGTGAAGTAGCCGTGTGGTTAAAGTGTTTGCTCATGACGCCGAAGGCCCAGGTTCGATTCCAATCATGGGTAAATTGTGTGATCTGGCGAAATGTTTAAAGAGGTTATTTGGGTTATTATCAGTAATTTCTCAAATGACGTGTGTTAAATATTAAAGCGTATAGCATGTTGGTTTGGACTGAAAGTTTTGCAAGGAGCAGGAATATTTGTTCATTTAATGGAAAATGGAAAAAAAAAATCCATATTTACTATCCTTGATATGAAGCCAGCATATGAAATTTATTAGATCTAATCATCCTAAGCGAAATGGGCAGATTTATTTATATCGTGTAACGTTAAATATACACTGCAGTTGAATAATAATCTAAATAAATCCAGGAAAATATATATTTTTTACTTTTTAAAAAGAATTGGAGAATTTCATTTATTGACGCAACTTTAAGTGTTCATCGTACATTCTCTCTGACTCAGTCTAAGTAAACTTAGCCTCAGTATTATTCGTTACCCTACTATACTGAGGAGTGTAACGAATAGTATTGAGACTAAGTTTACTTAGACTGTCTCTGACTCTGAAACTGATCCAAGACTCCTTTATTAACGCCGTCATTATGACATAAAAACTTTACCGTATTAAGTTCTTTCCCATTAAGTTCTTTCAACTATGATAAATCATTTGTTCTCCATTTTAAACTTGCTAAACGAGGATATATCTGATTTAACGGAAAATAATACAGGTCCGAGCTCGATCTTTTGCAGGAGCTTAGCGACATCAACGAGCATTTCCAACTGTTTACCGATAGGTGGCGTATGCACTGTTGCACGGCAACGGTTGTTAGGACACTCCGCCATATGTAAACCGGTAATGGTAAGGCGGACTAGCGCAGTTGCAAGTTTCATTTTGTGTCGGTAAAGTGTCAAGAAAAAACAGGCAAAATGTCGGATATGGGATCTGAAGAGATGGAGGAGGAGCAGGGGCCTTATTTAGGCGTAAGTATTCTTTCATCGTAATTATTTTATATGTCGATTTGATCAACCGTTATGCGTTGGTCATTCAGTTTTCGCGCACTGATTTACCAAGTGTGCTTTGTTTATTATGAACACTTATAGTCTATAGCAGGTGTCACTTAGGTTGAGTTTGGGTTTTTATGCATCCATAGTAGGAAAAATATTTTACTTTATTTGTAATTGTAACGATATCTGTAAAAAGTATTTTACTTCGTTTGGGTTTCATAACTGTTTTCAAGCCCAGAAATCCTCACACATAGCAACCTTTTCGGGGACATAAAAATGTTCCTCACCCATGCGTCATAACTGACTTTAGCTAGCATATTCTATGAAAACTTCCAGACGAACTTATCAACATCTACCACAAACATCCCAGGTATCAAATATGCCATAGATTTACGTTGTGATTTAATAATTAAATTGATTACCTTAAACTTAATTAACTAATGTAGGATTTGGGGCAATATCGTAGAGCTAAATGAGTGACAAGCTTCAGACAATTGCCAAAATCAAACCTAGTATATAACATGCTGAGTAGTTTTGGGTATCAACAATAACCACTTAGCCAAACGGTACACCTACAGAATACCGGATACCTACCAGCCATATTGTTTAGTGTCATGTCACCCTTACCCTTGACCATATATCAGTATATGGTCTCTGCCCTTACCCTAACCCTAATCAAAAGTAACCTTGTGTGCTTTCAAAGATGGCAGAAGGTATCAAGTATTCTGTAGTCTTACCAGCCAAACATCTTTCCTACCTCCATCTTATGTTATACAGGAGTATGAAGGAGGGCGTAATGAACGCGAGGAACGTCATGGACACGGCAAGGCCACACTGCCAAACGGAGACACATATGAAGGGAACTACGAAAATGGAAAGCGCCACGGACAGGGAGTGTACAGGTAAAGAACATTTTATACTGAACAAAACCTGCACAAATTCTGCTAAATTTTACATTAAGAAACTAAGCTAAATGAATATTGTTTCTTTTTCAAAATGTCTTATCCATACAATCAGATGATTATTTAAAAAGCTTTGATATACATGTTTGCTTTCATTTGTTTAATGTTTAATACCACACTCAGTAACAATTCCACCTCTATTAGTGCAGCAATTTACATGTATCTGAATATTCACACATCCATACAACTTTTTAGATCTTATAATTTTACATTTGCTAACAAAACTGATACTTTTAAGCCTGCAAGCAAATAGTGTCCTTTTTTTCTAGTGAAAACCACAAGTAAGTCGTATCAGATATGTGATTCAGCTGTCTGTGCTGGTTATCTTTTGGAACAATGTTTATGTGTGTTGTTCTTTTTGTCCTAACAGATTTAAGAATGGTGCCCGATACATTGGAGAATATGTAAAAAACAAGAAACACGGCCAGGGCACATTCATATACCCTGATGGCTCAAAATATGAAGGTAAATTTGTTTAAGATATCACTTGAAAAAATTAAAGAGAATTTTGTGGGGTTCTCGGGTAGCTATGTTGTGAAAGCATTTTTATTGTCAATTTTGCACAGACCCTAATGCTATTACTTTTGCAAGGGAGACATGCACTTCTCTGACAGCATTTAGCTGTACTTTAAAACCAAAAATATCCAAAATAAAGAAAGTAATAGAGAATCAATTTGAACAAACTATTATTTCTCCCCAATTTTTCTCCTCTGGGTACTCAATATAAAACCTTGGAAAACTCAGTGATCCCAAATGCTTGAACATAACCTTCTCATAACCTTGTATACTTGGAGGTCAGTCAACAAAATTCACCTTCATGGGTCTCACTGTTCCTTTACCATTGTTTATAATTCATATTTATAATATTTCTGTTGTAGAGATAAATTCTAAATATGACAAAAAATAAAAAATTATGATCTAACCACATCTTTCCAGCTTATTAAAAATATAATTGGAAGCATCTCGTTAACCTCTTGTTTGATCACAGGCAGCTGGGTGGAGGATCAAAGATGTGGATTTGGCAAATACTTCTACGTGAACGGCGACACTTATGAGGGTGAATGGCAGAAACATGTGCGTCACGGACAGGGGAGCTACACCTATGCTGCCACTGGTACATTACGTCGGCACATGGATGGACGGGAAGAGGGATTGTCATGGGGAGCTTGTCCATGCTAACCACAAATATGTGGGCACATTCAAGGAAGACCGAGTGAGTTGCCAGGAGCAGTGTCAGTTTTAGCAGCAGTATGGAAAATCAGTGCAAAGCTTGCATGACTCATTACATGTGATCGTCCTACACAGAATGAAAGTCATCTGGGACAACCTTGTATCAAAGTAGACCTGTCATGTTAGGTTATTTTGAAAAATCCATAACAAGTACTATATGTTGCCTGAATGTTAACATTACCTCCTCACCCATTGATGTCATTGGCATGATGGCTCATTCGGGATCCATGTTATTCATCACTAGTTTGTATCCACGTTTTCAATCACTGATCTGGGTTCATGTTATCAGTCACTGTTTTATGTTCATATTATGAATCACAGTTTTTTTTCCAATGTTATTGGTCACTGCTGAGTGTGGCTAACACTTGATTACTGAAAGACTGTCGCAATATTACTTGAATTCTGATTTCTTTAATGGAAACATTTTCTCTGACATATTAAGATATCTGTGAAATAAGTCTGTAGGACACAGAAGTTTTAAATCATGTATTTGCACAGTCACTTCCAGGAGATGACTAGATTGGGAGATTGTAGAGAAGTGTCTGATTGTCTTGACGAGATAAACAGGGCGGCATATATGTTATAAATGTGTCGTTTCATATTTCCAGATGGAGGGTAAGGGGAAAATACGTCTTTGATATCGGCTGCGAGCAGCACGGAGAATACATCCCCATCGAACAGGTATGTGTATAATACTAGAGGTTTCATGATGGAAGTGAATATTTGATGGCACACAATATACTTTAACATGTTAAATGTGCTGGGAAAAGATCAGTAATATCGGGAAATGATCACATACAGAATACAAATTACATTTGTTGATATTACAGAGTGATAAGAAGATTTTCTAACATTCTATGCTTGTCACAATAGGAGACCAAATGGTTTCAGTAGTCAGATTCAGTCACGCAGGTCATGTAATGTCATCATACCCTGGCAGCATGATCTGTTGTTCATGATATCATTCACTGGATTGTTTCATCCAGATTGGTTAATTATAGACTACCTGCATATATCTTGGATATTACTGTGTCATTCACAGTGGTGAAGGAGTGAGTGAATATGGTTTTACGTTGCTTATAGCAATATTCCAGCAATATCACACGAGGGACATCAGAAATGAGCTTCACACATTGTACTCATGTGGGGAATCGAACCTGGGTCTTCGGTGTGATGAACGAACGCTTTAACCACTAGGCTACCCCACCGCCCAGTTGTGAAGGAAAGCATATATACAGTATATTGGTTCCGTAAACAGAAGAACTAATGCTGACATTCTGTTGTGCAGGAACGTGAAGACAAGGGTGATGAAGAGGAGACTCAGGCTAACATCATCTCCAAATGGAAGGCAGGTCAGGTCACCGCCATCCATCTCCGCACGGAGGAAGATGAGGAGGAAGAGGAGACAACTCAGACTGGGGAGGTCAGCGCTGAGGGAGAGCAGGCTGCAGGGGAGACGCAAGGTGTGTACAGATGCCATCCCATTTTCCCAGTGATTTCATCTTCTGCATGTCCTCTTCTCACTTATTACAATCATGTGTGATTGGCTAATACCTATATCTGCAAGGGGCTCATTACACTTAGATATGGTAATGCCACAAGTATCAAAAGTCCCATACACTCAAATGGACTGTGCACAAATATGTTTGAGACTACCATATCAAACTTGTCAGTTGACATCATTTTTGTGTTAATGTTTGGACTTTTATTCGTTGATTGAAAGAAGTTAAGGATTTAAGTATGGTAGCTCCCAATATCACTTCATCGTGGATTTGCTGTAGTTGAAGTCCTATGATTGGTTTGTCGAAGCGTGTCATGTACATGGAAGCTAAGTTTTTAGTGAATTATAAAATAGAACCAATCCACTTTTTAAATGAATTTTTGGGATTGCCACAGTAGTGTTTTGTTAGTGTTATCTGACTAAACTCTAGAAAGTTGAAGTTGCAGCATAACTACATATATATGCTCATGTTTGTTCAAGTGATGTTTGACTGTAGAGAATATGTACATATCTTGGGGTTTGATATCTTGGGGATTTAGGTATTCATTTTGAAACAACTATGACTTTGGATGATCTCCCTTTATACTCTCTCAGGCAAATACGAAAAACAATGGAAGGGGTGTTTTAACCTGTTAAATGTTCGGATATATCAAGCAATGAGATAAACATAGTTAAAAGGTCACTTCTTCACCATGCAGTCTTTAGACATAGTTATAAGACTTTTCGTAACATTCATGAAAGGTTTTAACAAGCAAGCCCAGGGATGCATCAATGGTCGAGGGACAGCGTCAGTAGTTTTGTAAAAACTGGAATAGAGACGTTCAGGGAAACTTTGGATTCAAATTGAAAATTTGTTCTGAATATGCTGCAGAGGGGGATCAGATGGGTTCTGAGTTCGTCAAGACATATCCCTGCATGCCACAAGTTTTCATCCTTCATTTCCAACACAGCTGATCATTCTAATCTCCCAATATATTCTCCCCAACTGCCTATATAACCACCTGTTAAACCACTGCCATGTTTCTTCACAGATTTGTAATAGAAAGGTATGGTATCTGTTGTGCATGTTGTTCACCTATTGTATTGTATTTTTTTTAAACATGTCGTTTTGATTTTAGTTCTTTCCATATCTTATTTCCCAAATTCATGAGTAGATTAGTCAAGACTTGGATGATTAAATCTGTACAGATAACTCTGAAATTCAGCAAGGAGTTAGTTTGGTGTAAGTCTACTTGGAACTACATGTATATTTGAGTCACATGTTAGCTTGATCTGGGGGTAAATTAAGATAAATAGATATACAAAGATTTTAATTTTGCGAATGGTTACCGAGGACAATGCGATGGTAATATAATGTTAACTTTCTGGGGCTTCACAGGCAGTCAGGGTTGTATGCTCCCAAGGGAGTTGAAAATGAAAATAAAATGCACACTGATCCATTCAACATGGTAATAATGTAAGGCTTGGAGCTTGCTTCAAGACATGAATTAGGAGCATTATAAATATGCACATTATAGTCAGTTCACTTCCTGAACATGTTATAAGTCATATTAGACGTAAGAACATTATTCATCATTAAGTTATTGTTGGGATGTTGTTTATGGTTTAAGTGTTGTTTTATTAAATATATTTGGATATAACACTAAGAGTTAAGTGTTTCTGTGCCCTTCCCTTGCTGATGCCATCACTGTTTGTTCATCCAATGGATGGATCTGATCTCAGATTCAGTGTTTTTATGTGTAAGTTCAAGCACTTGTTTGATTATCGTCTGTATTGTGCGTACAAACTTGGCAACCTTTACAATGTGTTAACCAAAACTGAACTGAAATACTGTACGTTTATCAGCTGAATCATGAGATGTGCAATATTCAACTGAAAACAATCGTAATTAATGAGGAGCTTATTTTTCTTCCTGATTCAATCAAAGAAATATTATATCAAATATTAGAAATAATTTTTCTTTCTCAAGTTTGGTATAATTCAATTCTTGGTTGTTTTTCTGCTTTAACATTTTACTGGATTCGCTACTTTTTACAATGTACACGTTGAACTTTCTCCAACACTAAACTTGTTCTTTTTCAGCAACTGAAATGGTTTTGACAAGTGTACCTAATTCAACATATTTTAGGTGACCAAAACCCCATAAGTATTTTCATTCTACGTTTTTAGGTGAGGGTGAGCAGGTTGAGGCAACAGTTGAGCAGACAGGCGAGACTCCAAGGGAGGCAACTCCAGGGGGGGAACAAACTGCAGACCAGGAAAAAACTGAGGAACCAACAACAGGTGGGGAACAGAGTGAGACACAGGAAGAGGGAACAGCTGAGGAGACAGAAGGGGAACAGCAGGCAGAGGGGGAACAGGCTGAGACTACTGAAGATGCTGAAGCAGCTGACTGAACTCCTTGAGGAGTGTCATGAACAATTTTTCAACCTGGGGAACTGGCATAAGAGAATGTCAGCTGAAACTGCCACAGGAATAATTTCATTATGTAATTTTATAAATTTATCAACAAAATTATTATTGCCAGGTATTAAAAGTTGAAATTAGGAAACAATTATTTCATTTTTTGTTCATGTTAAGTTTACAGAGTTGGTTTTTTTCATAAAACTGATATTCTTCAAAATAACTCACTGATATGTTGGATTCCTCAGTATTATATCAGTATTTCTGTGGTCTAAAGTTTAGGTCATGAGTTGTCTTCCTTCACAAAATGCCCTACTTCAGTCTGTGCTAAATCTTATTTGTGATGCATCTCTTCCCCTCACAGTCTGCAGGTTTGCCAGCATGGTTGGACCCTAAGGTTTAGGTGTACTTGCATGCTGGCCTTGTATATTATATTCATTATTATTCATGTGACATAGTGTTCATTTATACAAATAAACTATGTTTGAAAAAAATATATGTCCATTGTTCTTATTTCAGTAGTTTAGTGATTGTCCATGTATGGCCATTCGCAGAACGTAAGACGTGTAAGGACCTGTGAAGATCCAGGTTAGAATTGATCTTCAGTAACCCATGCTTGTCGTAAGAGGCGACCAACGTGATTAGGTGGTCAGACTCACGGACTTGGTTGACACATATCATTGTATAGCAATTGAGTAGACTGATGCTCATGATGTTGATCACTGGATTGTCTGGTCCAGACTCGATTATTTACAGATTGCTGCCATTTAGCTGGCATATTGCAGAGTGTGGCGTAAAACTAAACTCACTCACTCACTATACATGTAAGGATGCGGTGAGGCTGCATTAGAATGCACACCATAATATGGATGTTTTGTGATTTGTATCACGATACAGTACTTTTATTTTATGCGTGTTAAAAATGACAAACAAGAAATAAATGATTATGGTGACTGTTTTACACCGCACTCAGCAATATTATAGCTATAGGGCAGCAGTCTGTAAATAATCGAGTCTGGACCAGACAATCCTGTGATAAACAGCATCAGCAACAATCTATGCAATAGGGATACGATGACATGTGTCAACCAAGTCAGTGAGTCTGACCACCCAATCCCGTTAGTCGCCTCTTACGACAAGGATGGGTTACTGAAGATCAATTCTAATCCGGATCTTCACAGGTAGAAATAAATGAAAGTGATAGAAATTATATTGTGACTCAATGCAAAGGAGACAGTGACACATCTGGTACTGAACCAAGGAATGGATGGGACACAGTTGCAGGAATTCTGCTGGGGCAGGGGAGGGGACATATTCACTATTCGTCACTCATATACAATGACCAGTCCCAGTTGGAGTGAATTTACTCATTATTTGAGTTAACTCTGTATCACAGCACTCGTGTGCAATCCTGATTTGAGAGAGTGAATGAATTCGTAACATAGTTCAAATGTCTCGCTGCCCAGTGCTTTAATCCTCCTACAACAAGCCCCCAATAAAAAAGCAATATGGAAGGATTTTAAGTAATCACTGAGGTTGATTTCATGCTCAGACCCAATAATTGGGGTATTTCTGAACTGTTCAACTGCCCTTATAAAGAACCACCGAAATTCTCTACAGATATTCTCTCTATCTGTATGTATAACAGGGATGAGCATTTTCCACTGATTTTTACAGCGCTGGGGTCATTCTTGGCCCCCAAGATTCCCAGCTCATTTTCCTTTTTTTCACTCATACACATTCTTATCCCTGATATAAAGAGACGGCCCCCAAGGACTTGGTGAACACAGAGATGATGACAAAGAATCTGACACTATAAGAATCTTATAGCAGTGAGTGAGTGAGGTTAGTTTTACGCCGCTTTTAGCAATATCACGGCGGGGGACACCAGAAATTGGCTTAACACATTGTACCCATGTGGGGAATCGAGACCCGGGCCTTCAGCGTGACGAGCGAACGCTTAACTACTAGGCTACCCCACCACCCCGAATCTTATAGCATGTTCTGAAGGCATAATACAACCCAAAACAGGCGTTGTAACAGGTGCTTCTTTAAAATGAATTACAAATGTGGGTGTAATTTCACAGGTGGGCAGGTCATGAGATGAAAAAAGAATTCATCAAACTGCAAGCTAAGAAGTTGCTGAAAACATACAGACCAACAATCATAGTTACCTGCACAAATTGTTTATTTTCTCTAGATATTACAATGCCTCATGTTTATAAAAGCAAATGAAAACAACTGTGATGAAATATTAAAGTCAAATATAAAATAAATACTGGTGCATTTCAATGTTTGACTAAGAAGTAGTAAGAGCAATGTTAAATCTGTCCAAAACACAAACCTGGTTCTTGTATACATACAGCATGCTCTGTTTTAGGCACCTATAGAAGCAGCAGAAATCCTTATTAAAGAACACAAGTTTCGATAACTGAGTGAGTAAGAATTTACACAGTAGCAATATCACGTCAGGGGACCCAAGAAATGGGCTTCATACATTGTACGCCTGTTGAGAATTGAACCAAGGGTCAGCATGAGAAGCAAACGGTCTGACCACAATGCTACCCCAGCAACCTGGACAGGAAGAGATTTGTTTAACTTAAGTTTTATTATGCCAGGTCCCGATTTCTCGAAACAAACTTAAGTCTGAGTTTTGACTTAAGTTAGAGTTTTACTCAAATTTCAGACAATGCAGGAAAATGCATTTCCCAGAATAAACTGAAATAGATATTAAACTCAAACATAGTAAACATTTTGAGTTTGGTGGATAGATTACTTAAGTTCTTTGGTCTTTTTTATTTTACAAATGCACTTGAGTTAAAAATTCAGCTGTTTCTAATTGTCAAACTCACTTTGAAATTTGAGTAAAAACTTAAGTTTGTTTCGAGAAATCGGAGCCAGGTCAGACTAATAATGTAATACGAGGGAAAGGCTTGATGTGATGCAGGTCCAAGACCCGGACCGTATCGGTGAACCCATGAGTGGGTGATAACAAACCCAGAAGCTATCTTGGATTTTAACCCATGCTCATAGGCCTTTGGCATGCCTAAGGGAAGCAACTCTGAAATGTAAATTTTGATGCCTAAGATAACAGGCAAAGATGGCCTTTTCTTGTAGGTTGATTCTTCCAGAGGAAATCTGATTCTGCAGAATATAAAGTGGATATGTGTTTTCACAGGTACAGGGGTGGAAATAAGTTTAAAATTGCTAGTGTACTCCGGTACAGTGGCACATGTAAAGTCACTTGCCGTGATTATTTTCCCACTATACCAACTGTTTTCTTGCTGATTTTTTAAATAAACAACATAATAAACATTGGAAAGTCAACTGGACACCGGTACAGTGTGATATACAAATTTGCTTGCCTGACAGAAAAAAACACTGGACTCGGACGTCGGGCAATGGGTTATTTCCACCCCTGAGGTATAAAAATAGCGAGAATAGCCTCATTTGCTACCAAAATAAGTGATGCTATAATTACAATTTAGTCCCAATGCACAACAAAATAGTGTCAAAAATCTGTTTAGCTCTTGACAGTATAAATTTCATAAATTATATTCATGCAAACACAATTTGTGACCAAGAGACATTCTATAAGCATTTAGTGCCTAGTTCTGGCTGACACTGAATCAAGAGAGTAGCCATGTGAGTTTGCATCAGTACAGGGTAGTATCATCAATGTGTTCACGTTTCTAGAAACTCTGGAATTACAACAATAAGAGACAGAGGAAATGGATAGAGCTCCAGAGCATCAGCGAGTTCATTAACGTTGGCACTCTTGTATATTAATGAATTAAATACTGTGATAACTGTCATGGGCTGAAATATGGGTGAGTGAATCGTGTTTTATGCCACTTTTAGCAATATTCCAGCAGTATCATGGCAGGGGACATCACAAATGGACTTCACACATTGCACGTATGTGGAGAATCGAACCCTCACGGTTTCAGCGTGACCAGAGAATGCTGTAACCCCACCAGCTTCCCTGAAGTATGGAGCCACAGCACTGAGATCCTTGTGTTGGAACCAGGTGGAAGGCTGTTGTTAGAAGTACTGGCAGAATGTTTCAATATTTACATCACAGTGACGTAACCCTGTGAGACAAAGTATGTGATGGATCCTGAGTATTTGTCTTTGACCTGTATATGATGTAGTCTGGACCAGACAAACCGGTGATTTGACCACAGTCAGGCTACAAGAACAATGAAAATCATTGAGTCTGACACCCGATCCAATATGTCACTTTTTACAACAAACCAAGGTCATTAGGGACCAATTCCACCAGGGAACCCCTACAGAAGAACAGGAACTTGTCTCAGGATCTACTGCTATACCCAAACATTGATATTATGAACCCTATCTCATTGTCAGGTAACAATGACAATTAAAGTTATCGAGCCTGGTAGGATCTATTTAGCCACCCCATACAAGAAGTCTTGGTAGCTGGTAATTCATTCCACCACAAAATACCAAGGAGAAAACAGAAACATGGCTACAGGTCTGTTGTAATGCCCCTCTCCATTATCACATTAAACACATGACAAAGCCAGCAGGATACACAATCAGCTCTTCCATTTCTTCCTCTTCTTTCGATCAGAATGTCTGTGACTATGATTTTCCCTGAGTCCATGTTTGCGAGACTTCAACTTCTTTCTGATTGGCTGACGGAAAGTGTTACTTTCAGATGATTCAGAAGACGAGGAATCATGCGCTCCATTTTCCCTGACAGAGTCTTGTTCTTTTTTTCCTTCTTTTCTCACTGGTTCAAAGGAACTGCTCTCTGAGAAGTCTGAAGAAGAATATTTCCGTTTTCTTGGTTCTCTATCCTCAATCCTACCCTCCCGATAGTTCCTGTCACTTACTCTGTCCCGCATGTTGAGAGTGCTGGGAGACTTTGCCCTGAACGATGGTCTGTGCACACGGTCGTCCCTCTCCCGCTCAGAGTCACTGTCACTGTGGTGTTTAGTCCTGTGTTTCTTCTCTTTTTTCTTCTTTTTTCTCTTCTTTTCTTTCTTTTTCTTCTTCCTGAAAGACGAATTCAATTATTTTTCGAATACATGAGTATTGTTTCGGTAATATTCAAGCATTATCACTGCAAGGGGCACCAGACATTAGCTTCACACATTGTACCAAATGAAGAGCATATGGACTCCAGAACCCTGTGACAACAAGCTGTTTAGCCATTTAATTACTTCACCTCACTACCATATTTCAAAATTAGTAAACTGATTTCAACACCACTTTGAACAAGATTCCCGTTGTTTCCTTGTTTGTTGCTTAATGTTACACTCAGCAATATTGCAGCTATACCACGGCAGTTTGTAAATAATAAAGTCTGGACCAGACAATCCAGTGATCAACAGCATGAGCATCAATCTACGCAATCAGGATATGATGACATGTGTCAACCAAGTCAGCGAGCCGGACCACCTGATCCTGTTAGTCGCAACTTAAGACAAGCATGGGTTACTAAAGTCCAATTCTACCCGGATCTTCCCGGGGTAGACAAGCATGAGTTACTGAAGATCAATTCTAACCCGGATCTTATCGATGTAGTCAGGTTACTGTCGGAGGAGAGACCAAAGTTTAAATGCAGATCCACAGTGTTTACAATTTGGTGAACTCTGGTATGGAGACATCAAACCTGGACAAACCTATGCAGGGGCATGGGTGCCTGTCGAAGACACTGCAGTTTGCTGTGCAGAGTTATGTCCCTTACTTAGACACACCAGACACCTATGATTGTGGGTTTGAATCCTGGTTTGACTTCTTTAGTTATTTCAAAATTTACCACAAAATGAGATGGAAATTGAAACAAGGAATATGCAAGGCAGATTGTGTTAGCTATAAATGGATAGAGGGTCTTAGCACTTACTTTCTACTTTTCTTCTCGTCCCCTCCAGAACGGTCGCTGGCGAAATCATCAGGGTACAGTTCCTTGAATCCACTGTGTCCCCATCTGAACAGAAGACACTAGATATTATAACACAAGGCCACACTTATCATGTGTCAGCTGTATGTCTGAGATGTGAGTAGAAAATCAATGCCAACTCACTACATTAGATTGGACTCCGAAAAACAGCCTCAGTTGTCATGAAACGACTTTTGGTTTAAGTGGAAGTTTAATCCTGTTATTAAATTTAATCAAAATTCACTGAGTACTAACAAAATTTAAATCAGAGTTAACAACAACATCATATTCCTTAGCACTTTGTTCCTGTTTGGATCATGCTTTCAGACTACTATCTCTGAACATTGCCATGAAAATATGAAAACTGATCTGTCAACATTTCAAAAGGAACCATTTGGGTGCTGAATCTGGATAAACTGACGTCTTCAAACAAGAGAATATTCACTGTTTACTTATCCAATGAAAGTTCGCAATTTTGAAAGTTCCACCTGTCAGGATCAGTTTCCTTTGTCTTCTTAAAACTGGACTATTTCCACAGACATGAGGACTGAGTGAGTGAGAATGGTTTTACGCCGCTTTTAGCAATACTCCAGCAATATCACGGCCTGTTGTGGTTACTTTCCTTGCAATTCTTAAAGATTGACTTGAAACAGGCCCAGAACCCACCTGCCAGGATTACTTCAATCTAAACTGGATCGTTTCCACAGAGAGTCATCTCACCTGTGTGGGCTAGTTTCCCTTGCCATCTCAACTGGACCATTCATGGTAACAGAACCCACCCATCTAATTTCCTTTGCCTTTTAATCTCAACTATCTATGAACAAAGACCTAATTTACTTCCTTTCACACTGATCTATTTCCTGCACCCACCTGTCAGGATTAGATGCCTCAGCCTTCTGCAGCTGCCTGGACCAGTATGTGCTCTTCTGTTTGTCCTCATCACTGTCCCCGCTGTCCATGTGGGCAGTGCGGTGTCCACGACGACGTCGGTCATCATAGTTGTCAGACCGCTGGTCAAACAAGAAAGAGTTCCGGGAGGCCTTTCCCTGGCGTTCTCTTTGTATGTTCCACTGACTCCACATATCCGTCTCCTCCACGATCTGAACCAACACAGATCACACATCCATCAAAACAAGCAGGGCTTCATCTCAACCTGTATATCTCCATACTCCATGTTTCCAGGGCTAGTATTTCAGTAAACCTACACTTACCTCAGGATTCATTTCTATGGTTCATGCAATCTCAAATTACCCGCCCTTTATTTCCATCCCAATTTCATTGACTATGCCACTTGGTCAAATGTACCACATTACGTGTTACAAACCAGATTCAATGTTCTGTTTGCAATTCAACAACATGGCAGCCAGTCCAACTGATTACAAAGAGTTTGTAAGTTAAAGTAATTTGACAATGAAAAAAAGACTAACACTCAAAAGAGAGCAATCACAATGCCTATTGATGGAATTCGGCCATATCTTGATGTTTCATTGGTCAGCAAAATGCTAATGCAATCAAGGGTGATCTAGGATTGTGAAAACCATGAGAATTGATCCAGAGGTTAGTATAGATTAACCGAAATGCAGGTCATGGTCAAAAAGAGGATGGGATTTATCCAGGATACTAGCTGCCCCTGGCATGCTCATGAAATATTTTACAGACGTACTTTGTCACCGCATTCAAAGCAAAATTTAAAACCTCTACCAGTTTAATGGACATGATGTCAGTGAAATCTGTTACAATATATTAAGTATAATAAAAATCTGAGTCAAATATCATTCATGGGTAAAACTGACTGTTGGGATAAAATTCTATATTTTTGTCATACATTTTGAACATTGACCTCGGAACAAATCCAGACGGTTTTTATATCCATTTTCCATTAAAGGTTTCACAATGCTGGGGCAAGCAGCACAGCAACTGACACAAAATATTGGTTATTATCACTGCAAATATCAAACACAAAAGTAACCATAGTGACAGTTAAAAAGACTTAAATAAGAATTTTTCTCAGCTGCAATTTCACTCTCAAGTTCAATTTAGCTCACACTAAAAATACTGATGGGGAATGGTACAACTAGAAAGAGTCTGTCCCCTGCCAACATTGAACTGATCAGTTTTTCCAATCAGGCATGAAAGTCAAGGGGTCTTTATATCAGAGAGCATTTGTTCATTCTTGTTTAAGTGATTGATATTGTCAGAAGCTTCCATATTAAACCACAAGCTATTGACCGGGACACTTCAGTAGCAATGCATGACAAGCGAGGGTTGCTGAGGACCCAATCTGATTCTGGTGGGCTGCCATCTGGTGACCTACAGCTCATAACTCACCTTGTTGTGTGTTCCTGTGTGTCGGATAACATTCCTCAACATCTGCTTCGTGCTCTTGGAGAACATCTTAAAAGATCTCAACTACCGCCACCAACCTGGAAGATGAAAATATATAAACTGTACCACAGCATCCAGCGATTTAGCAAATACTGATGAACAAGTCATTGATCAGTGTTCCACCTAAAATTATTATTTGAATTCTTACACCAAATATATGTTGAGTTGCTGACATACGAATGAGCATGAAATATGTAAAAACGACAGAAGTATAACAATGCACAGCTCTGCATATGTTGTTTAACCCCGCACTCAGCAATATTTCAATGTATAGTGGCAGCCTTTAGATAATGAAGTCTTGACATGACTATTGACAATATTGATCAACAAAATAAGGACACTAAGACGTCAGCAAGCCTGACCAACATATGCTGTTATTTTCCTCTCAAAACAAGCATGGGATATTGTACTAGCCTGTTGCCCAGAGTTATGATAGCGTCTCACAGTCAATACATGGCCTTACATTATGTGAACACGCCTATATTTCTTCACAAATTATTTTCTGCTTGAATGCAGGCATCACATAATGAATTCAGCTGCAGAGAATGAGGCACATAGTATTGCCTGAAACATTTTGACCAAATATATTTTTTCAAACGATCACATAAGTATTTGTATCTAATTACCAAACAGACTCAACTCAAGTGAGTAATAATGTTTTGATAACCCTACGAAGGTCATAAATGCCCAAGCGTTACTCAAAGGGTTGGAGGTATGTACAGTGAGCACTGACTCAGTGAGATAAGACCAGTCGCTAAGCATTGTTTAGTCTTTAACTTGGGTCTGCTTTCAAAGTTTACTCTGAAAAGGAAAAACGCGCACTTGCACATCACTACACACGTTTACGGTTAATCAACGATTCCCTACGCGTGGGGTGTCCTGAATAACTTACAAAAAACAACAAAAACAACCAACCTTCTAGCAACGCTCAACGTTCCACTGATGCGTTTTTCCACACTTCCGGTGCAATACGTCATCAGATTATGTGTTCTTCGTAGTTCGCATACCAAGGACGCTTGTCGTTAGAAACAAGTGCTCGACAGGTCAGAAGTGGTGATCGGTGTAGTTCAGTAAGTGACATACATAACACCTAATTAGTTAACATTGGCGAATTGTGCAAACATATTAGCATCAAGTTCGAGAACTATGACAGTCAAAAAATTCTTTCTCTTGAAAGTTAGTAGTTACAATCAACTACAGATCCCGTTGAATAGGATATCTGTTAATTTTACCGTTAGAAACTAGAAAGCACTATTTGCTATCGGCTTTGTGTTTTTTAACTCTTAAATAAAGCCAGATATTTTAAAGCTTTTTGAACAATCATTACACTCATTAAGGTCTCGTTTTCATAAAATATATATGAAATTAAATACAGAAAAAAAACATTTGTTGCGAGAAATTAAGGATCACCAGATTATATTCATGAATTCACAAAGCGTTTGAAGCACCACACTATTTGTAAGCCTATGATAAAGTATAGAGTTATGATAGGTTATACTACAAATGCTACAAAGGACCCAGCACTACAACTTCTGCGGTGAGTCATGTCATTGTATGAAGTTACAACTTTGAAAAACCTCATGTAGTAAAATACAATAACTTTAATCCTTTTTTTAGACTTTCAGAGAATCAACATGGCAGAGACAATGGCAGGCTACAATAAAGATGATCTTCTGAAACAGGCTCAGAATATCTGGACGATGCTGGATGATATGGCGACAAACAACCCCCAAGGCTACAAACAATTTATGGACAAACAGATGAAGGAAGGAAAAGAGGCCATGGCGCCACCCAAACCACACATGGTTGTCAAGACAACGGTGCTGGTAGGATTGGATGCTTTGATTATTTGTTATCATTCTTTGTGGCTTTATTCTGGCCTTGTTTACTATTTTGAATTGTTTGTGAGTGTATGAGACTGGTCCAATTGTCTAAGGTGCCACAATCGGTAGTTGTGTCCCATAGGCACATGAGAAACCAATGATGGTGGATTTGAATCCTGGTTTGCATGTATAATTCGTGAAGCCCATTTCTGGTGTCCCCAGCCGTGATATTGCTAATAACAAAGTAAAACCATACTCACTAGTGGTGTTCCGATTAATTGAAATAATCGAAAATTGGTCGCAGTGTCCAAACAACCAAGCAGTCGATCACATTTTCTCATAATCGAACAGAAATGATTTTGGAACCGCTGTAATAGAGTTTGAAATACTTGATGATGGAACATATCTAGGACGTTGTCAGGGCCGGAACACGTGTTTGATTCTTAAAATACTCACTTCACTTTCTGAAAAGTCATGACTGAATATTTCTTGAAGAATCTGGGAAGTTAATGTTACACTGTAACTGAATCATTTTACACTGGATGTGAAATCTGCAAATGTAATTTGTGCCGTTTCTAAATAAAACAAAAAACAACAACAGAGAACCAAATGTTTTTTCTTTATACTTATCTGCAACTACAACCTAAAGAGGAAAATATAAAAAATAACGCTAACAATTTTTTTTCGATGATTGGACGTTGGTATTGAACCAATCATCAATTGTGAGATTTCAACCAATTCCCAACACTAATACTCACTCACTCATAAGATGCAACTAACGGGATGTGGTATTCAGATTCGCTGACTTTCACTGTCATTGTATCCCAGTTTGATCTCCGCATTGAAAGACATGAGGTGCAGAGATCATGTGAAATGCTGATGATTAAAGCAATGTTAAATTGCACCTCTCCTATTATTTTTCAGAAACCTGATAAAGATGAACTGTACATCAATTTTTGTTCATGGCCAAGAGTTCCAGGTCCTAAAACTCCAAATGATGCTGTTCCTGTGATTGGAGTACCCATTGAAAAGATGAAAGACAAAACAGGTAATAGTCCAAAACTGTTATGAACTGAGCATCCACAGGGGAAAGGTTTACTAACAGTGGCAAGATGTACTGATGGGTAAGATCTATTCTCAGAACAAAGTATTTTCAATCATTCATTGCATACACATGGTCTAAAGAAAGTAATATTTGTAATGATAATTTTGTAGAAAATGAATTTCATTTCCTATTTGAATGTAAAGTTTATCATGATTTGCGCTGTAAATATTTTAAAGCATTACCAAATTACATAGATCAACAATATTTTCTGAACACATTATCTTGTACCAAGTTTCCAACACTAACATATTGTTGTTCTCACATTAAGGAAGCATTGTCATTGCGTTCTTTATACATATGAATCTGATTGTCAAATGCCACTATCGTATAATTACACGTTTATTTGTATTGTACGTGGGCTTATGCAATAAACTTGAAACTTGAAGAAAGTATAAAACTGACATTTAGTGTAGACCCCCAAATCATAAACATCATTAAAACTTCACTAAGCTGAAAAGTGCAGAAACGGTGCGCCTTAAGGTCCAAGACACAATTATTGCCCATATCGTATAATATCACCATCTGGGAACCATATCTTGTTTGTAGCCAGCACCAAACCTATGTGAATGCATTTTATTGCTCGATAGTTATATCACTCACTCACTCACTCACTCACTCACTCACTCACTCACTCACTCACTCACTCACTCACTCACTCACTCACTCACTCACTCACTCACCACACACTCACTCACACATACTCACTCACACATACTCACTCACTCACTTTGACTATTTACGAGATGGTACCAGGTTTATCAGATTGATGTATTTCATCAGCAGCAGTAACATGTTTTAATTGTATTCTATATTTCCACTTATAGATATAATTTCTTATAAAACAAATACTTATCTTTGTCCCCCGTGCCTTTATTGTTTCAGAAAGCTACAGTCTGACATCAGTGGCCTTCAATCCGAAAGTGTTAGACAACTACGGCCGAGATTCTTCCAACTTGACTGATCGAGACACCCTCATTAATTTAGCCATGGACTATATTGAAGATCAACAGAAGGTCAAACTGAATCATCAGTACACAATCCTTGACAGAGACACACCTCACAAAGGTTGCCTAAAACGCATCGAAAAGAGTTTTACATCCAAGAGTAAAGACGATAAAGAATTTGAGTCAAATCTTGAAAACCTTGAAAAATCCTTTAGCCCTTTTGGGCCTGGTGGGAAAGATAAGTTAATGGAAGCATTAGCCAATATCAGTGTTGGAGACAGCCAATCAGAATCACATGTTCCCAAATCTGACCAATCACAAATCAGAATGCCATTTGAGGACAAAACTGCAACAAGGTCGAACTTGATTGAAGAAATAGCATCAGATGTTGTGTTATTAAAGAAACCTGAGTATAGCATGGAAACCGTTGATGTGGACAGTGGAAAATGTGTGCAGGTGAAAATTTCTTTACCGGAAGTGACCAGTGTCCAGGAGTGTGAATTAGAAATATCCCAGGTATGTGTGCATTATATAGTTTCAAACCATTCAGCTAGTCTGATCACCAAATCCCTTTAGTCGCCTCTTATGATAAGCATGGGTTGCTGAAGACCAATTCTTACCCGGAAAATTGGACTTGGGACAGTATCATATTTTGCCAAGATTACATATCTTGTAGACAACCCATAATGTTCAAATGTATTTTAAAGAAATTAGTACTGCATGGCTTACCCACGCCCTTTTAGTTGGTGATAACTTTTGGTGAAACACCCCTAATAAACCACACTCCCACCCTCCTCCATCCCACACCATACCAAGACATTACTAATTTCAAAGTTTGGACAAAATGTAAAAAATCACAATATGCATTCCAAGTGCTATTAGATTCAAATTCATTCTTTGGCTGCTTCTAAATTATGTTAAAGACGCTGTTTTGTTAGTAACCAGTCATAAACATGTCACTGCTCACCAGTGGGGTGAAATATATTCATTTCTTTCAGACAGTTTGTGGCATTCTTGCTTAAAGTTATTTCTCTGATGTTTATTGATAATTGATCGATATTTAGTTAACGATTATCTTTCTCTATGATCTATATTGATGGCCAGCCCTACATGAACCCCTGCAAAAACCTTGAAAATCAATGCTTATTCATCTACACTGTGTCTAAAGTGATCAGGCATGAAGCACATCACCAGTCTGTATGCTACAATAAAGATGTATTTTCTGTGTTTATTACATACCCTGTGTGTTTCAGGATGATCTGTCTCTGCTAGTTCCGGATAGGTACGAGCTTCATCTGCAACTTCCGCATCCTGTTGATGAGGAGCAGGCCACAGCCAAGTTCAACAAGAAACATTCCTCACTCAATATCACCATGCCATGCTCACAGTGATCAACTCAAGGTCACGGCCAAGTTCAACAAGAAACATTCCTCACTCAATATCACCATGCCATGGTCTCCATGGTCAACTCAAGGTCACAGCCACAGTCATCATCTCAGTGATCAGCTCAAGGCCACAGCCAAGTTCAACAAGAAACATTCCTCACTCAATATCACCATGCCATGGTCTCAGTGATCAACTCAAGGCAACAGCCACTGACATCATCTCAGTGATCAACACAAGGCCACAGCCAAGTTCAACAAGAAACATTCCTCACTCAATAACACCATGCCATGGTCTCCATGGTCAACTCAAGGTCACAGCCAAGTTCAACAAGAAACATTCCTCTCTCAATATCACCATGCCATGCTCACAGTGATAAACTCAAGGTCACAGCCAAGTTCAACAAGAAACATTCCTCACTCAATATCACTATGCCATGCTCACAGTGATCAACTCAAGGTCATGGCCAAGTTCAACAAGAAACATTCCTCTCTCAATAACACCATGCCATGCTCACAGTGATCAACTCAAGGTCATGGCCAAGTTCAACAAGAAACATTCCTCTCTCAATATCACTATGCCATGCTCACAGTGATCAACTCAAGGCCACAGCCAAGTTCAACAAGAAACATTCCTCTCTCAATAACACCATGCCATGCTCACAGTGATAAACTCAAGGTCACAGCCAAGTTCAACAAGAAACATTCCTCTCTCAATATCACCATGCCATGCTCACAGTGATAAACTCAAGGTCACAGCCAAGTTCAACAAGAAACATTCCTCACTCAATATCACTATGCCATGCTCACAGTGATCAACTCAAGGTCATGGCCAAGTTCAACAAGAAACATTCCTCTCTCAATATCACTATGCCATGCTCACAGTGATCAACTCAAGGCCACAGCCAAGTTCAACAAGAAACATTCCTCTCTCAATAACACCATGCCATGGTCTCCATGATCAACTCAATGACTAACCTTACAATAATTTACTATTTGTAATTTGAAGTTATGTCCTTGCCATTGTTTCTAAACAGCATTATGTAATCATAGCTTTCAGCCATGGGAGCCATACCAATTTACACTTATCAGAGGGGTATATAAAGTATGTGGCCAAGACTACCTGAGTTGTCGGACTTCCATTTTTGTGCAGTGGCTGAGTGGGTTAGACGGCCGACATTTTATGCTTGCCAATTAGGTGCCTGACACTGAGATTGTAGATTCAAATACCAGATGGGACTCAATCGAACAAAAGTACTAGAATGTGTACATCACTGAGAAAATGTAATCCCAAATATACCATATGTTACATGTGCCATGTAGGCAGGGATTTATTTTGGAACAGTATCATGATTTTTTCACTTTTGTCTACTAAAGGCACTTTGTTTGGAATCCTTGATAATCTCCGATGTGAATGAGTGAGTTTAGTTTTACGCTGCTTTTAGCAATATTGAAGCAATATCATGGCGGGGACACCAGAAATGGGCTGCACACATTGTAACCATGTGGGGAGATATTCGTTCTTTACATTTATGTATTGAATCGTTGGCTTGGAACCATACACCACTACAATATTGCATTCAGCTTGCTAAATCAAAACATCTCTGAATGAATGTTAGACATATGATTTCAGTTTAATGAAACCAAGTACAGCAAGACAGCAACATCATTAAAATTATCTCTCCTATCATGTTGTGGGTGATGCAGAATTTCTCTAAAAAAAATTCAAAATGATCACTTTCACTTGCACATAGTACCGTATATTACCGTAGATAAGCAGACCCCATAGATAAGCCGACCCCCAAACTTGCCCCTTAAAATCAGTGTCAAAATGGTATGTTTCGTACACATGCCGATTTCCCGCGATAGTGTCCTAAAAGCGGGACACACAGACAACTGGCAGTTACCGATATTACTGTATCAGATTTTGGCATGTTCTTCAGGACCTGTGAGCTCATGGCTCAGAATCAGCTGCAACAACATTAGGATATCGTCATACTTGTGTACAGATTGTTCAGCTTGACCTGATCAGGTGAATACTAATGCATTGCGTGACCGTGTCACAAGTGGTTGGGTCTATTATTGTGAAGGGGTGCACCTTTGTCAGTTGATTGTCAACATGTCGCCATTGGACATCTCAGTGTCGAGAAATCGTCAGCAATGTCCTAACTTTTAATGTTTCCGATTCAGGCTTTTAGGCAGCGAGCAGCAGCAGCAACTGGGTGTAGAGAGTGACAGCAAGGTGGATCAGATTGTGAAAGTAACTGACGTCTGTACGTTGTAAAGTTAGTAAACCAAACTAGATAAAATATGACTAAACAATTCAATTAAAACATGAAATGATTGTTTTTTTCAGAAGTGTGGTTTTCCGCGATAAGTTCTGTAATGAATCCATGTATGCATGTTTCGCACGAACGCAACATTAATTACATTCTCTGCTCCCCTATTTAATGAAGTTAACTCGACCTGCCGTTTGTGCCATTTGACCTCCCGGGTCTTGCATATGTAGAGTAGCTCAGGTCAAGCTGAACAAACTGTAATAACAGACACTATATACTGATATACGTTCTCAGATAAAACATGATTATTGTGATTATACAGATGATGAGTTCTTGCCAAGTATTGTTTTAGTCAGATTGTATGACTTAGAAATTACATATGATATTAGGAAGCTTGTAAAACACAGTACAGTGTACAGTTTGGCATGTTTAATGTGTTGGTCATTATTACCAGCGCAGTGTATCCACTAACCACATGCTTTCTCAACTCCTCTGGAGTGTATCTGAGCAACCAAAGTTTTCGGATAATTTCATCAACAATTATGAATCATATTCGAGCACATGCATGTCCTTAAATTTGATGTTTGGGGGAATATTAATTGTAAGTAGTAGAAGTACAAGACCGATGTGATATGAATTATGTATCCAATATCATAACATATGAGATGTCTCCTTTTAAAAATGCTGCGGCCAGCACAAAATTTCTAACACATTTTACCTCAGAAATTGCATCAATTCAGTACGGAGCCCCATTCTAGAACCCTATGTTAAAGTTTATGTTTGAGCTAAGTATCAGAAGTGTTCAGATCATTGTAAGGTTTCATTTTTTAAGTCAGATGGAATACACTCACGCATCTCTTAAGTTATGGCTAGGGGGGTGATGATTTTTATGGGGAGAAACTTGTACAATGTGAATGACAGCCCCTTCCCAAAATTGATATACAGAGAAAGTGACCTCCCAGAACAAAATGGGCGACACACACCCTTACAATCAATCTTCTTTGGTTATTTCAGTGGTAAGGGATATAGTTCTCACAACAAGCAAATTATTTCATCAAAATGCCGTCCATTTGCTATTGGAATGTGAGAAGATACTTTCAGTTTGTGAATAAATTATGGCATGTTTTATAATCATTGTTGGACTGTGTGAACTTGATCAGAAATAAATTAATACTGATCAGACTACAAATATTTTCATGATTGGGAAATATACTCAGCAGCAAAAAAACCCTGTCAGTACGAATTCAAAATTAGGCACTGTAATCAAATCATTACAGAAATTGACATAATAAACGGATCAAAAACATTTTTGGGTACAATATCTTGACACATCAATGAATAACTCAACAGAATTTCAAGACATTACGTGAACGTTTGCAGTCCATTCAGACCCTTGACTTCAGTATCTAGTGTGACAACCACGAGCGGCAATAACTACAGCATAGCGTCTATGCATGGAATGCACCAATCGATTGATAAAGGCCATTGGCACCTGGAACCACACTCTGAGAAAGGCCTGGCGCAATAAATCGGCTGTGTTTGGCCTTGGTATGATATTATTCAGTCTCCTCTGAATTTCATGCCAAAGATGTTAAATTGGGTTTAAATCAGGACTAAGGGCTGGCCACTGCATAATGTTGACACCGTTGTGCTGTAGGAAGTCTCGTGTAGCTCTGGCAGTATGGGCCCGGGCGTCATGTGGCATGACGTGGGGTCTGAGAGCTTGGTCGATGTAGCGCACCGCTGTGATGTCGCCTCCTCTCCATGGACCAAGGAACACCACATGACCCACTCTCTGGTTCAGGCCTATTCCACCCCATACCATGATGCTTGCACCTCCCCAGGAGTTTCTTTCAATAACACATTGGTCTGAGTAACACTGGCCACGTCATCGCCATATTCTTGTTCTGCCATCTGCAGTTGATATGCAGTACCGTCTCTCATCTGTGAACAGAACAGTTCTCCATTGCCTGTATCGCCAGCTTTGATGTTGTAGGGCAAACTGTAGGCGTTCACCCCGATGACAAGGGGTGAGGATAGGTCCACGGTAAGGTCTACGACAATGGAGGTTCCCGCTGTTAAGACGTCGGCGTACTGTATCAGTACTGATTGGTCTTCTGTGTGTTCCCACTGTCTGGCGTGCTGTGTCGGATGCCTGCATGAAGGGATTCTGTACATGCTGTCGCACAATATGGCGGTCTTGTGGTCACCCTTGGTCTGCCCGTAACGGGGACGATCATTTGTGATGTTGGTGGCCCAGAAAAGTTGCTGCAGCCTGTAGATGGTCCGAACGTTGACCTGGAGTGATTGGCAACGGCTTGTGCAGTGTGGCCAGCTTCAAGTCTTCCTAGTGCCTGGTTCCTCTGAGCTGTCGTGAGTCGCGGCATCCTGCTGAAGTTGTAATGTGAATGGGGAACATTTTATAGGGCTGGTCGTTGTGAACAGCACATGCAGCATGAGTTGCATGAAAAACATGGAGAACACCGTACCATCTCCGAGATCAGGTTGCGTTTCTAAGACCATTTCCTGGGTTCCATTCTGAGTTTGGGAAGGAATGTCTTTGCTTTTGTAAAGTTGGAGATGTTGTCAAAAATATACAATCAAAACATTAAATGAGTTTACAGTTATCTGTTTCTGCACAGGAAAATTCAGAACTGACGTTTCTTTTGCTGCTTAGTATACATCAGCAGAGTACATAAACACATATCAGGGTGCATGATGTCGCCCATTTGGTTGCCCCCTTGCGACTAGACTAGGTTGATGGGGGGACAATCCAAATCTGGAATCCTTTCAGGCAGACATTGACCATGAGATGTCAATAATCAAGTTTTCGAAGGCGATGACAATGCACAGTCCAGCACATGTAATGAGTGAGTGAGGGAGTTTAGTTTTACACCTCACTCAGCAATATTCCAGCTATATGGCGGCGATCTGTAAATAATCGAGTCTGGACCAGACAATCCAGTGATCAACAGTATGAGCAGCAATGTGAGAAATTGGGAACCGATGACATGTGTCAACCAAGTCAGCGAGCCTGACCACCCGATCCCGTTAGTCGCCTCTTACGACAAGCATAGTCGCCTTTTGTGGCAAGCATGGGTTGCTGAAGACCTATTCTACCCCGGATCTCCAGCACATGTAAAAAAATGATGGATGTTGACCCTTGGGGTACATAACTCATGTTGGGGGCCACACAGACATGGGGACAAACAAGACACTGAAGATTTTAACAAAAGACATGTATATGTAAGTAAAATAGGTGAATAAAGTCTGAAGTGGTGCACATCTCAGGCATTTGCCACATTGGTAAAACCCACGAGATGGTGCCGACAAACCCAAAACATATTCATTGACAAACCAGGATTCGAACTTATAATCACAGGTTTCTGTTGTTCCCAAGGGACACAACTCAGTACCACCAAGGGACACAACTCAGTAACACCTTTGACACCTGGGCCATTCATACCTCTATATGAATCAGAACCAGAACACGAGTCTCGTACAGAACCAGAACACGAGTCTCGTACAGAACCAGAACACAAGTCTCGTACAGAACCAGAACACAAGTCTCGTACAGAACAAGAACACAAGTCTCGTACAGAACCAGAACACAAGTCTCGTACAGAACCAGAACACAAGTCTCGTACAGAACCAGAACACAAGTCTCGTACAGAACAAGAACACAAGTCTCGTTGACAGAACCAGAACACACAAAGTCTCAGACAGAACCAGAACACAAGTCTCGTACAGAACCAGAACACAAGTCTCGTACAGAACCAGAACACAAGTCTCGTACAGAACCAGAACACAAGTCTCGTACAGAACAAGAACACAAGTCTCGTACAGAACCAGAACACAAGTCTCGTACAGAACAAGAACACAAGTCTCGTACAGAACCAGAACACAAGTCTCGTACGAGTGTATTTATTGTCACACTGAGCAATATTCAAGCTGAATGATGTCAGCATGTAACTAAACGAGGCTGGGCCAGACAAACCAGTGATTCATATCGTGAGAAAAACGCATCAGGTTCAACGAAAAGCCGTCAACCAATCACTGAGCCTGATGACTTTTCCATTCAATAGACTAATAAATACTTACCAAAATCCCATTTCTATCTCCGTTAAACCACTATGAATTGGGTGGCGTTGACCCATTCTAACTCAGGTCTCATAGCAGGTAGGTGCCTACTAATGTAATATTCACAGCTTCAAATCTGGTTTGGAAGATCAGTCATACTCCCTTTTTTCATGAACACCTGGCAATGATTAAAATCCCACAAAACAAATGAAATTTGTGAAAAGTTTATTTTCCATTCTATTTACACATTCTCACAAGAGTTTTCTGTCAAATGAATCTTCCACAACATTAACATAAATACACACTAATTCCATGTGTGCCATGTTGCCAAGGCAACACTACCACTCAACCACAATTGGTTACCATAACAATACAACTACCAAATTAAGGTAAACACTGCCTGGCATCCAAATTTAGTTTCAATGACAGCATCGCTTAGCAACTAGCTCTTATCACCATGACAACATGTGCAGGCATGAAGGCACTGCACAGCAGCTGTGGGTAACGAAATGCTCTAAAGTCAATATTTCTCTAATAATCAAAGTATGGTGTATTGTCTTCTTCCTGCGCATCAGCTACAACTGATTCTTTAACAACCTGCTGCGCTTCCTTAACTTCTCCCAAGCCAAGAACATCCAAATCAGGATCTGCAACAGAAAATAACTTGTATGAACAGCACATCCGTACATAGTGAGTAATTTCAGTATTACGTCGCTTTTTGTGTTATGTTTGTTAAATGAAGACAAACAATTGATGTGGTTTTAGCTCACTAAAACTGCAATGTAAACATACTCGTCTTAACAGACAGTTATATTAATTGATGTTAAGAGGTACCTGTTTCTGTTCACAATGTTATGATTGTGTCTCAATATTGCTAGAGTTTTGAGGTGAGGTTTACAATTACAGTCGATTATTGATCGATTACTGAGCTTCAATTATCGATCTACATATTGTGAGTAATAACCAGCACTAGTTCCTAGTAACATGACAAGTAAGTGGTTATTGTCCCTGCTGTAACACTAACTCTCAAGGAGTATTGAAGTGCCTTGATTTGCATGTTATAAAGCCTTAAATATTCCAAATTTTAAGACTAATCCCAAGGACAAGAGAACCTTACTTCATTCATCCTCAGAGTTTGTTGCCAGTACTGTTTGAAGGAGACAAATGTTATTTATTTTCTTTCTATCCGATTTTTTCAGTTTCATTTCTAGCAGAACTGAAGAAATGAGAACTAATCAACAATTTCAGCCCAAATGCTACAAGTCAGCAGTGAATTTTGACTTGTTCACATACAAGTTGGTAGCCATGGTATCCACAGTTGTGTTAGTTCCAATATGTAGCCAAACAAAGTATTGACAAATGGTTCAGAATTTGAGCCCAAATGCCACAAGTCTGTGAGGAACTGCATCACTACATAATTTGCTGTCATCACAAGTTAGAAGCCATGCTATCTTCTCCTACACTATGTGCACCAGCTCTTACAAACCTGCGAAGCTGAAGGTTGGGAACTGGGTCATATCTTTGCCAGTTGCTCCAAATATTCTGTCAATCTTCTCCAGCTCCTCCTTGAGACTCTGTTCCACATTGGGTGTGGCATCTACCAGCTTGCCTCCAGCAGACCTGCAGAACAGAAGTGTCAACAAGTGGTCAAGCCGTCAACATTGAGCATTGCTTGTTTTTGACTGGCATTTTAGAGGTTTGGAAATACAGTATTGACAAACTTTATGGATAACAACTTCTATTATTCCATGAGTGCGACATTTCGATACAGATTCTTGTACCATGTTTAATATAGCTTTGCTGCTGCCCACAGCAATATTCTTACACATGAAGCTGGTCTGTAAATAATCATAAATTATCTCTACATCTTAAAGAGTGTACGGCCCTAAATCTTAACTAATGTACACTGTTCCTTCAACATCCAAGGCCAAACTTAAGCAGTTTCTCGTCTTACTAAAGCAGGACATCAAGGAAACAAATAATTTCATGAACAAGAACATGTTTGAAAAACATACACAGATGTTTTACAGCATTTGTGTAATCATACACAAAGCAAATAGACAATCATCTTGTCAAACAACACATTTAATTTTAGCACCCAGGTTCCATCCCATCATATTTCTTGTATTGGTCCGTATTTCTAAGGGTTCTGCCTTAAAATTATAACGGGAGGCCAATCTGACAAAGTTGAAAAAAGAACTACCCAGAGTGAATAGATGTACCAACTGTGACACATATGTCAAGATACAGGCATATGTATTGTGTTTGTCTAAAGTATTTGACAGAGAGTAGGGGGTGAAACGGTATACCGTGGTATTAGTAGAACTGCGGCGTTTTGCCTTCGGTTCGGTATACCATAATGCAATCCAAAAATCGTTTTTTCAGTTTTCGTACCATTTTATTAAGCTTTTAACACCTTTTCCAAAATGTCTAGATATTGTCAAAATTTATGTTTTTCTTTTCTTATGATCACATCTCATATACCGAACCGAAACGGACCAACCGAAGGTCTTGTACCGCAATACGTACCGTACCATAGTAAGAGCGTACCGTTTCACCCCTAACAGTGAGTGACACTGATTTTACATGCAGACCCAGCTTCGTCGTTTATACAAGGTGAGGTGAGGTGAAATTGGGTTAACGTTGTGCTTGAGAATATTTCGCTCATATGACGACGTGCATGCGTGTGTGTGTATGTGCGACGGCTTGTACTAGCCCAGACTTAAGCTGGTTTTATAGTGCTAGCCCACTGAGATACCATGCCGCAGTGAAGCATGAATACCCCACTCAGACACATTATACTGACTCCGAGCCGACCAGTCCTTGTTGTACCCATTAATGCCGAGCGCCAGGCAGGGACCAACAAGTACCATATTTTAACGTCTTTTGGTATGACGCGGTCGGGGGATCGAACCCCGCTCTAACCACTACACAACGGAGGCGGTTTCGTTTATACTAACCCCACAAAGAGATATTATGGTTCTGATCACAGTAATCTCAAAAATAGGTTGTATAGTTATGGATTCTTCTTTCTTTTTAATACAACCTATAGTATGTAAAGTATATAGTTATGTTAACTAAGGACAAAGGCTAACATCTGTATTGAATCAAAGTCTGTGCAGATTTAAACTTATACTATTTAGAGAATCACAAAACTTGTTATATTTTTTACCCAATATACCAAGTTCTCAGAACAAATATTGCAATATGTATCATTTGAAAAGTGTATTGATGTATACTGGTAACACCGTGTAGTCCTAGGCATTGTCACATTAGCCATTTGTCCAGTGCTCAAGTCTATTGAAATTTATTTCAGTCTAGTGAAAATGAGACAGCTATGATCTAGCGAAAAATGATGGCAAGTGACAAGTTCAGGGTGGACAGAAAGTTTCTGTACAGACTGGTTCTATAATGCCTAGTCAGCAATCTTCGAGCTATATCAATTGTCTGCAGGCAATATCATGATCAGGCAAGTTGGCCTGAAAACTGACACAATAGGTGAATGAGTGAGTTTAGTTTTACACCAAAGTCAGCAGTATTTCAGCTATTTGGCATTCTCTTCCCACAGAGGTTACTTGTCATATCTTCCTACGAACCTCTGTTCTAATACGGCCATATTTCCCAGTTCTCGTAAAATTCCCTATCGGCCAAAAACTGCAAAACGAATTATCTCCCTTCTTTCTGTCCAATCAGAACACGTGTTACATCGACTTAGATCCAACCTGACTAATACAAGCAAATGTGGGGCCACAAATATGATCCCAACTCTGCCGGGGACTTGTGTTGATGTGACACACAAGACATTTAATGGCTAGCTTGTCCGTTGTCAACGAGGGCGATAAGACGCCATTGATCCGCCATTACATGACTGAGTTCTGTCTAGAAGAAATGTTTGCGCATCGCGCAGGTATGAAGAGGTTCTAGTTTTCCCAAAGCATACGAAAATTACCGAGGCCTTGCAAATGATCACTTTTGAAACAACATCGCTGATTGCACAACTAAATCTGATTGCAACCAATCACGAATCCTGAACACTCGCACCATGAATGGGCCGTATTAAAACAGAGGTTCGTAGGAAGATATGACAAGTAACCTCTGCGGGAAGAGAATGGCTTATGACAGCGGTCTGTAAATAATCGAGTCTGGACCAGACAATCAAGTGATCAGCAGCATGAGCATCGATCTGCGAAAGTTGGAACCAATGACATGCGTCAACCAAGCCAGCGAGCCTGACCACCCGATCCCGTTCGTCGCCTCTTACGACAAGCATGGGTTACTGAAGGTTCATTCTAACCCGGACCTTCACAGGTCTGCAACAATAGGGAAGCGATGACACACAGCCAAATCTCAGATCAACATCCAGTTAGATAGAAACCTCACACAAAACATCAACAGATCAACAGGTTGAGTGAGTGAGTGAGTGAGTTTAGTTTTACGCCGCAATCAGCAATATCCCAGCTATATGGCGGCGGTCTGTAAATAATCGAGTCTGGACCAGACAATCCAGTGATCAACAACATGAGCATCGATCTGCGCAATTGGGAACCGATGACATGTGTCAACCAACTCAGCGAAACTGACCACCCGATCCCGTTAGTCGCCTTTTACGACAAGCATAGTCGCCTTTTATGGCAAGCACATGGGTTGCTGAAGACCTATTCTACCCCGGATCTTCACGGGTTCAACAGGTTGAGGAATCACAACATATAGATATCCTTGAGCTACAAAGTGTTCTGTAAATTGACTTACTTGCTCTTTTGTGAATATTCCCTGATTTTATCTACGAAAAGCTGCTGGATGGGGTCAGTCTTCTTCGCCGCTACAGCTGTCACTCCGATGTTTCTCTGAGCCTGATGGATGATCGTCTGACGAACGGCACCAAGCCGGGAAACTATCCGTGTCAACATCCTGGCAACAAACAAATTAATTATATCCCGTTCCAACAGTCAAAGACGTATATTGTACGTAAAAAGGCCACTACATTATACTTAATGATACTCGTTCAAAAAACAGGTTTCTCGATCACACATTGCACAGTTTTGTCCATTATTTCATTCACACGCTCTGCAGTTTCCATCAATATCTGCAAACAGTAGACTTCACAGAATTCAGAATTGTGTTTGGCTTTTTGAAGATTGATTTAATATGTACACACAAAATATTGACAATAATAATCCATATACATACTTCAGTTTATTTCTGTGACGGGAAGTGAAACATGATTTAATGTCATAAATACTAATATGTTTACCCTTATGTATGCATGCAAAGGCCCAGATAAGCTGCGTATCCAGGTAAAATACGCACAGAAAATTTCAAATTGTGCATTGAAAAATAATTGTTGCGTACCAATTACGCATTTAAAATGTTAGATACGCAAAAAGTTTAAAACAAATGCGTACGGAATATATTTATAAAAATCGCTTGCGTAATGAAAAAGACATCGATTGCTATCAAGTTGTACTGTTAGTATAGGACAAGTGTTGTACTGTCAGTATAAGATGAGTGATTTTTTATGAAATCATTTCCATTATGTTTAAGTTGGTTTTGATTAGGTATGACATAAGGCAGAACATACCTGCTTACTCAATGACATAATACTTAGGTGAGTAAAATGACTGAAATATGCACATCTTTGAAGGCAGTGGGTAACGGAAAATGAAATACCCACTCAACATTCATACTACCCACCCCAAAGAAATACAGTGGGTACAGTACCCACATGAGCTAAATCTTATCTGGAGCTCTGTGCATGTTTGCTTGTACTGGTGCACATTAGTGTCATTTTTACAGCGCTATCCCATTGAATATAGCATGAATACCCCATTTAGGCACAAGATTACACAGATGGTAATCAAACCTAGAAACCTCTGTTCTGCAAGCAGTGTTCTATCCACTGGACCATGGAGGCATCCACAGTATATTTCTGCCAATGTCAATTGAGAAAGTAAAAGCTTATCACAGCAGTCATCAATCTTCCAGACATATCACCAAATAGTGTCTATAACCATTATGGGCTCGACAAGCCAGGGGTTCATATCATGTGCAATTGTCAACACAACCAGAGTATGATGACAATCCATCAACACTGTGTTGCCCCCATATGCTGCATGGGACCATTTCTTGTCTAGAATCCACACAGGGGTTGAATGTCTTAATCATGTATAGACAGTGAGCAAGGTCAGATAATCCTGTACATGTGTGAGAATTTTGTTTATAGACACTTCAAGCAAATGGACACAGAGAATTCTGGCATGCCCAAGGGATGCAACTCTGCACAGCAAATCACAGCACCATCAGCAACTGGGTCACCTGTATGCCAAGCCTACACATGAGAATAATAGCAAGTGTCAGTTTTCGCCACTTTTAGCAATATTCCAGCAATATCACTGCGGGGGACACCAGAAATGGGCTTCACACATTGTACCCATGTGGGGAATCGAACCTGAGTCTTCGGGCAGACGGGCAAACACTTTAACCACTAGGCTACCCCACTGCCCATATGGCCATAATTAAGAAGGCCCAGTGAGTTTTGCTCGTTGACTGACTGACTGAGTTTGGTTTTACGCCGCTTTTAGCAATATTCAGCAACATCACGGCAGGGTTTGCTCGTTGAACTTCATCACAAAATGTCATGGGTCTCAATAAACATTTAGAAACTAGACAGTTCATAATAATGATTTACTGCAGCGTCGATTTTCGATTGAGATAGAAATTAAACGAACGTTATTATGTCAGTGGGCTTGACACTGTGCCATATTCACGAGATATGATTTTCTAACATCACCATAGACAAACACTGCTTTGGAACATTGAGTCGATGCTTGCTATGATCGTTGAGAAACTGTCAAACGCAACCCATTCAAACAAGATTACGACAAAATTGTGTTATAACCTCTAATGCGACATATCTAGAATATAAATGAGAACACCACATACTCTTCGAGCCGGTAACCTGCAATTTGGTTTAGAGGGCAACTCAACGAGGACGATATTACAACGCGAAAGAACGAGACCGGTGCCCGTGAGTGCGAGTGAAGAACTATTTTCCTAACAACCTATCACATATTGAGGTATACATTCTGTACATATGCTGTTTTATGTTCATGGAAACTAATGTTTGTTGGGTTTTGGGGGTTTTTTTTGTTTGTTTGTTTTGTTTTGGATTTTGTTTTTGTTGTTTAATTCTAGACATATGACAGGGGATCAGACATACCAGTGACTGTTATCATGAGCACTGATCTATGCAACTGCAAGACGATGACTTGCGTCATGTAAGTCCTCGATCCAGACAATCAACGTCCTATGTGTATATGGGGCAAAGACCCCCGTTTGGCTTTTCTGATGAGAATGTATGCGCTGATATGCTTAGACCAAGTGCAAGATCACATTGAAGATTATTTTTGCCTTGGCGGAGCCAATTGGAGGAGATCCGCCCATGCATATGAAGGGATGAGGAAAGAAACGCGATACCGAACATGTGTACCAGGACGTCCGGGATAACTTACAGCTAGAATACATCCTCATGGGTTAGTTTCTGTCACCTGATATATATCTGCCATCAGTTATTTTTTGTCATCAGTAATTGTCTCCTGTGATGCTTCTGACAAATGTAGACCGCCTCCATGGTGTAGTGGTTAGAGCGTCCGCCCGGAGAGCGGAAGGTCGCGGGTTCGATCCCCGACCGCGTCATACCAAAAGACGTTGAAATGTGGTACTTGTTGGTCCCTGCCTGGCGCTCGGCATTAATGGGTACAAGGACTGGTCGTCTCGGAGTCAGTATAATGTGTCTGAGTGGGGTATTCATGCTTCACTGCGGCATGGTATCTCAGTGGGCTAGCACTATAAAACCAGCTTCAGTCTGGGCTAGTACAAGCCGCCGCACATACACATACACACGCATGCACGTCGTCATATGAGCGAAATATTCTCAAGCACGACGTTAAACCCAATTTCACCTCACCTCTGACAATAGTAACATATCTGTCATTCTATGATATTTCTGTAACCTGTGCTATTTCTGTCAACTGTAATGTTTCTGTAACCTGTGATATTTCATCATCTTTGATATTTGTGTCACCTGTGACATTTTGTCACCTGTGCTATTTCTGTCACCTGTGATGTTTCTGTCACCTGCGATATTTCATCATCTTTGATATTTGTGTCACCTGTGACATTTTGTCACCGGTGCAGTTTCTGTCACCTGTGATGTTTCTGTCACCTGTGATGTTTCTGTCACCTGTGATATTTCTGTTACCTGTGATGTTGCTGTCACCTGTGATATTTTATCATCTGTGATATTTCTGTCACCAGTGATATTTTGTCACCTGTGATATTTCTGTCACCTGTGATATTTGTCATTGTATTGTGATTGTCTGTGAAATATTTGCTATCTATAATATATATGTCACCTGTGATATTTCTGTTACCTGTGATGTTTCTGTCACCTGTGATATTTTATCATCTGTGATATTTCTGTCACCAGTGATATTTCTGTCACCTGTGATATTTCTGTCACCTGTGATATTTGTCATTGTATTGTGATTGTCTGTGAAATGTTTGCTATCTATAATATATATGTCACCTGTGATATTTCTGTCACCTGTGATGTTTCTGTCACCTGTGATGTTTCTGTCACCTGTGATATTTGTCATTGTATTGTGATTGTCTGTGAAATATTTGCTATCTATAATATATATGTCACCTGTGATATTTCTGTCACCTGTCATATGTAAAATACAATGAGTTTTGTTTTTTGTTTATTCTTAACACACACGCACACCATTTTCAGACAGTGAACCTGTTAATTGCTCCCACGGCAAATCTCTTATTGGATGTTGCGCTGCCCCAATGTTATATTTATATTGTAAAGAAAATACAAACTTGTTCCGTGACAAAAAGAACCCCCAAAAAACAAAAACAATTTTTAATGAATTTGTATACCCTGCAGAGTAATTAGGGTATATATAGTGTCGGCCAATAAATACACTTGAGAAATCACGCCAAAAGGAGAAAGTTTACGTGAGAATATTATTTGCCATTACGCAGCTTTATAAATTACTCATATACTTATTATGAATTACCATAATAAAGAGGTGAATGTCCAAGGCACATAAAAATAACGACTGGTTACGTAGACTAATTTCTTCCCTAACAACCATTGAAGCTAGTCGTGTGGGATGTGCATTTGTGCGGATGTCACGTGATCTTAGGTGGTGAATTTTGCGCTTTTGTGTTCAATTTCCGTTTATCGCAAGTTTCCGGTTCGATATACTACAAAAACAACGAATATTTAAGTTGCCAGCCCGATTTTAGTAAACGTAAGTATCTTATATATTAGAATAAGTTAATATCAGTTCATACTGACATTATTCTAATCTGTAAATTGAGTTTTCTGGGCATGCCACAGGCCGATGCACAGCCTATCGCAAACAGGATGTTGAGCGTGTTTGGCTTGGCCGGAAGTTTTCGATATAAACAGTAAGCAGACATCTATTTCCTCTCTTGCTTTGGATATTTAATGAAGCAATGTGGTGGTGATAATTATTACTTCGGAACAAATTGTATTTACTGCTCAGAATTTTAGCAAAGATGTCGTTTATCTGTCCGCCATTTTTTCCGGTTCGACGAAAGTGGGGCAAACTACAACAGTGTCGCTGTATCAGGTTGTGTTGTTTTCAACCCGGACACAGATTGGCATTTTCACTTCTTTCGGGAAGTTTAACAGGGTGTAAATTGTCGCCAGTTAGTGTCAGGTTTGTAAATATCATCGCGAAATTGTGAAAGGTTGATTGTCCTGTACATAACTGGTATCAATCATTCAATGATTATAGGTTTTGACGTCATGTGTGGACATTTTTTTATGAAAGGGCAAAGTAGAAGGGCCTATGATTTTGGGTTCCTCTGAAATTGTCAAATTTTCCGGGTCCAAATTCAGAATGTTTGTAGAGTTTTCCTTTTCAGTTTGAAATGTTGATACTGTGTTTCTTTGACCATTTTTTTTGGATATACAATATAAAACTACCATTAATACTACTACTAATATAAAACAGTTTTCGCCATAATTTAGCAGTATTTACGAAATTACTCCGCCGTTCGTTAAAATAATGAAACAGAATTAATTAAGATACTTAATTAGCTATTCACCGATGCGTCCAGCCCTTTTACTGCCGCCGATCTTGTTTTTATATAACTCAGCAGAAGTGAATCATGGAAGTATAAATAGATGTTTTTTCACAGCTAACTGTAATAGTTATCGCCATTCTGAATTTCTCATGCCATTCGTGAAATAATATATAATTATATCATACAGTAACCTCGAATAATTGATTGTCTGACTGTTTGAGCATTTCTTTTACAGTAGATTGATACGGAATGAAACAATTAATGACTTGTGAACTTGAATTTGCTATTACATAAGTCGTGGGACATCCCCCGGCTAAGTTAAAAATTTGTTATAGGGTTCATAACTTTATCTTTAATTTTTCTCTTATGTTACTTGCTGTGAAGTATTTTCTTTTGCTGTCCTGTATTGTTGTCAAATAACGTAGGAAAAAATACCGGAATTGTAATTGACTGGAACTGCGCACACATGATACTGATGTATTGGTGATAACTGTTACGCGGCGATAACTGTTCGCTAGCCAGTAACCTTATAGAAGTGGTATTCTGGTAAACAACTGATCATTTTATGGAAGTTGTATCACTTCAGCTATCAGGGTTCACACATGTGTCATTGAGTGTTGTATGTATGTGTTAATATATATGCAGGGATAGAAATACAGTTTTTTTCTGAGTGTGCCATTGACAGATAATTTAGGTGTGACTTTGTGAATATTGTGAGTAAGTGTGTCAATACTTTTGGTGATCCAATTAAAACTGAAATCAGTAAACATGATGTCAGCCATAAACTGGATTTAGCCTAGTGCATAGGCGGATCCAGAAATTTTCAAAGGGGGTGGAGGGGGGATGGTGTTCAGGGGTTTTGAACCCCACCTTGGCGCCACCATTGCAAAACATTAACTTCATTGTGGTCTGTAGTCATTTTCGGGGGGTGGGGGGGGGTTTTTCAAATTTCCCACATGGGTACAATGTTTGGATCCCATTTCTGGTGTCCCCGCCATGATGTTGTTGGAATATTGCTAAAAGCGGTGTAAAACGTACTCACTCACTTACTCACTCATATTCCGTCACAATTGTGCCATGCAAATTATGCACTATTTTGTACCCTGATATGCAGTAATTATCCCTATGTTGCATATGTTTCAGGAGCATTTGTTTCACGAAGCTTATAAACAGTTTCCGTCATTTGCACTCTTTGATGTGACTTCATATAAAGTTCAAAAAGTTTATTAGCTATTTGTAAATTTTTAAAAGTGCACAACAAAAAGCCATGTTTATTTCATTACTTTCAAAAATGTGGGACCCAAGTGAATACAAAATATGGAATACAAAAGAAAATTTAGTTATTTGCAATTATAATGACTGTGTGAGCATTGCTCACAATATTAGGACTGAACTGTTCTTGCTGCAGGTAGACGATGAAGCGGGCTGCATCCCCCCCAGTGGTCGTCAGTGAAGATGGCACTGTGGAGATTCAAGTGCTGGAGGAGAAGCGGGCTCGTACAGAGGAAGAAGTCTGTATTGACGAGGGGTGAGTTTCATGTGCTGATTGTACTAGTGCCCTGGTGCTCTGTGTTTGACACTGAAAAATGCCCAGTGCCCAGAACTTCTAAATAGATTTGCCCATGAAGATCTTCTTCAGCTACCTATGCTTGTCACAAGCTTTGACTGATGGGAGTGGGTGATCAGACTTACTTTTTGCATATCATGTTAACCAAGTTGCAGGGGCAGTGGGGTAGCCCAGTGGTTAAAGCGTTCACTCATCACGCTGAAGACCCGGGTTCAATTCCCTACATGGGTACAATGTATGAAGCCCATTTCTGGTGTCCCTCACCATGATTTTGCTGGAATATTGCTAAAAGCTGTGTGAAACCAAATTCACTCACTTACTGTCCCAGTTGCATACATTGACACTCATGCTTTCAATTTCTGGATTGTCCAATCCAGACTCGATTATTAACAGACTGCCATCATATAGCTGGAGTGTGGCTTAGCACAGCATAAGACAAGCAAACAAAACCAATTAGATTGCCTTGTTGTATCTGTTGATGCCTAATCCTGGTTGTGTTTCAGCGTTATATATGAAGAGGAGATCATACAGCCCCAGCAGCCTCCGCCTCAGTATCAGAATCTCATCATCCAACACATGGACATTGCAGAACCTCTGCTTACCCTCAAACGTCTCCTGGAAGTGCGACTACAGTGCTCTCTGTCAGAGCACCAGTTCTATTTGCAAGACAGTATACAGGTAAGCTCAGGGTGTTACCTGTCGTCAGTACTTCACAGTTTTGTGTAAACTACAGGGTTCAAAATTCCTTATGTGTATGTGGCAACCGCACAGATTAAATATGTTTCTGGTGACAAGAGAAAGGTACTATGTGACTGTTTGTATTATTTTGAGATATGGGAAAAGTAGAGCAGAGCCTGAGTTGGATGAAAAATGTGTTTGTCTCATAAGCTCAAGTAATGGTCCATATAATAGCACAAAAAACTACCAGTGATGCTGAGATTCTGATATTTGACCAAAATCTGCAGCATATGACTGTTAACTTTGTCAAGGGCACTTAGTTTGTAATCCTTTATTATTCCCTGAATATTGTGCTTTCAATCTGACTTATTGAAAAGAGTCATAGCTTTCATATACCTAGAATACTGCTAGTGCAAAATCAAATTACAATCAAGCAAATATTAGATGATATTCAGCCCCAAGTCTGCAGTCAATGCAAATGATAATTTCTACCCATGAAGATCCTGGTTAGAATTGGTCTTCAGCAATCCTTGCCTGTCCTAAGAGATGACAAACTGGATCATGTGGTCAAACTCACTGACTTGGTTCATACATGTCATCATAATTCAATCGCAGATTGGACCGCCTCCATGGTGTAGTGGTTAGAGCGTCCGCCCGGAGATCGGAAGGTTGCGGGTTCGATCCCCGACCGCGTCATACCAAAATACTTTAAAATATGGTACTTGTTGGTCCCTGCCTGGCTCTCGGCATTAATGGGTACAACAGGGACTGGTCGGCTCGGAGTCAGCATAATGTGTCTGAGTGGGGTATTCATGCTTCACTGCGGCATGGTATATCAGTGGGCTGGCACTATAAAACCAGCTTCAGTCTGGGCTAGTACAAGCAGCCGCACATACACACGCATGCACATCGTCATATGAGCGAAATATTCTCAAGTACGACATTAAACCCAATTTCACCTCACCTCACCTCAATCGCAGATTGATGCTCATGATCACTGGATTGTCTGTTCAAGACTCGATTATTTTCTGACCCCCGTTATCTAGCTGGAACATTGCTGTGTGTGACGTTAAACAACAAATAAGACAACAACAAAAAAGTAAATATTCCTTGTATTCAACGTTGTGGTGTTTTGTTGCCAGCTGGATGCCAACAAGAGCCTGGTAGATCAGTGTGTGCAGGGAGACGGCATGGTGCAGATCAACCTTGAAGTCAAGTCACAGCCAGGTGCGCTCACGGTCACTGTTAGCTCATACAACCAAACACTTCTCCATTCATTCATGTATATCCGTTTTGTGGGTGTTCCTGGTTTGAACACGTGACCAGCCACCCTTGTTGTACAAATCAGCCAAATGAAACGGATGGCCATGCAAAGTGAAAAGGTTCATCTTGTGTCAGTTTCTAAGGGCCAAGTTTCTCATAGATTCGATTCCCCACATGGGTACAATATGTGCAGCTCATTTCTGGTGTCCCCTGCTGTGATATTGCTGGAATATTGCTAAAAGCGGTGTTAAACACTCACTCACTCACTCACTCACTCACTCACTCACTCACTCACTCACTCACTCACTCACGGGGTAACTATTGAGGGGGGAAACAACTACTGCAATAGCGAGTCTATTGCAACATACTATTGCAATACTATTTTTCTCCTTGAATTGTCTCATTTGAAGTCATTTCCCAAATGAATGTATAGTTTATATGAAATAAAAACAAGTTGAAGTACATAGGCGGATGACTGTTAATCAAAGGGAGCTAATCTGGTGCGTCCTGTATTTTCAGCTGCACATTTATCAACGAAAATCATTACTAAACTGTCGATAGTCGCACAAACTATTGATGCATTGATAGTTTTTCGTTTCTACCATCGATTAATTGCTATCAGAGACACAACAATTGCAACCCATCGGTAGTTTGATGCATCGTTACAGCACTAACTCACTCACTCATAATATTGATCACTGGACTTGATTATTTAGAGGCTGCCGTGATAATGCTAGAATATTTCTGAGTGAAGCAGTAAGCGAAAAACATTCACTCTGTACATTTCAGCACAGCTAAGCAGATAAAATTTACCAAACAAATTCATTGCTCTTGACATATTTTTAAGTTTATCTCAAATTATGTAAGAGAGGTCATAGTGTAAAAATCCTGTTGGTTGGGACAGGCATTTCAACAGGAAGGCAGGAAAACTGATGTGATAGAAGTATGTAAACCCTTCATCTGATGGAGTGTCGAGACTACGTCATGTAGCCAGACCGTGTTAATGTTGTGTGTAACTATCTCCCTCAGCAGGTGTCAAGCCTAAAATTAACATCCTGGACATACTGAAGACAGCTGATGAAGTGGAGACTCAGCCAGTGGAGCCAGGTAGGTGCTTGTCCATCTGTGTCAGAGAGTTGCAGGGTGTTGTAACAGTTTGTAGTCTGTCCCGTTTGCACCCTTATAATAGTAAATACATATCAGATATATACTGTCAATAGGATGACTCACAGTTTTGCTTTCAGATTCCTTATGTTAAGTTGTCTTGTTTCAGTCCCAGCGGTTACTCAGCAGATTCAGCAGGCCAACACAAAGGTAGTTATCCCACTACCAGAAGAGTCGGAGAACGTCACACGGTGGATCGTGGACCAGAACTTCCGCAGGGAACAGGAGAGACTGAAAATACCCTTTGGTGAGTAGACCAAGGAAAGAAATCTTTCAAAATGTCCCACTAGACCACAGAACCAGTGAGTGGACAATAACTAGTGGTTCTGTCTGTACTTCACTGGTCCAAAATAACATTCGTAGATATACTTTAAAAAGTCACTGGCCACCAAGACCACTGCAAACTTATCATTTATCATTTATCATGGGTACAATGTGTGAAGCCTGTTGCCGGTGTCCCTGTCGCGATATTGCTGGAACATTGCTAAAAGCAGTATAAAACCATACTTATTCACTCACTCACTCACTCAATAAAGGTGTTAGGATCTACCCCAAAATTCTCACATATTGGAATAAGGAAGTCGTATATCATAGAACAGTCCCCTTATGAATAAGCATTTCTTTGCACATTTGTTGGAGATGTAACATTTCACTTTTCACTTGACTCATTTACAAAACCATGTGACATGGGAGTAAAAAAATATATGGTAGAATCATTCTGATGATAACTGGATTGCTGAAAGTGAACCCTGCTCCTAAAGGTCAGTCGCATCTCTTGCAGTGACAGAGTTCAGTTTGCAGAGTTACCTCCCTTAAGTCACACTTCAAAATGAAAAGTTGGTTTACCAACCTGGAAACACCCCAAAATTTAATGAAAACGTTTGGTGCCTATTTCTGTTTGTTATGCCAGTGGCTAGAAATTATTAAAATGGAAATTAAATTCTTAAAGTCTTGTCTACTGCTATCAATTTAAACATGTGACATAAATTATCTAAAATCCAGTGACTAAGCCCTGTTGAAATATATCCTAAAATTTTCAAAATACATCAATTCATGATAAATGGTGAAAGGAGGTTAGGAAATATGGTGACATTTGAAAATTTATCGATCTACTGACTGACCCTTAGTGTAGAAATATTGTAAGCACAAAAAATTAAGATTTCTCCGAGCATGTTTACGGTTACCATGCCCAGACTCTTAAGGCCTAAACAAAATCTTGAATTCTGGTGCCGACCCTAGTTTTTTAACGAGGTATGAATAAAATAACTTTCAGATACCATTGTTTTTCCCCGACACCAACGGACATTGGTCATACTGATAGAGAAAGTCGACATGATTGCTGCAAGCTTGATTGGATAAACAATTACACATTGATAAATGTTTTATTATAGTTCGTTCTTTACTTCTAAAAAAATGTAAATAAAAAATTCCTTCGTACCTAGCTACCCTAAATATTAGAGGTGTAATCGGAACCACAACATTTTTTTATTTGGCCTAATTGTTGCATCATGCCCCTAGTCATGAGGTCCAGTAAAGTGGTATGATCCTATTGTTTCTTGCTTTCTCATGCTGTTAGAATACTGGTGCTTCATTCAGTAATAATCACACCCTCACTTCAGTCATGTGATAAAACTGATATACTCTGCAGTATGTCTAAGTTCAGAAGACTGTTTTTGTTAGTAAGCCATACATAACACTAATTAACAGGGGAGGAAATAACTTTAAAATTGCTAGTGTACTCCGGTACAGTTGCACATGTAAAATCACTTGCCCTGATAATTTTTCCACTATACCGGCCACTTTTCTTGTTGGGTTTTTAAATAAACTACATAATTAACATTGGAAAGTCAACTGGACCCCAGTATAGCGTGATATACAAATTTACTTGCCCGACAGAAAAAACACTGGACTGGGGCGTCGGGCAATGGGTTATTTCCACCCCTGCATAAATGTGTCACCAGTGAAAGGAAATCTGTCGATTCTTTTGAGCTTTTCTACTAAAATTTACACCTAAAATTTGTATCAATGATTGATTGATATATAGTTAACGATTATCGACCTCCATAATCCATATCAATGGTCAAGCCTACTTTTTGGCGCAATTTAAATCTCAACTCACTCTTGTACAGACCCAGTTCAATGGAGTGAGGTGCATGTCCGGCACTGGATCCAGTGGGCAGTGAAGGAGTTTGCCCTTCAGGGCGTGGACATCGACAGCTTCCGCTTGGACGGCAAACAGCTGACTGAACTCACACACCCAGAGTTCATCAACTTTATCCCACACGATCCGGGCGACATATTCTGGACCCATCTTGAGCTGCTTCGCAAGTGTAAATTTGTTGGTAAGTAAGACCAACTTGGCTCTTGTCTACTTGATTTAGCAGAACAATTGATTATTACCACCACCACACAGACGCTGATATTTGGCTAATGTTATTTAAAATTTGATTGTCAGAGGCACTTGTTTGTAATCCAAGATAAATCTCTGTGTCATGAATGTATTGGTGGTGTGTTTCAGCCGTGATGCAGCAGCCGACACCTCATGCCATCACAACCATCACAGTTTCCACATCAGACACAGAAAGTGAGTTGTGGCACATGCTTGCAACATATATCTAACATGTTGACCGCAGTTTTAGGACTTACATGAAGATACCATTTAGACTTGGGTTTCAGCAACCAGTGTTACCAAGCGAACATGCAGCTACTGGGATCAGATGGTCAGGCTCACTGATATGGTTGACACATGTCATCGTATCCCAATTGCGTAGAAAGATGCTCATGATGTTCATCACTGGATTGTCTGATCCAGACTGGATTGACAGACCACTGCTATATAGCTGGAATATTGATGAGTGCGGCTTTAAACAACAAATGAACCAACTAATTGACGAGTGTGGTGTTAACGAAAACAAACCTAATGCTATTGGACAAGTCAACTGTGGATGATTCTCACTGATATGCTGTTGGTAATTTGGTGGATGTTAGTTTATGGATCCTTTGATTGCTATTCCAGCTATATTACACTTGGTTATTTATGATATCAGTGGCATTAACCCTCATGGCAGAGGTACAGGGATCCATTCTAAGCCAGGTCAACAGGTCCTGCTTGTAGTTGACTCTCACACCTGTGAGGTAGAAAATGTCTTCTGCAACCTTAATGCTAGTCATATAAAGCTACTTGGTGGATTGGACCACCTCCGTGGTGTAGTGGTTAAAGCGTCCGCCCGGAGTGCAGAAGGTCGCGGATTCGATCCCAAACCGCGTCATACCAAAAGACGTTAAAATATGGTACTTGTTGGTCCCTGCCTGGCGCTCGGCATGAATGGGTACAACAAGGACTGGTCGGCTCGGAGTCAGTATAATGTGTCTGAGTGGGCTATTCATGCTTCACTGCGGCGTGGTATCTCAGTGGGCTAGCACTATAAAACCAGCTTAAGTCTGGGCTAGTACAAGCAGTCGCACATACACATACACACGCATGCACGTCATCATATGAGCGAAATATTCTTAAGCACGACGTTAAACCCACTTTCACCTCACCTCACCTCACTTGGTGGATTGGTTGGTGAGGCGTGGTTGATTGTGTCTTTGTACCCAGTCTTGCTTAAATAGGCAGTGGGGTAGGTTGGTGGTGAAAGCATACGCTTGTTTTAGGTCTGGGTTCAAATCTCCACATTGACACAATGTGTGTTTCCCATCAGTGGTGTCCCCCACCATGATGTTGCTGGAATATTGCTTAAAGCTGTTTAAAACTCATTCAGTATTGCTTCAATATAGCGGAGTGTCGTGTGACATACAAACAAACAAAACAATGCTTTGTTCTTTCAACATTTGATCTTGATCTGAATCCCTGTGCAGACTCTATTCATTGAGACTGAGGTGTGATTCTTTTCTTTTGATGCTGCTGAGTTCAGGTTGACATGAATGTTGTATTTCCAGATCGTGTGAGATCATTATCCAAATCATCCCGTCCAAGGTCTCCCAGAATCACAGGAGAAGAACGTTTATCTCCAGGAAACAGAACAGGTGGGTACCTTGGTGTCAGGGCTGCCCATTGCCACATATAGGGGCGATGGGGTAGCCTCGTGGGTAAAGCGTTCGCTCATCACGCGGATGACCCGGGGTTCGATTCCCCACATGGGTACAATGTGTGAAGCCCATTTCTGTGTCCCCGGCTGTGATAGTGCCGGAATATTGCTAAAAGCGGCGTAAAACTAAAACTCACTCACTTACTCACTCATTGCCACATATATTTTCAATACTGATGCAAGAATAATGGAATTGTTACGGAAAAATCCTCATGCACATACGTCAACACGAGGAGAATAAATATGTCATAGACTGACATGATGTCTGTTGCAGGTAACAACGGTCAGATCCAGCTGTGGCAGTTCCTCCTGGAGCTACTGACAGACAAGGACTGCCGGGAGATCATCCAGTGGGTCGGGGACGAGGGAGAGTTCAAGCTCAACAACCCCGAGATGGTGGCCCAGTTGTGGGGGCAGAGGAAGAACAAACCTACCATGAACTACGAGAAGCTCAGCCGTGCCTTACGTTACTACTATGATGGGGATATGATCGCAAAGGTTAGTGTTAAGCACAGGGGCAACAAAGGATACAATCTATGATATTGCTTGAATATTGATAATAGCAGTGTTAAGCCATACTCACTCACTCACTCACTCAGTTTTATACTTGGTGACACCTGCGAACTTCCTGGGCCTTGTTACAGAATAAGCGGTATGAATGCTACGAGAAAAGTTACGAGATCTTAGGCTTATGAGAGCTTTGTGAAACAGGGTCCTGGTTAGAATTGATCTTAGGTAACCCATGCTTGTCGTAGGAGGCGACTAACGGGATCGGAGGGTCAGGCTCACAGTCTCGGTTGAATCACGTCATTGTATCCCATTTGCATAGATTGGTGCCCATTATGTCAATCACTTGATTGTCTGTTCCAGACTTGATTATTTACAAACCTCCATCATCTAACCAAAATATTGCTGAGTGTGCTGTTAAACAGCAAGCCAACAACAAACAGGACATGGTGACTGCAAAGGAGAAGAGAGCAGTGACATGTGTTTTTGTATATTTGTAGGTTCATGGGAAGAGGTTTGTCTACAAGTTTGTGTGTGACCTGAAGATGTTGCTAGGATACAACGCAGGAGAGCTGAACAGACTGGTTGGGGAGTCAGCAGAGAAAAAGCTACAACGAGTACGGGAGAACCTACGTCCCCTGGGTGTGAAACGGGTGGATCAGAAGACCCAGACCATGTGCTAGACTGTTCCAAGCCTTATAACTAGCTGTATTAAGCAGTAGGACTGGGTGCTGTCTTGTAGCACTAGAACTACTCTCGTTCACAGATGACGTGTGGAAACCAGAACAATGACCAACCGGTGCCATGACTGGACGCCCTGATTTATTCGATGACCAGTGGGCAGCTACAGTGCTTTGTACAGATAAACTGAATTCCATTGTGAGATCTCAGCTGGGAGGTCAGCCATGTGCTGCCCATCTGTCCTGGGCTCTGTGTGTGTTTGTGTGAGAGTGTGAGTGAAGAATTCGTCTACTCCTGGGTGAAAAGCTACTGACATTCACTTAACTAATTTCTCCTGATGTAGGGACGCTGTTATGGGAGTATGGTGCAAGATATTATAAACCCAGGGTTTGAATAGTAAGATGATGATTTCCTTCTCTAAACTGACTGAAATAGTTCCTTAGCAAACTATGTTTTCTTTTTAATTGACTAACAGGATCGGGTGGGGATTTGGTTTACACATGTCATTGTATCCCAATTGCATAGATCGATGCTCATGCTGTTGATCACTGGATTGTCTGGTCCAGACTCGATTATTTACAGACCGCCCCCATATAGCTGGAATATTGCTGAGTGGCGGCGTAAAACTAAACTCACTCTTTTTAATTGACTCCATAATGCACTCAACCCACAATGTATAGAATCAGTGGAAGGCCAATGCAGCGTTAAGGTCCAACAAGAGATTTAAGATGGCTAATACAGCTTGTGCATGATTGCATTCCTTAAAACGGAATGATAACAAGTAGATAGACTGCTGTCATCACACTTTGTGTGTGTGGATCCTATTGTGTATGTATTTTTATATATTTCCTTGACACTATGTGGGAACATATAGTTTAAGCAGTCAATTAAAATGCATGTTTGAAATTGGTTGACTTATGCCAATAAAATCTGCCCCAGTCCAATATTACTTAACAAGGCCAGTATGATAGGCAGGTATCAATAAAATATAATAGAGTATTTATGGAGTTTTAGGGTTCAATCTGTGAACTAAGTTTAAATCATTGCAGATTAAAACACTACATTAAAAATTAGTTATTTAATTCCTTTTGTCAGCTGATCGCCAAGACTTGCTTCAGAACTCCCAGACAAAGTGTCGGTATATCCATGACAAGGTTGATGTGATGAAATGAAGCCCTGAGTGATGCTTGCCTGGCATGACGAATGTTGACTGTTTATATGTGAATGTACGGTACAATGCATCCTACATTACATGCCCTGTTGGAAAAGTGGCTGAAGGCTTCATCTGTTGCTGCTGTTTGTGGTCTTAAGAAGTGTTTTTAATTTTTAATGAATAGGTGTGTAAAATCAATTGACAAAAGAGAATAGCTTCAGTTGCTCAAACAACATTAACATTTAACAGATTTAGTCAGTTTTGAAATGAAGGTGCAAACAGGTACAAAAACGTTTTAGCATCACTGGTATGACCAATATCCAATGGACAATGTTGTTACTTCTGTCATGGGTTTAATCATGCTTTAGGAAATGGTTTCTGATTGGTCGATCAGATTACCGGGGGCCAATTGCAAAAGGTATTTTAGGAAGTCATGGCAAGTGACGTAGACTGTTGAAGCATATGGTTTCCATTGGATTGCTCAGAGTATTTCACAAGTTCATTATTCAGGATAAGTTCCCTTTGTCTCCGAATGAGTGAATAATTAGTGTTTGCCTGTCCTGGGATGAGTTCATTATTTATATATGTCCACAAGCCTGAAGGGCCCCTTTAACTGTCATCCAGCTGCAAGGCAACATTATTCTTCAGTATGTCACCGACGTAGCTGAGATCCCAGCCACAAGATATGCATTTTCTTCATCATATATATTCTGTTTCTGCTTCCATTATCATTACCCCCATGTTATGAATATTTGTAAATATTATTTAACAATTTCCCCGACTCAGTTCCTTATCAGTGCTAAGACACCTGTTTACATTAGAAACGCCTACTTAATTCTGATAAGGAACATTGTTTCTACACTGTTTGCATGTGATGAATGTTCTTATGTTGGGTGCAGTGTACCATTGTATGGCATGCATTTAGAGGGGGCAGGGGCTCTTACTATATTAGATTAACATATTGCGCTGAAGGGAAACCAAGTTCTACGGATAGTCAACTTCATTATTGCAGTGAATGCGACGTTTTGGTGTAGATAACCTTCTTGCGCCAAACAGATAGCTTGGGTTATCCGGAGTAATAATGTGCTATGCTTTGATTGTTAGCGCTATCAGCATACCTAGTATGGAGTTTGGCGCGCTATATACATGGACACATTATTATTTATTATTCGATACTAACACCGTTATCAAGCAAGTGACTTGTTTGATAACGGTGTTATATTTGCACCAAAACATACTCGACACACTGAAACGTTCTCTAAACAAGTCACAAAGCTGAAGTTTAGTGTTAAAACATGGACTTGGTTTTCAATACCATCATCACTGTCATGTCATCAAAGCCCATTTCAGCATTCCAATGTTTTGTTCTATGACAACAAATTTGGACACAAGGATGCATTAGTGTTACTCTACATACATGACACATGTAAGGTTACTGCAGAACCAGCTTTCCTCATGTCATTGTTTGAGTACAAATATTGTATATATCGTACACTGTCATAAAGATATGTACTGGATTGAACTTTACAGGCATCCTGTATGTGCTTTGTCAATGGTTCCTAAAAAGTAATCTTGTGTTAAAATATTGAAAAAGCAAGATTTTGATAGAAACTGTAGCATTCTTTTCACGAGACTAGTTTGTGAATTTCACCTAAATGATAACCTCACCCTCACCCCTGCATTAAGCCAACCTATTATTGAAATTATGTTCAAAGTAGTGTTTTGACATAGGCACACTTGCATTCATTCATCTACTGATAGTGAACTTACTTTTTCACTTTGTTGTACTGATGTGTACTTGCAAATACTCATTTCTTGAGAAAATAACACTAATCTCATTTGAGGTGTAAATTTGAGCCTTGACATTTCTGTGATTGCAAAAAAATATTCCATAGTTCTGTGAACATTGACTAGACCTTTCCATGAACTAGCAAAATCCACTGATTTAGTTATGTAGAGTTTCAATTTTTGTTAGACATGTCATTACAATTATTTTCACCCTTGTATATACAATGCCTTTTAAAAAGTCGTCAGGCGTTATATTTTGGATTACACTTTCTCAGTAAAGTCCCTATTTCAGTACTCTTTTTAGTTCAGTCCAGTCCAGAGTCTAATTCCTGGGATTCTCTTTGGAAAGAGGATAAGATAATCTTAAGATAATCTACTATGACAAGCATATAGCATTGATGTATTCTCTGGCAATGTCTGGCAAGGTTTAAGATGGGTCTTTAAGTTAACAGGAATAACTAATTTTTATTTAACTGCATGCTGTATTTTTATTTTTTTGTTTATTTTTCCTTCAAAATTGTGTTTATCAAAGCACGAAAGAGCAACTGTTCAGAATTATATTGATTGTCATCTAAGCATGTGTATCAATGTTGGGTAAAAACTGCATTATAGTGAAGGGAACGTTTTACCTTGCTTACATTACGATCTTGTTTGTACATATTAACCATATCAAGTATGACTTGTAACAAGTTCCAGCATGAAGACCATAGTCACTGTTATCTCTATGCACATTATTGGGTTTTTTGTATATAGTGACCGTAGATGTCCCTGTACATAGCGATCATGTATGGTGTAATTTCTTCATATGCGTCAGTTGTGAAGTAGAGCACAACTGGTTCTCAAACTGTGAACTGAAGTGTTTAAACACCATTGTTATTTCGACTGTAACACCAAAATCTTACATCAGAACTGCTTTTGAAACTGTGGTATTTTGTCATTTCCATTGATATTTCCAGTGTTGATTGGAGAACTGATTGTGTTTTATTTCTCAAGCATTACCTTATCGTCATATATGAAAGCATTTGTATATTAGGCACCATCAAATATTCCTAATAAATCATCATTCATTCAAATAAATGTGACCATTTTGTTTTTTGTATTAGTAAGTTACCTGGAGTTTCTCCTGACAACTTGAGATTATACCACGCAGTAGCCTCTGTGGTGAAGTGGATGGAGAGTCTGCCTGGAAGATCCTAAAATCTGTGGTTCGATTTCCAGCAGGTTCAGAGTCCAAAGACTTCAATAGATGAAGTTTTTGTTACCTTAAATGGCACACCAATGGAATGAAAAGGACTGGGCCTAGATTTTCGAAGTTTTCTTAGCGCTAAGGTAGTCGTAAGTGCCATACATTAACATTAACTTACGACTATCTTAGCGCTAAGAGAGCTTCGAAAATCTTGGCCCAGGTTCTTAGGCGTATACTGTGTGCGAGTGGGTATCGTTGTTAAACAGCATATAAAAGCGGCATTTGATGCTATGTTCACATTATCACGATTTGCGCCACGCTTGAAATTGTGGTCTTAATTGTGGACTAATGGTGGTGATCCTGTCAGATCTTATTAGGTCTTGAGGTCAGTCGTGGCAATCGTAGAAAAATTTTGGACGGTTCAAAAAATGTCTACGATCAACACGATTAATTGTGATCATCGCATCAGATCGTATTGCATCGTGACAAAGTGCAACATATCGCATCTAATCGTGGTTCCCAATCGTGATCGGAATCAATCGTGGACAAGACAAACACCACGCTCTGTTGAGGTGTGTTGCAATCTCTCACGATCTGTGACGCTCTGTCGGTCACATTGACCACGACCTGACACGAATGACTCACGAGCAGATACGAATAAATGCGAGTAGATACGAGTAAATGCGAGTATTGATGCTTTTTCACGGACGCTCATGATCTATTACGAGTTACTGCAGCCTCCATTATATCCTTCACTGTGTTGGGCTTCTGCTCTTGAGTCCTGGGGAGACGCCTGAATCTATTGGTCAGGATCCCAAAACCATTTTCCACCACTCTCCTCCTCTAGAGAGTCTGCAGTTGAAAATCCTCTCCTTTTGGACATCCTTCTTCTGCTGTATGGCTTCATGAGGTAGTTCCTGAGTGCGAAGGAGTCATCCCTCAGGATGGAGAAGGGCATGTCTTGGTGGTGATCAGTGTTTGCAGTCAGCGGGCAGGGTGGGGTGGAGTCCTTGGTCTTCCTCTTCCAGGCTGTTGAACTGCTCCGAGTTTGACATGTGTCCTTTTCCACCAAGCTCGATCCACACAATCTTGTTATCTGTACCCACCAGAGCTAGGAGTGGTATCGAAAAGAAGCCATTGTAACTCAAGTACAGGCTGCCAGTTTGGGGTCATTTCTTGATGGTAATGTGTTTGCCATCGAAGAGCTGTGGTGTTAACCTTGTGTAGATTTGGAACGCTACTGGATCATCCAGCCTCAAATGGGTGTGTAGGAGGCTGGAAAACTGACCAAACTGTTGTCTCCTCCCCTCTGTGAGCCATGGTCGCACCCAGAAGTGCCAGACTGCAACTCTCCTGGCTCTTTGTGATTGGAGTTGTAGCTGGTCTGGCTCCTTCTCGTCTTCTTCCTCTCTGGCGATAACGTAAGCAGACAGCAATACTGCAAATGTCACGTTGTCATCTTCCTCAACTCCTGCCATCATCAGTGGTTGTGGGTTGTAGTGTTCACTCTGTAGAAGTTCAAGAAACAATGATGTCCATGGTCAGTCGGGATGTATATGCCAATCGGGGTCCAATCGTAGCTCAAATCGTGATCATCCTCGATCATAATGGTGAAAGACATCGCGACCACAATCGTATCCTATCACAACAGAGTGCATCGCTTCGTGATGAACGTATTGGTACGTACCTGCGCGTACCAGATCGTCCCTAATCAGTGACACCGATCGTGATAATCGTGTCAGATCGCAACCCAATCGTGGACTCGATCGGGACAGAACGTATCCTATCAGAACGTATGTGATCGTATCTGAACGGGAGACCAGATCGTCATCTTAAATTAACCAATCGTGACAATATTGCATCCAAGCGCAACAAATCGTCTAAGAACGTATCGACTCGCATCACCTCGTATCCAAACCTGAAATTTCAGAGAAATTCCACGATCAGCTACGAATGGCCAATCGTGGCGTTGGTAACGGATCGCACGACAGTGTGAACCTAGCATTAGTGTGTGACAGTACAAACGGCCACTGAATGTACGTCCCTATTTAAGAGACCGCCTCCGTGGTGTAGTGGTTAGAGCGTCCGCCCGGAGAGCGGAAGGTCGCGCGTTCGATCCCCGGCCGCGTCATACCAAGGTCGGCTCTGAGTCAGTATAATGTGTCTCAGTGGGGTATTCATGCTAAACTGCGGCATGGTATTTCAGTGAGCTAGCACTATAAAACCCGCTTAAGTCTGGGCTAGAACAAGCAGCCACACATACACACGCATGTACGTCGTCATATGAGAGAAATATTCTTAAGTACGACGTTATTAACCCCTATTTCACCTCACCTCACCTATTTAAGTGCGACGCTAAACCAAGTTTAAACTGAATCCCAGTAACTTGGAGCTGGAATACGGTTATATACTGAACACACAAAAAAACTTCACATTTTTAGAAATGAATTATGTTGAAAATGGGTAGTAAAAGGTAGTTAATATGTGCGATTATTACCTATACGGTGAAACATAACCAGTGTCATATATATATATCATGTGCACTTTTGCCAAGCAACCATTGTTTCTGTATTTCGTCGTCTGTGACGTCATTAAACAATTGAACGTGATGTAAATGAAGAGAGCCGTCACACTTGTTAAGGTGTTTTACTGCTCGGCCAATACTAACTTTCACACTCGTTTCGTATAAGTCGCATGACACACTTGCTCTTTATACCTCAATGACCAGGTGTAACCTGACGCATCCGACATTTGCAACTGGTGAACCAAGCAGGGTGCACGCATCATGCTCTTTTGTGAAAATGCGACGCTGCAAGTGAGCCTTACCAACAACACGCGTGCAGAGTTTTTTAGCGATTTGGGACCGTTCATAATTTATGGCTAGGGGGGTGATAATGATTTTAAGGGGGTTACCCATTTTGTTCCGAGGAGCTTTTGGGGGGCAGCAATTTTGTACATACGTAGGGGCTGGTTTCAGCAATTTTGTACATAAAAACATGTTTAAAACTATGCTTAAAATTTATGGATGGGGGGGTCATTGATTTTGTACATGACATGCAGGGGTCATATTTTGTAGATAAATTTTTTTGGGGGTGTCATTCACATTGTACATGCTTCTCCATAAAATCATCATCATCCCTCCCCCAGCCATAAATTATGAACGGTCCCTTAGAGAGATAAGCAATTCTTATGCCACGCCTTCCAAATGTTGAACGTGAAGGTGCAGTGGACATGCTCTAGTCTGGTCAGTCCACTGTGGCTGTTTACGTGCCATGAGATGCAGTAGACGGACAATTCACATCCCGAGGACACATCGCCACAGGTCACATGCCGAAGACTACGTCATTTGCGTACTCGTTTTACGACTGCAACGTTAACCAGTACTTAGGGGCCGCGTAACTGCCAAGACCATACAAAACCGCTTTCTGTGCCCATCTTCGTGCCCGACGTCCGTAATGAACGTCTTCCCTGGGCACAATTGTACTGGCACTTTAACAAGAGACAACGGGATAGGGTGTGTTTAGCGACGAATCACGGATGCGGTTTGCCGGAAGAGTTCGAGCGTTGTATAAGAGCGGTGAACGTCACGCCCAGTGCTGCGTACAGGATGGGAAGTTGATCGATTTCGTTGGGTTAGCGTAATGATTTGGGGGTCTTTCTGCAGAAACGTCCACTCACGTCTTCTCGTAATTCGATGGAATCTCTCGGAACTGGTGTCGTCCATCGCTGCTCATGGTCCCAGGCCTCCATTTCCAATATGACAATGCGACACCACACACATATCATATGACACGAAATTTCCTGCAAAATGCTGGTATTGACGTCATCCAATGACCATCGAGATTACATGACCTCAATCCTATGAACCTATGTCTAACTCTGTACGCTAATTACGTCGATAGACCAGACATATCAACAAGCAACAAACTTGTTCCATATGGGTATGTTTGGAACATACAGTAAAACATGTCAAGTTTCCTTTTCTTCAGTAGATTGCCAGAGTCTGATATTTTCAGTTTTGATATTCACCATTTTCACATCTCCCACCAGCCTTTGATTTTCATTCCGACTTCAGATAACAGAATCATTTACTTGTCTCAGTTTCCTAGTTTTCTATTATTTCACGCAAGAATGAAAATAGGACGGTGTGGTAGCCTAGTGGTTAAAGCGTTGGCTCGTCATGCTGAAAACCCAGGTTCGATTCCCCACATGGGTACAATGTGTGATGCCCATATCTGGTTCCCCCCACTGCGATATTGCTGGAATATTGCGTAAAATTGAACTCACTCTCTCACTCAGAATGAAAATTCAGTCAGGCGGGAGATGGGAGATACAGTTTTCCCAGAAATTATTGAGAAAATCTTTGTTTCCTAATTCTGATAATAGAATTATAAAATAGGTGTTACATTATGTAGTATGCTACTCAATATGGGAGGCAACTCTTGTAGGCTTAAAGTGAACCGTACTACATCAAGAGTTATCTCCCCTGATGTAGCAGACGGCTTCCTTTGTTGACATGGTAGATTAGACAGCAGAAGAGAAAGGAAGCTGGTTGTAGATGATTTTGATACAGGTGTGACTAACGCGTTAGCGGGTTGACGTGACAGTCGTCTGTCTAAAGTATACAGAACTTTGAAGAATATTCAGTCATGAGTTGGGACTGAGCAGAAGACAGGGGCAGGAAGGCCAAGGAAGTTCAGTAGGGCCTAGTACGGATCGTCGGCGACTTGGTCAGAATGTGAGTACGGGGAAATTGAAAAGCGTTGGGAATATCAGAAATCAGATGATTGAAAGAGGAAGTCTGCAGGTATGTAATGAAGCCCTTAAGAAGAATTAGAAAGACTTAACTGGGTGAAAAAGCGCGGAATTCCCTCACCAATGATGAGATATGGACAAAAAGAAAGACACTTGCAATGATGTAAGGCCCATGGAAATCAAGATTGGGATAATGCTTTCTTTTCTGATGAAAGTTCTGTCTGGCTCTACCAACGCCCAAAATATAGCCCGAAACGTCACATGTGGGGTGGGATCACAGGGGCTTGTAACGCTAAAAACTGCCATCAAGGTATGTACTGTCACTTAGCACTATATCAAAGCTAAGACCCCGTTAGTGACCGTACATACCTTGATGGCAGTTTTTAGTGTTACAAGCCCCTGTGATGATAACGAGTGAGTGAGTTTAGTTTTACGCCACACTCAGCAATATTCCAGCTATATAATCGAGTCTGGACCAGACAATCCAGTGATCAACAGCAGGAGCATCGATCTGCGCAATTGGGAACCGATGACATGTGTCAATCAAGTCAGTGAGCCTGACCACCCGATCCCGTTAGTCGCCTCTTACGACAAATATGGGTTGCTGAAGACCTATTCTAACCCGGATCTTCACGGGTCTCTTCTGATTAGGAGAAGTATAGGCTGCTTAGAACCAGTCCTAACCTGATTCACTAGAGGTATACCAATGTCAGGGGCGGATCCAGGAGTTTGGAGAACGGGGGGTGCACATAAATCATGAAGTCCAAAGGTTCATGAAGTTATTGAAGGTTCATTCTAACCCGGACCTTCACGGGTAGTGATGATAACGACCACAACCTCAATGCGGCTACACAAAACACTGGTTGTCGGACGAAAATGTCCAAGTTTTAGACTTGCCAGCTACGGCCCAGATCTTAACCCTATTGAGAATGTGTGGGGACTAATGAAGGACAGAACAAACCAAAAAGGACTTAGAAATACTGAGGATATGAAGAAAGAACTGGTCGAATATTGTGATACGCTGTCACACGATTTCCAACAAACTTTGATCTGTCGTGTACCTAGGCGCATTCGGTCGTGTAGTGCAGGGCAAGGATGTCTCACAAAGCACTGAAAAGACACTTAGACTGTAAGAGAATCATATCTCAACGTATTCATTTAAGTAAAACTTCTATAGTTTATATACACGTACTAGATATTTTCCGGACCAAGTCTCTCAATAATTTCTGGGAATACTACTGTAGAAAAACTACTTGCATCCTAATGTGGAACAGCGTATACCTTGAGTTGATGTACTAAGTGTTGTAGGACATTAGCCTGTATGACATGCTCCAGTGCCTTTCTGTGGATCAATACCTATTTCTGTCAACCCGGTGAAAAGAGGAACTGTTGTCGTCAATAACTACAAGCCATGAACCGGAATATACAAGGTCATAGACACTCCTAGTCTGCCATCTAGACCCTGAACACAAATGCAGCCCCTGCAAGTCTAGAATGTATGGCAAGTGTATAGATTACCTGAATTTCTGGAAATGAAGAAAGTCTCCGAGCTCCTTTCTATTTTAGATAACTACATAAATTAGAAACCGTTTTTTTCTGTAAATTATTTCCATTTCACAGACTAGGTGTTAGTCTAAGCTGCTCCCAACGTTCCAACAAAACAGAATCGATTTCCCGTAAAAGGCAAACTAAGTGTAAAACCTGTATGATTGGACCTCCAGCAATCAATGAGGATACAAGGCGTGTCCTGGTTTTCAGATGGCACTCGCATTTACACGATTTGCTGACAAAGAGCCAGAACTTAATGCTTGACGCCCCACATCCTGGCTTAGTTTCGGCTCGATGGTTGTAGTGGCTTCATCTCCCAATGACGTCCTAATTCTTGGTCACCGCCGAAATGAACGGCATCGTTGTTGTAGCTGTTGCACTAGACATAGCCTTAACACTGTGTGAAACCACTTGTGTTGATTACAACACCATTGTCACACAGAATGTATCAATGGATCACCACGCTAATCAAAGAATAAGAGGCAGCTCTGTGTATGATTGTGTTGCGCACTGCCTCACTGCTTCAGGGTGTCTGTCCTTTACGCTGGACACCAAAACACGCACCTGTTACCTCTGTCCTTACAGCAGTCACCAGTCCGACGTCATCCCGCGACCAGGATTTATCTTCAGTGACATCAATCTCTGGCCTAAGGTAAGAAATTTCCAAACTGAATCCTTGACCCCAAAACGACACTATTAAATCTGAACCGCACGTTTGCTTACGTAATCGGCACTCTCAAATTTGAATCAAACCCTTGCTTACATAGACGGCACTATCAAATCTGAACCAAACCTTTAAGTCTTTAAGCCTTTATTCAGTATTGGAGGCCTCGTGGCCTAGATTACAAACTGTGCTGAAATACATATTTCTGTGTGGAATACTTACTATGGTAGGTTTTTTCTGATAAGTACAATGATAACACATGTAGAAATAGTTACATTGTACAAGAAATGATAATTCAGTATTTATAACACATGAAATAATGTTAATGCAAAACCCTTGCTTACATAAACGACACTAACTATCAAATCTGAACAGTGCCCTTGCTTAGTCCAACGACACTATCAAATCTGAACCAAACCCCTGCTTACATAAACGACACTATCAAATCTGAACCAAACCATTGCTTATATAAACGACACTATCAAATCTGAACCAAACCTTGCCAACGTAATCGTCACTAATTATCAAATCTTAACCACATCTTGCCTAACGTAAACGGCACTAACTATTAAGTCTGAACCAAGCCCGTACTTACATTAACGGTACTATCAAATCTGAACCAAACCCTGCCTTAGGTACACGGCACTAACTATTAAATCTAAATCACATCCTGAATATCTTAAATGGCACTAGCAAATCTAAATCACATCCTGAATATCTTAAATGGCACTAGCAAATCTAAATCACATCCTGAATATCTTAAATGGCACTAGCAAATCTAAACAACACCCTACCTATCGTAAACGGCACTAGCAAATCTGAACCACATCCTTAATATCTAAACAAAACCTGCCTAACAAAACCAGCATATGCATCAAATCCGAACCGCGTCCCGCCTAACATAACCGGTACTCACTAGCACATTTGTAGCTGTAGTGAAATAGGCGTGGTAACGGGTGTTTGCGGAATGAGCACTTTCTGCCCTGCCATTGGTACCCGTTACAAAGACGGCAAGTTATCAGAAAAAAACGTAACTTATGGTACAAGTAAAAATACAATGTAGGTAACTTTCTTGCAACCTCGGCGGTGATGACAAAACAATCGATTTAAAGCTTAAATAGCCTTGATCTTCAATTCGCCCACCCATACAAATGCAACAAGAATAAACACACGCCCGCACGCACGCACACACACACAAAAGAAAAAAACCTATTTCTCAGCTTTCATTATTCAACTCTCGTGTGTGACATTACAGGCCAGGGTTTGGTGTCAGCGGAGTTTCTGAATCCCACAGTTCTGCTGTGTATCTACATAACCGTGCAGCGTTTCAGAAAACGTAGCTGTGCCTGACGTCGAACAAAACAATTTAGTTTCTAATCAACATTGGAACACAAGGTGCGTGCCGTTTATATCACGTCTGTGGAGATGACAAACCTTTCTGGATGATCAACTTCTTCAGTCTCACAATAACGACGTTTCAGTGTAACTTCTTATACTGTTTTCATGAATATGCAAGCTATACCGAAACGTCGCCATTGTGAATATAAAGAAATTGGTCATCCATAAAGGTTTGTCATCTCTATACCACATTCTTCTAGAATGCCACTCAAATAAAAGACTGACCGAAAGGGAATATATGTAATTCCCACAACAAGAAATACGTATAGGAAACTACCGCACAGACATAAACAACACGATGAATCCAGGAGAATGACATTAATAGCTGATGCATGTTGTCTTTGTAAATATAACACACAGGATTTACGCTTAGATTGGTGCAGTCCTGAATCTTTGAGTTCCCACAAGACCCCTTTCTTCATTCCTTCAATTGTCATGAATACCCAGATCGTGAATATGTTATCAGTATCATGGGACCGTTACTTGTCACGGCTGTTAAAAACTGTTCTGGATGAACAGACGTTGTCCAATCTTCTATATTCAATCAATATAGATATTGTAAAACGATTTCTCAGATGAATTGTCCGAATGTGGCGATCCTCACCGGGCGTTGTCACACGTGGTCGACCACTCCAACGCCTGTCTGACGTATTGCCTGTTCGTCTTAGTCGTTGCATCAGTTGCTCCGGACAGTTGCTCCGGTGCAGCCGAAGGTTGTGGCAATGACGGTGTGGTTAGCTCCTTGTTGGGTCTTCCGACAGCTCTCACTCTTTCGATTTGCACCAAACGTGGCATATTTTTTGTGTTCTTTTTATTACTATGTCGTTCACATGTCACGTTGGCTGTTTTATATCGTCGGTATGCACGTGCATTCCTTGTTACACCAGAAAAAGCCTTTTTGTGAATTTTTTGTGACGTTCAGGCGATTCGTTAACTTGTCACGACGTTTGTTCCCGGAAAGGATAGGCCTGTAGGTGTGTGACATGGTTCAGTATGGCTTTATCACTTCAGTTTTAGTTTTATGAATGTTTATGCAATATTTTGCTATGTATAGTTTCTTTTGAGCACTAGTTTAGATGCAACAGTAGTTGTACTTGAGGCCAACACGACTGAATAAAATCTATACAACCACCGACATTTACACTACACTGTTAATAGGAATCATTCATATATATTAAGTTGGATATTGCCCTGATTCTCATATTGCGCTATATAATTTAAGAGATATTGCAATAAAGATTGTGATATATTGATTGGAAGGTTTCTGCCCAAGTTCATACATAATAAATTCATAATAGCTCTCTGTGTGCGACATCATCTTCTTAGTTGCTCGTAGTTACTTTCAGGCTCCCCCGTCCTCATTGTGTATGGCTGTATGCCAGTGGTTTAAAGATGCATAAAATGATATAGAGCCTTAATGTGGAATGTTTAATTGAAGTATTGCAATGTTTTGCGAACATAATGATGAAGGTAATAGTATAACATGATTTTCATGGTCAGTGTTGTTTGCTTCAACAGAATGCACTTCAATGCAGTATGTAATTATTGTTACTGTATGTCAGTGATTCATTCAGATTCAACTCCAAAATAAACGCGTTAACATGAACTATTACAAAATGAAACAAAATCATGATTTATTTGAGCTTAAAATCGCACGTGACCTCCAGTAATTAAGATCCTTGACTATAATGCCGTTATACAGTCCTACAAATATGTAGGACTTAGGCCTTTATGATAAATTGATAACAGATGTCCTATTATGAAATAAACGAAAATAACAAAATAAAAAAAATTGGTCCATTTGAGGCCAGTCCCAGTCAATTCCTCCAAAATGTCACATATTAAACCATTCAAATCCACAAAACTTAAAGCATTTAGTGAAATATTTGGTACTTTTGGAGCCACTTATAAAAATACTTGTAAAATGTTACATGAAACCAACAGAAATAAAAGTATATTTGGCACTTTGACACTCTGTTACAAGGAATTATTTCGTTGAAAATTTTTCGGATCCTAGGTCTCAACAATAAATTATCTCTAATTATCACAGGCTGGTCGAGATAATATGTGTGAAGCAGCTGATTTATGTCCCGAATTACAAGTGAATTACTTTCCCAGGCGTATCAAGTGACCGATTGCAAATATACTCAACACACAAAGAAACTTCACATTTGGAGTGATGAATTATATTGAAAATGGGTGGTATCAGGTAGTTGTTATGGCCCAATAGTATAGGCTTAACCTTACGCATCTGCCTACTCCATTTGTGATATATATACTAAGCTAAAAAGAAACTTCACATGTGTCACGTCATGTCTCAAACATACCATGTAGATTGTGGAGGTTGCACCAAGGGCACCTTAGTGCATAATTCATTTCTTGAGTACGCTAATTACGACCATAAACCCGATTTATCCACTAGTAACACACTTTGTTCTGTATGGGTATGTTTGGAACATATGACACATGTGAAGTTTCTTTTTGTTCAGTATATATGCAGATGGGCCTGTTTCTTTGTTGGGATCGCAATTGAACCCTTCAGAAAGAGGCCTATCAGCATTGTGAACTATCATTCAAGTTTAATGGGTACGTAATTGCATGCTCTGCAAATCAATATGTCCCTTAGTTGTTTGTCATCCCAGGTAGAATGTTTTATGCTGAATGGGAAATCGTTTGAAAGGTTTTAAATATTGAATATGACTGATTTTCTTTCAAGTGGGTTTGAAGTCTTTTTTCAGTTGCAACCGAATAAAAATCACACTGACAGGAATACTGTCTAATGGATGGAACCACGATGGACGATAATGGATGGACGGAAATGAATGGACGACGGTGATGGATGACGATGGTGATGACGACGGATGGATGGATGGATGGACGACAAGGATGGATGGAACATGGATGGATGGATGGTGGATGGATGGATGGATGGATGGATGGATGGATGGATGGATGGACGGATGGTGGATGGATGGATGGATGGATGGATGGACAAGATGATGGACAGGATGGAATGGACGGTGGATGGATGGATGGATGGATGGATGGATTGGATGGACGGATGGATGGATGGAAGGATGGATGGATGATGGATGGATGGATGGACAGATGATGGATGGGATGGATGGATGATGGATGGAATGGACAGTGGATGGATGGATGGATGGATGGAATGGATGGATGGATGGATGGATGGATGGATGGATGGATGATGGAATGGATGGATGGATGGATGGATGGATGGATGGGATGGATGGATGGATGGGATGGATGGACAGGATGGATGGATGGATGGATGGATGGATGGACATGGACAGGATGGATGGATGGATGGATGGATGGATGGATGGATGGATGGATGGATGGAGATGGATGGATGGATGGATGGATGGATGGACATGGATGGATGGATGGATGGATGGATGGATGGATGGATGGACCCAGGACATGGATGGATATGGATGGATGGACATGGATGGAGGATGGATGGATGGATGGATGGATGGATGGATGGATGGATGGATGGATGGAGTGGATGGATGGATGGATGGATGGATGGACAGGATGGATGGATGGATGGAATGGATGGATGGATGGATGGATGGATGGAATGGATGGATGGATGGATGGATGGAGGAAATGGATGGATGGATGGATGGATGGATGGGATGGATGGATGGATGGATGAGGAAGGATGGATGGGATGGATGGATGGATGGATGGATGGATGGATGGATGGATGGGATGGATGGATGGATGGATGGATGGATGGATGGATGGATGGATGGATGGATGGATGGATGGAATGGATGGAATGGATGGATGGATGGATGGATGGGGATGGATGGATGGAAGGATGGATGGATGACAGTCATGTTGAATTAGACCAACCAATCCACATTATGGTTATGATTTCAGTTTCACTTTCTAAAAGAAAGATAATCTCCCAGTGTTACACATTATGCAGTAAGACCTGTCATGATAAAACTAAAATAGTTATTCTCCACTCACAAAATCGGAGTGTTGCATAAACCTGACAAATTCGGTTGTACACATGTTCAAATTCTGGTGTGGTATTTTAAAAATGCTGCATTCTGATTCTTGGTTAGTCAGTGGAATGGAATAATTATGTAAGACCAGTTTACAACACATAGAAAGAAAATTCTTTCAAAAATGCATGTTTTCCCGAAATATATATCGAACGACAAAAAGCACACAGAACGTCTGAAGTCAGAACCTCTCAAATCCTACTCTATCATATGCACGTGTTCATCAAACAAAGATAATACCAGGTGTCCGCGAAAAGGTATGCGTAAAGAACCGACGGCACCATCACAAGCACATGCAGAGACACGTCAATTTAACACCTGAAGAAAACAAAAACACCAGAACGCCTGCGTAACCAACCGACGGCACCATCACAAGCACATGCAGAGACACGTCAATTTAACACCTGAAGAAAACAAAAACACCAGAACGCCTAGGGAACCGCATCCGACTTCATCTTTTGTTACTGATACAATAATATCTGAATGTCTCAACAAACCATAAAATACCATTATTGTTGAAACCTTAATCAAATATGCTTGTCGTAAGAAGCGACTAACGGGATCGGGTGGTCAGGCTCCCTGGTTTGGTTGACACATGTCATCGGTTGACAATTGCGCAGATCGATGCTCGTGCTGTTGATCACTGGGTTATCTGGTCCAGACTCGATTATTTACAGACCGCCGCCGCCGTGAACAAACAATAAGTATTTAAATTGATCCTAACTTATCTTGATCTCTGATGTCAAACTGTAATAATTGCCTTTGGAACTTCCTCAAATTTGTTTATAACCAGCTTACAGACTTGACAGATAACACGAGGAATTCCTTAACTTTGTTTCATCATGAAAACTGACCATATATGTCTGACTGACTGACTGAGTTTGGCTTTACGCCGCTTTTAGCAATTTTCCAGCAACATCACGGCGGGGGACACCAGAAATGGGCTTCACACATTGTACCCATGTGGGGATTCGAACCCGGGTCCTCGATGTGACGGGCCAACGCTTTACCCACTAGGCTACCCCACCGCCCCCTGACCATATGTGTGACTGATGATAGTGCATAATGTTTACATTCAAGTTCCCAGTTTATCTAAAAAATGAGTGTTAGCGTTTTAGACGAGGTTCAAGTGAGTTCTATTTTACGCCCCTTTATCAACCTCCCGCAACATGCTCGTCACACGTCGTCAGATGTAGGTAATTGACCACGGTCTATTGGCGAGACGAGCGAACGGTTTAACCACTGAATAACAACATGTGTTCAATGGGTATTATTATTGTTATTATCAATATTTAGGTTTCATAAAGGCAGAGCACAGAACCTGAGATGAACGTGACAGTATAAGTATTGTGTTATTCTGTTTTCAGTCTCCAGCCGGCCCCTGTGCTAGTGTCGCTTGTCCAAGCGGGGCTTCGTGCAAGGTGGACAGACTCGGAAGGACATCATGCCAGAAAGGTTGTTTGTTTGTTTTTGTTTAACGCCAGCTATATTGAGGCGGTATGTAAATAATCGAGTCTGGACCAAACAATACAGTGATCAACAGCATGAGCATCGATCTACACAACAAACCGAAACATGAGTCTCATTAACCTATTCAGACAATGGCCTACTTTTCAACCGATCCGAATTTTCTCGTGTGAAAGTAAAAAGAGACACCACAAACAAGTATGGTTACACTGAATTCCAATGCCTTGTTTCATAAGTTACAAGTTAATTTTAATTTTAAACTTTAATAACATCGTATTTCTATATTTTATTGCGAGGTGTAGGCAGCATGACCTTAACTAAGACGTCACAGACTGCCCCTGTTTGACGAGTTCGTAAAATTATTCACAATTCATTTGGCTCACTGGTTACACCTGTTAAGTGTTCTATGCGCTTATTCCGTGTAGTCTTGTAACACACAATGTGATTGATATAATATCAAGTCCGTACCAGACCGCCAAACTTTTCTAGCGGCAGAGCCTCGTTTTGAGATTTCCACGATTTCCAGATTTCCGTTTGTCAGAACACGCTGCACGATAGAGGACGCTGCACGACGTGTTTGCAAGGATTAGAAGGAGCGTAGTGTTTCAATGTACAAGTGGTTAGATGTATCAAATAATCCTGATTAATATTTATGTATCCAGTTGAATGAATTGGTCTAAAAATTCTGGACTGGTTGCTGTACTAAGTTGCACAATAGGACGGAACCCTGTGAGCAGGAAACGAGACTGTTGTGTAATCAATATTTTTTGACTTGTGGGATACGATGACATGTCAACCAAGTCAGTGAACCTGACCACCCGATCCCGTAAGTCGCCTTCTTCATGACCAATTCCAACTCGGGGATACCAGGAAGTTGATGTAGGGTTAATATGGTTTGTGGGATAACTGCACGAGCGAGGGATAACTGGACGAGCGTGCGTGCGTGCGTGCGTTATTTCTTGTACTAGAACGCACGTGTGCCATTTTTGGAAATGCTAGTCCGCGGGATACCGGTATTTCCCCTTCTCCAAGTACGTGTTCAATTCATGGAGGGCGGAGGCAGGGCAACAGCACGTGACCCCTCTGAATGTCTTTTGGTGTGAGTGAGTGAGTTTAGGAAATTCTATTTAGGAAAACAAATTTGATTGGAGACAAGGCATTTTCCGATTACTTAGGCTCACGATGTGGATAACTGGGTCTTTAGCCAAAAAAAGCCTACTTTATACAGAGGCTCTGTGATGGTTGCATATATATTACGAAATGCGCTAACCGATGCCTTGATAACCGACAAACAGTTACTGCTGGGCCGCTTCAGAGAGTAACTCACACGGAGTTACGGGTGCTACTAGCAGAGCAGGACGCGTTTACTTTTATCGTTAACTGACTGACTGAGTTTGGTTTTACGCCGCTTTTAGCAATATTCTAGCAACATCCCGGCGGGGGACACCAGAAATGGGCTTCACACATTCTGCCCATGTGGGGATTCAAACCCGGGTCTTCGGCGTGGCGAGCCAACGCTTTAACCATTAGGCTACCCATCGCCCCTTTTATCGTTAACACCGGGTGTCATCACGGATATTTAGTGATCTATTTCTGTAATGTTCTCCCACGTGTATCCATTTGTGCCTACACGTGTTGCCTCAGATAGTCCAGACGGATGTTTCTCTTGCGTTGAAGGTTTATACATGCCTGTACACGTGAATTCGACTAACAGTCCTTAGGGTATTTCTTTCTTTTTTTGATTCAAATCGGTCTCTTTTAAATCACTGGTGATTAATAAAAGAAGTGACGTCAATATCATCAGCATGTTGTCGTGTTGTTGTTGTTGTTGTTGTTGTTGTTGTTGTTATATGGAGGTATCAATGGACAATCCGCGTGTTAGGTAACGGGGCGGTGGGGCAGCCTGGTGGTTAAAGACCTGGGTTCGATTCCCCACATGGGTACAATGAGTGAAGCCCATTTCTGGTGTTCCCCGCCATGATGCTGTTGGGAATTTCCAAACGTGGTGTGAAACTTAAACTCACTCACTCCTTGTTTTAAATGACAACTTGCCCCAGTTTTACTACTTAGGACCTTCAGTTGGAAACCCTGAAGATTCTATTCTGACGTTTACTTGGCAGATTGTGACGCGCCCTTGTCGGTCAGTGGAGCTGGAGTGTCCAGTAACGGTAACTTCCCCACCGCTGTTGCTACCTACACCTGCAACGACGGCTACCAACAGTGTCACGCCAACAACACCAGCGTCTGTCGGCCAACGGGGGAGTGGACGGCTGTGACTGGACTTTGCCAACAGTCACGATGGACTGATCCAGTGAGTAAAATATTTCCGGAGATGTTCGCATGGTTCACTTGTTTGTTTGTTGGTTGGTTGGTTGGCAGGTGGGTTGGTTTGTTGGTTGGATGGTTGACTGGTTGCTTGATGGATCGGTTGATTGGGTTGGTTGGTGGTTGATGGGTTTGTGGGTGGGTTGGCTGGATGGTTGGCTGGTTGGCTGATGGATTGGTTGGTTTGTGGGTGGGTTGTTGGTTGATTGGTTTGTGGGTGGGTTGGCTGGATGGTTGGTTGTTGGTTGGTTGGATGATTGGCTGGCTGCTTGGCGGGTTGGTGGTTGGTTGGGTGGGTAGGTAGGTTCATTGGTTGGTTGGTTTGGTTGTGGTAGTTGGGTCCAGCTATATGACGTAAGTCTGTCTAATCGCTCCAAGACCAGACAAACGAGTGATTGATATCATGAGCGTCTCTCACAGCGTCTGAGCACGGGTACACACAAAGACTGATCATCTTAGTAATGACTGACCATGTATTCCACCTCGGGGCCCAGTCTTATATAAAGTCAGTGACATTGTTATTTCAGACGGTGCCCTTTGATAAGCCCGTTCCATGTGGCCAACCTGAAACAAGATGACGCTGTTGGTGAAAGGACACCCCACGGGTACACAAGAGGGTATGATAAATTGTGACACCTTATAGAGGTGAGGGGACACCTTACAGAGGTGTCAGTGACAGTGTTATTTTAGACGGTGCCCAAAGCCCATTCCATGTGCTTGCAATATTCTTGGACAAATGGATCCGAACAGTAAAAATATTTCACCGAACAACATTTCTTCATCCTGCATGTTTGACGAACAAATTGTGTCCTGGAGTAAACTTAATAGACAGGAGCCTAATATTTCTCAGCAATATTCCAGCTATATGGCGACGGTATGTAAATAATCGAGTCTGGACCAGACAGTCCAGTGATCAACAGAATGAGCATCGATCTACGTAATTGGCATACGATGATTTGACTGTGTACCTTCTGTAGGATTTCAACGAAACGAAATAGGTTGGGGTGATAATGTGGGAGCTGCAGATTCAGTCGGTTGTGGAAACCTTCCACATGGTTATTTGTCCGCGGTCCGTGTGTGTGGTGATGGTTCCATGGGGGAATGGGGAACCTGGCAACCTGGCAACCTGGCAACAGGGACTCTTTATTATCGCGGCACGCGAAAACATCAGGAAAGCAGACACACCACACCCCGCATCGGCTGTTTACATATGCAAATTACATAAAATATATTCATCGCTCTTGAAAAAGTCATTTATTTTATTGGAATGTCATGTCTAGTCGTAGAAATATTAAAGCATTCATCTTTTCAGTAAGTTCTGGAACATTTTGAAACTAGTATGACCCCTACTGCCATTACATCTAGCATGAATCAAAACTTACTTCGTCAAGAGTAATCCTGCGACAACTATAAGGTCATTTGCATATTTTCCGTGCTAAAAATATAACAGGAAGTGACGTATTATGCAACTTCACTCTACACCCGGCAGCAACTTGTATGGCATGTCATGTATATTGGGAATGTGTTGTAACCCAAACCTTCTGGAAGGAACTTGAAAACTGGATAATCCAAAATATACAGAAATTTGAAATAACAAAGACCTTGGTTTGGTTTGGAATTTTGGGTAATAGGCCATTACTAAATCATATAATCTTATCTGCTAAAAATATATATATACTTGCACTTTGAAGAAAATAATTCCAAAAGTTAATAAAAAAAATAACATTTTGAAAGACATTTATACGGTTGAAAATTTCATATCCAGAAGGAACAATAAATCTGATAAATTTTCAGACAAATGGTTTCCTTTATTCTCAATATTTAATTTCTGACGTAATCTTTAATCAAAGGGGAAAAATTTTACTGGAGTATAGTCTCTCTATTCTATCAGTTGATCTAACATTTTTGTTGAACCCAATGAACTTTGATCATGTATTTATGCATTTATTGCTTTACTTTATATGCTTGTACTCAATTATGGGAACAAATAAAAAGATTAAAAAAACAAAAAACAAAAAACAAACTTGTATGGTACGTTTTAAGGCGGAAAAACAATAGTGTGTTACGTTATTGTTACCTTGTATCCAGATAAATGGAAGTTTCAGATGTTTGGGTTAAAAACATGATGATATTACTAATGTGAATGAAATTCCTAAATATTTTTTAATGATCAAACTATTTAGATTCGTTACTTGTCTTAGTAAATGTTTCACAGTGTCATCTGCTTGTACCGCGTGCCACAGTAAGAAAATAGCAATACCGCGATAATAGAGAGTTGCTTCAATTTCCGGGTCAAACGAAACAATCGGAATTGCCGCAATGGTATTTAACGAGTTGCGACTATGTGTCACATTATTTGTGAAAAAAAACGAAGATTATACATCAATCAACTGAATATATATAAAAAATGCTAAATGTCAGTAGCCGTTCATAATCCCGATGGCGACAACATTAACTACCCCGATAATAGAGGGTCCCATGATATATAGCCATTAAACTCCCCTGCTCGTGGAACATCTGGGGTAGCATCCATTATCTCTAGCCAAGTATCTTGGACAGCATCAGGATGAAGCAAGGCCAAACCACAAGCTCTTCTCACCCAGACTCCAGGGACACCAACTGTTCTTCTGTAGAAAATGCAATAATCCTATCCTGGTCCCCATCACTGAACAGCAAAAAGGGGTTTACCATCTAAAGTCTGTGAAAACTTTCCTTCAAAATGTGATTCACTTCTGGTCTGTGGAAGAACTGGCAGAGTCCTTCTCCTGTCTCTACTACTCTTCTGTTCCCTGTATAGGGCATCAAAAGAAAGTGCACTTCCTCCAAAGTTCCTGGACTCTTCAATTACACCTATAAAGTACATTACAAGAAAAACAGTCACGTGATCAGGATCATTATCTGTTGTTTCAGTTCAGTGCGCATCCTGGAATATCCTATTACCTAAAAAGGGGTGATGAGGAGTTGTTTTTTAACAATGTGTGGTAGTATTTGGATGTGGAAGTTTTGGGATGTGGAAGTTTTGGCATAGAACCGTGTCAACCAAGTCAGTGAGTCTGACCACCCGATCCCGTTAGTCACCCCTTACAACAAGCATGGGTTGATGAAGGTCAATTCTAACCAGCATCTTCACGGGTATATATTTGTTTGGAATAGCCCACATCGTTAATATCAAATTGTCAGCTACCATTAACATAACATCATCATGTGAGTTCAATATTGTATTTTTGAACTGCCGTTATGATTTTAATCCTTCTTTGTTCCAGGTTCGTTATCAATCTGAAAAGTGGAACAGATATTCTGCTTCATACTGCGGCATACCCTCCCACGACGAAATTTGTGGTGAATACAAAAATCGGAACATGGGGAGACCAAGTGGACTACTTGGTGTTTCCGCTGACTGTAGGTGGAACTTCTGAGATGCGGATGTTTTTGCAAGACGGTGTCTACACGGTGCGTACATACATACATTTGTGGGGCGGTGGGGTAGCCTAGTGGTTAAAGCGTTGGCTCGTCACGCCGAAGACCCGGGTTCGATTCCCCACATGGGCACAATGTGTTAAGCCCATTTCTGGTGTCCCCCGCCGTGATATTGCTGGAATATTGCTAAAAGCGGCGTAAAACTAAACTCAGTCAGTCAGTCAGACATACATTTGTCAACGCTATAAGCGTCGACTGAGGAACTAGCTCAGAATTATATATACCTTCACGAAGACGAAGGAATACGTTGAGTTCAAACTTCTTTAGGTGACTATACAGTACATCATAAACACGTGTACATGAATGAGGTGAGCGGAGTTCCAGCTCAACCCCAAGGTCCTTATTCTAGAAGGTGAGATGAAATTGGGTTTAACGTCGTGCTTGAGAATATTTTGCTCATAGACGACGTGCATGCATGTGTATGTGTATGTGCGGCTGCTTGTACTAGCCCATTCTCTTCCCACAGAGGTTACTTGTCATATCTTCCTACGAACCTCTGTTCTAATACGGCCATATTTCCCGGTTCTCGTAAAATCCCCTTGCGGCAAAAGATCGCAACACGAATTATCTCCCTTCTTTCTATCCAATCAGAACACGTGTTACATCGACTTAGATTCAACTTTACTAACACAAGCAAATGTGGGGCCAAAAATATGCCGGGGACTTGTGTTGATGTTACACACAAGACGTTTAATGGCTAGCTTGTCCGTTGTCAACGAGGGCGATGGAGACGCCACTGATCCGCCATAACATGACTGAGTTCTGTCTAGAAGAAACGTTTGCGCATCGCGCAGGGGAAGAAGTTTAGTTTTCTCGAAGCATACGGAAATTACCGAGGCCTTGCGAATGATCACTTTTGAAACAACGTCGCTGATTGCACAACTAAATCTGATTGCTTCCAATCACGAGTCTTGAACGCTCACACCATGAAAGAGCCGTATTAGAACAGAGGTTACGTAGGAAGCTATGACAGGAGTAAACTCTGTGGGAAGAGAATGGTACTAGTCCAGACTTTGGCTGGTTTTATAGTGCTAGCCCACTGAGATACCCTGCCGCAGTTAAGCATGAAGAATCCAGGACAAAATCCACCCCAAAATTGCAACCTAGGACAATAGCAATTTGAGAAGGGTGGATTTTGTCCATTTTTTTATTAAGAAGAGGTGGGTTTTGTCCGGGGTGGCAATTTTGGGGTGGATTTTGTCCGGTCACCAGCATGAATACCCCACTCAGACACATTATACTGACTCCGAGCCGACCATTCCTTGTTGTACCCATTAATGCCGAGCGTCAGGCAGGGACCAACAAGTACCATATTTTAACGTCTTTTGGTATAACGCTGTCGGGGATCGAACCCGCGACCATCCGCTCTCCGGGCGGACCCTCTAACCACTACACCACGGAGGCGGTCCTTATGCTCGAAACGTTCGTAGCCCTAAGAATTCTTAACTTTGATCGTAGCCAATGTCTTAAGAATGGGCTTAAGAAGTATTAAGAAATACATATTCCAAAGTAAGTATTAACAGTTATTTGCCATTTCTTTTCAAATGGATTTTTCTATCTAAGAATCGCATATTGAATTTCTTTCTTGAATAGGCATTTAATCATTTCTTCTTTAACGTCCTATAAAGTCCTGTCACGGTACCGCCTCCGTGGTGTAGTGGTTAGAGCGTCCGCCCGTAAAGTAAAATATGGTACTTGTTGGTCCTTGCCTGGCGCTCGGCATTAATGGGTACAACAAGGACTGGTCGGCTCGGAGTCAGTATAATGTGTCTAAGTGGTGTATTCATGCTTCACTGCGGCATGGTATCTCAGTGGGCTAGCACTATACAACCAGCTTCAGTCTGGTCTAGTACAAGCAGCCACACATACACATACACACGCATGCACGTCGTCATATGAGCGAAATATTCTCAAGCACGACGTTAAACCCAATTTCACCTCACATCACCTCCTACGAGCGGCATTATCGTAGTCGTCCTTACGCAGACAGTCGGAATACCGGACTGGTTGACAGTATAGATGTGAGCATATATACAGTTTTTAAGAAGGAGGAATTCTTTTAAGGATATACTACTCCTTTATTCTGCATAGGCGATGTTTCGACATAGTTTATAAAGTCGTTGTGAAGGAAGTGGCTTTTGATTGTGTCCCCAGTTTTTGACAATGGACAGGCGAAGACTCAACAATTTACAGATAGAGAAACAATGGCTACAGACCGGGAGAGCCATTTTCCGAAACAGATAGCCTGAATTAATTGGTGTGGCTCTCCCGGCAATAGTTATGGTTGCGTGAACATGGAATGTGGCTCTCCCGGCTAGGCTGTCAAAACATGCTTAGTGATTCAAACGCATTACCGTATTTAACAAAACAAGACATGTTTCCTCATAGTTTCCAGATCACAACAGGTTTTGTTTCTATAATTAGCACAATGTTTAGTTTGTTGCCATGTGTACAAACAGATAAATGGCGTAAGATCACAAAAACATTATTTTTTACACAAAGTCTCAGGACAGCAACCTCTGAGAGAGACTACTCACGCTGAAATATTTTACTATCTCGTAAATGTTAGAGTGACACTTCTGGACAAGTCTCTTTGCCTTATTGTGCCATTCGTTTAGGTTATTGTTGCAAAGATTATTAGTTTCTTGTGAAAACAATACTATACAATGAGGTTTAGAATCATATATATGTTGCTAAACACCACGCTTGTGAGTAAGAAAGGCGATTAGTTTCTTGTGAAAACAATATTATATATGGGGACACTCTTTTACTGGTTACGGTAATCCATTAATTAATCCATCTATTGGAAATGTGGCTTTACCGGCTACAGCCATGTAGTTGAAATGTGGCCTTCCCGGCAATAGTCATTTTTGAAATGTGGTATTCCCGGCCTGTCACCGAAACAATAGCACTTCCTTGGACCAGTTGATGTGATGGCAGACACGGCCAAGGGGAAGACCAATTAAGGCTAAATGTCAACGTCACATACAGTAATTAATGAAAGTGACAGCGTGGTGCAGGGTGGCTTACAAGACAATGTACACTGCGGTAGTGATAAGGATTAAGTATGCAGATTAGTGTCATATATATAATTACAATTAAGTCTCACATTGCTTGGCTACATAGTTTGTGGTCTATAGAAATATTTGGACGATGGCTGTCCAGAATAGACGCCATGACACATTGAAGTGAGGCACCTTGAAGATCCGGGACAGAACTGATCTTCAGCAACCCATGCTTGTCGTAAGAGGCGACTAACGGGATCGGATGCGTGTGTATGTGTATGTGTGGTCCTTCTCGCTGACTTGGTTGACACATGTCATCATATCCAACCTCCGTAGATTGATGCTCATGTTGTTGATCACTGGATTGCCTGGGCCAGACTCGATTATTTACAAACTGACGTGATATAGCTGGAATATTGCTGAGTGTGGCGTTTAACAACAAACAAACACAAATAAGCTATACTTCTTTATGTCGTGTTGGAAGTAATCAGGTGACAAGTGACAAGTTTATATACATTTAAGGCCACATGGCCCATAGTGCGGCATACACAATATGTGCACAAAGTGCGCTGTCTCTACAGATGTATAAAATTCATGAAAGTGTATCTTGAAAGATTTCTTTTCATATACAAAAATACCTTGACATAGTAGTATGAAAGAATATTTTAACAAGCCTTTCCAATACTTCTCTCCAAAAGTTTAAACTCACTTAAAGCACTCACTATATGTTATGTACATGTATATATATATATGGTTACATCGAGGATTGATTTCTCCACTTACTTGGGGGAACCAACTGCAAACTTTATGCAGATGAATTGCACGAGGATCATGCATCAAATTGCTGAACAGCATGTGCATGTGAACAGCTGCGTTTTGGTGTAATTTTTTTTTGAGAATTCGCCAATTTTTACCTATTTTCATCTTTTACTGAACTCATGACAATAATCTTTTCAACGTTTCGAATTTGTTTTGCAATACATCTGTTCATGTGTAAACAGTACCTTTTAACAGTATGGCATATTTTGCAAAATTTAGTTTACAACAGTTGACTGAAGTAAATGAGTCTAAACGTTTGATGAGAATATAGGTTAACTAATATCGCCATCTGCTTTCGCCAGTTCGTTGTAGACAACATCACCATCTTCAACTTTCCCGAGAGACGAGATGGAGCGGAGGTGGACCAGGTCAGCATTGAACAGGCTGTTCAGTTGCAGTTGGTTGAGGTTCAATGATAACACAACTCGTCGCCCATAGATCAGACTACAAAGAAAGCGACTCTTGAAAATCTCCCGAAAGAAGCCACCGAGTTTTGATAGATTTGAAGAATGACAGACCACCAGGTTCGTCTCGCTTCCCTGCAGAAGATATTGGTATATTTGAACTCAGAAGTGTTACACATAGCTTGAAAACTATTGAATGATCTTTTACAGAAGGACAGGATGTACTTGTAAACGTATTTGCGAAATAAAATTCAGGTGATATTTAATGCAATCTTGGAGGTTACGGAAAGGGGCGAGTGGTGACGAGTGTTCTGTGAGGTTTAATGAGAGAGAGAGAGAGGGGGGGGTGTATATATAGAGAGAGAGGGGGAGAGAGAGACGTTTTACCCAGAATATGCGTCTGTGAAGGTGTTCGGATAAGGACATTATGTTTATGAGAGAACATGTTTATTTAAGTCTCACTTTCTGTCCTTCTGTACATGGTCATACAATACAAATATGTTCGTGAAGTTTAAATACAGAAAGCACCTGCTGACATCAAGGTAAACTGCACGTTCAAACAGCTAAACACTAAACCCTGGATAGGACACTCCACGAATTCTTAACATATATTTTTGTGTGTCCGTTTTAGGTGAGGTAAGGTGAAATTGGGTTTAACCCCCTGGATGCCACAGGGACATATATGTCCTTCCCCTTCAACCCTCAATTTCAAGTCTAATAAAATTCAAAATATCCCACGCACACAAATACACTTCACAGTTTCGAATTCTGCGGGAAATTTCCTGTTTCTTGATACCATCCACTATTATTTTAGACAAAGCTCAAGTGCTGAAAATGACCTTTCAAAATAGGCTTCATCGAAAATGTCGCCATTTTTGACACAGTACGAAATCGCGATTCACAGCGTTATTTGCTGTATGTTTTGAAATGTGAAAATCGGATAAAAATTACTAGGAGTATTGAATTTCAAAAATAACATATTCATGATCACTGATATCAGTTTCACATGGAATCGCTCATTATAATTCTGAAACGTTGCCGATGAATCTAGAATCGGTTGGGATGTTTTCGAAAATGCACTTACACGAACGCCGTAGAGCGCTTTCCGCCATATTGGATAGTGTTTACAAAATCACGTTTCGCGAAGGCCGGTATTGAGACGCCTATTTCATATTCAGCTTCGAAAAAGGCATCACTGAATTCCCCATACATTTTAGAATCAAATTGCAACTGGTCTGTGTCACCATTACCAACTGTCTAGATAAAATGAGACGAAACATATTGGGTGTGAAAACGAACGCTGTGCTCGAAAGACTGCGCTTGATTGAAATGTAAACAAAGGCCAATTTCGATTTTGCACTGCGTAGCATTTTCTGTAATTTTCCAACATTCACCCGTCTATTCATTGTTTGCAATGGCTCAATACCTTTAAAATATGCATGGAAAGAGTGTTGTAGCAAGAAATAGGAAATTATGAATAGATACAATGCAACGATTTGATAATTCATAAGAAATTGTCAAAGTTTCCGTGCAGCGTGACGCCATGACTGACGCAAAGTCACGCAGAACGACAACTGTAATTATCAGCATTTTTGGCTTCTTCTCTTACTTACAGTGAAAACGATAAAAACATATTACAATACACAGATAGTCAGAATCATTCTGATTACTTACATGTAATATTTATGTACAAACGATCCCTGAATCAATGGAAGGGTCCTCGCAAAATCCTGTGTATACTTGTCAGCAAAGCCGCCATTTTGTAAGAAATAGGTCATCGGTAGTGATGTCATACGTCAACATTGTTGTACATATTAGGCAATTTCATTGAGGTAAAGGTCGGTTGACCAAGAGTAAACACAATCGCCCAATCCTTCCGATTTCACTGTCAGTATTATGGTGTATATTTTGCGTATAGTTCAGATACTTTTTTATGAAACTGACTTCAGTATCTAAACTGATGTGCAAAAGAAAGTACACAGGTTGTGTTTCATCCAATAAGATAAAAATAACAAAACCTTTTCATGAAATGGAAAATGTATGTTGAAGCACACTGCAATACACGTGTTTTATCAGCAAAATGACACTGTAACAATAAACAGCGATGTAGTGATGACCACTGCAGACGGTTCCTACGATGCTGGAAGGTCAAGGCCATTCCACGCAGCGGTCGGTAGGCCCATACATGCCAGCAGGACGAAGTCGACTTGTCACTGTGAATCGGCTTACGCGATGACCCAATGATGTGGTTGCTGATGACGTCACCGTCAACATCCAGTTGCGTAGGTGAATAACCCGCAGATAGCGATCCTCTTGGGGTGTTGTGACTCTGGAACGTCCACTTCTTGGTCGATCACATGTCTGGCCTGTCGTACTGAAACAGTTAAACAGCCGAATTATGGTTTGTCTTGTGCAACCCAATGTCCTTGCAATATCGCTGTTGAAAGCACCCATTTGTGTCATTCCTTTGGCCCGTTCTCGTTGCGCCGACGTCAATCTTGGCATTTCCTCGTGAGATTTCTGTCAAGTGATTGTTCAGTCTTCACGACAAACAGGTTTTATACTCTCTGTCAGAAAAGTGCTGGTGCATGGGACAATAATCACAATTTTGAAAAAATTCGTGCAAAACACGTACAAATGTTTTTGGTTGCATTTTGGCAAATGAAACATGATGGTTGCGTTCTATACAATCAATGTTTTTCAATAATTTTATTAGTTAGAACGCATATTTGGGATTGCAACAACAATTACACCTGTATACTTTCTTTTGGACGTCAGTGTACATGTAGCCTTTGTTCAATATCATATCATACGTGCATATAAGGTTTACGGTGTTCTATTCTTTGAAAGTGTTTGATTGTTTGAATCATATTTACATAAGAAATTGACATATTTAGTGCAATACACCACATTCTAAACCTTTACACAAGTGTTAGAAGATCAAACGTAGCCATAACTGCAATTATTTTAGTTCCTATGATGTACAATATTCAATGCATTTGGACTAATATTTCAGTTTCATATGAACAGGTTAATAAACGGCGTTTTAATTCAACCTTATAAGTAAAACTGATAATTATAATGAAACTTATTTATATAAGTTATGAAATGTATATGCACACATATTTCAAGGAATTGTCTTGTTTATTGCATATGTTTGTGTCGTTTTATAGACAAAACAATGATGTATATTAATTGGCCAGGTGCGCGTTTGTCCGTAACGTTTTATGATTCACTATCACTGTTTTCGATAATATAATTAAAAGATATTGTGATGAGAGGATATCAAACTTTAACTATATTTATATGAAAATTGTTTAAAAACTTATAAACCATGTCATGTCTTAATTTGGACAAATCTTACATCCATATTCTAATCTATAGTTCCTTAAATAAAAGCTATCTTTTTGCATCTTTCATTACATACTTATGAAGAGAAATAGCTACATAATCATAAACAAAGAAAATACTTATCCTAAACAAAATATTCGGGTGTTGTGAAATATTATTTTTCATTTAGGTTAAATTGATGCCAAACAGGTGCGCGTGTTGCTCACAATAAGATACACAGTCAACCCGTCTAATTGTTGATATATTCAGGACACTATTTAAATGGCAAAATCAGTGATTTTATGTTTTGTCTAAAGAGTGTTAAATAGAAGCCGAGACCTTTTATACAATTAATGGAATTAGGTGAGATATATACTAATCAGCATACTAATGTCGTGTTTTTCCGACGTCGCAAAATGCATAAAACAAGCAATGACGTCAACTAAAATGTTGTATTATTTTCAGCAATTCCATTACATTTGAAAATATGGCTAGTACTCTGGTAATAACAATGCAAAATTAGTCAAAATACATCTACACAAACAGGACAATATGGGAATCTAAGAACTAAGTTAATATACCGGATAGGGCCATCCGAATCGCTGTTTCGTGCTTTCACATGTAGTACGTTGTCATCTTTTCTTATAAATTGTGAAACTACCAAAGCGTATCCGCTCACATTGGGGAACTTTGAATTGGAATAGTTTGGTTCACCGTAAACTATAACGAAAATATAGCGTCCGTATCCATAACAAAGTTTCTCCATGTGGTCTGAGTTACATTGACCTAGTGTTTAGCATAACGGAGTTATGCCCCCTTATCATTATAGGTGTATGACCTCTCTGTCGTTTGACGTCATAGAAGAAAATCCATTTTTGACATTTATTGCGAGTCATTTTTAATGTTAAGCGTATAACGATATGCATAAGCACATAAACCCAATTCATAAACACTTATGTCGTTCAGATATTAAGCTGTATTTTCTTCGCTCACACTTTCCGTAAAGACGCCAAATTAAAAATGTCGTAGCACAGTGCTTTAATCGGCGCGCGATAAAAAGCGGTAAAAATTGCTGTTTTTTGACGCATAACAAAAATTTGGACAACATATAGCAAGGTCTATTTCTCAAACCGCCGAGGTAGTTGCACTTATATTTATACCAACGGATAGAAAATTGAATATTCTACATTTCTGTGTAAATTTATAGCCGTACGTAGATCCAGGACCACGCGAGCGCAATTCTCGCACAACGTTCACTCTATCAAACCGTATGAAAATGTGCGCCTGAAAAAAAACTCGGCATCCAGGGGGATAACGTCGTACTTGAGAATATTTCGCTCATATGACGACGTGCATGCGTGTGGCTGCTTGTACTAGCCCCGACTGAAGCTGGTTTTATAGCGCTAGCTCATTGAGATACCATGCCGCAGTGAAGCATGAATACCCCACTCAGATACATTATACTGACTCCAAGCCGACCAGTCCTTGTAGTACCCATTAATGCCGAGCGACAGGCAGGGACCAACAAGTACCATATTTTAACATCTTTTGGTATGACGCGGTCGGGGATCGAACCCGCGACCTTCCGCTCTCCGGGCAGACACTCTAACCACTACTGCACGGAGGCGGTCCTTATTCTCGAAACGTTCGTAGCCCTAAGAAAACTTTGATCGTAGCCAATGTCTTAAGAATGGGCTTAAGAAGTTCGTAGGGCTACGAACATTTCGAGAAGAGCTAGCTGGACGTTTCTTACGAGCGTTTCCCCCGACCGCGTCAAACCAAAAGACGTTAAAATATGGTACTTGTTGGCCTGGCGCTCGGCATTAATGGATAGAGCAAGGAGTGGTCGGCTCGGAGTCAGTATAATGTGTCTAAGTGGGGTATTCATGCTTCACTGCGGCATGGTATCTCAGTGGGCTAGCACTATAAAACCAGCTTCAGTCTGGTCTAGTACAAGCAGCCGCACATACACATACACACGCATGCAC